TTTCACCAATCTGTCACGATTTACTTTCCTTAATGGCAATGTCATCGTTTTAGGCCGCCAATTTATCTAGATCCCTTCGGTTTGCACACATTAGATTAGAGGTTATTATTTCTAGTTCAGCTATCGATGGTAGTTTAGCTGCGCAATTTATCGATTTTAATCATGAATGCTATCACTTCTGTCTTGAATTGTAAAAATGTAATTATAATAAAACAATTCTTACGTAATAATTATTTCTTGTTTAAAGGAGTATTCCACTTTTTATATTTACAAAGACGGTGATCCAGTTTTGCAATTAAAGCAAAGATAACAGTATGCATGCAACGTACGTAACCTGTAGGTCTCACAGACTCTTGAATAATTAATTTTATTTCAATATTTCAAGATGGTAGTGTATTTCAATTTGCATTTATGACTGATGATACGATCCATATTTTTGGCTAAGAAACCAAATCAATTCATAATATATCTTTGGAATGGAATCATTGTCCCGGTCAAGTTTGACATAAAATTGTTTATGATTTAAGTCTTATTTTGGTGTCTTTGTGTTTATTAGAGTAAATGTCGCCTCCATTAAAAAAGAGAAGAATTTCCAAACATCCAAACTTGAAATTGAAACATTGAAAACATTGAAAATGTCTTCCAAGCCTCATTATGACAATACAACACTTTCATTCTCACTTGAAATGATATTATCATGATCATGACATTATTTAAATGCATAAAATGCCAGCTGAAATATGTTCGTCTCCATCGAGACATAATAGCAAGGCGTGATAATGGTCTCTGATCGTCTTAATACGAGGTGTTTAACCGTATCTTCACGGTTGTTTTCACATGAGATGAGTAGATCTTAATGGACAAGGATAGCTAGGAGTGTGTACAGTAACTATCGAGAGGGATTCACCTGTTTTTAAATCAATACCCTGATTGGGTTAACACGGCGACGAAGAGGCGTACACTTGTCAGGGTATTTATCAAGAACTGTTTAATTCAATCTATACTCGGACGCGACAGAATTACCAGATACGATGTCGATAAAACTGACTGGAGAGTAAGCTCCTTTAGGGATGAAAAAAGAAAGGTTTCAGATTATTTTTCTCCTTTTCTATCATATCAAGAATGTTTTCGTTAAATCGTAATCGAGCCCTGTTCTAACTTTTTCTGTTCTATCAAATCAATTTTCATTTGCGATATGGCGAATATCTTATCAATGTTTCTTAAAAAAGAAAAATCTTGTTGTTCTTTACAAGAAGCCATAAGTATGGTATTAAGATAACCTATGCTAACACATTAAGAGGTCCAACATAGACGCGCGCAAGGCAAGGGACGCTTATTTTGCGTGGTAAAGTTCGAAAAATTCCTATATTTAAATTTGATGATGATATTGTAGAAGTTGTTGATGAATACGTCTATCTTGGAACTACTTTTAACTACAACAACACATTTCGTAAAGCACAAATTAAGCAACTCAATCAAGCTAGACGAGCAATGTATAGTCTATTGTCTAAAATTTACCAACTTAGAATTATTTGCTCATCTTGTGTCGCCTATTCTGCTATATGGAAGTGAGATATAATTTTGGAGATTTAATTGAAGTGCTACATGATCTTGAGCAAAACAACTGCAATTTGTATGGTACTCTGTGAATTTGGGAGCCTTAAACTTGAGAAATATATCGAAAGCAGAATGATAAACTTTTGGTGTAGGATTGTACATAGTGGACAAGATACATTTTCTGGTAAGGTGTATATTATTTTAAAATTACTCTTTGAGCAGAATATCTATCAGGCACCTTGGTTAAAAAAAATCAATCTGACTCTGGGAAATATGGGGATGTCTAATTTATGGGAAATTTGTGAAAATACTATAGTTGTGATTGGGTCAAACAAACTGTGGAACGTCGATTGAAAGATTCTCATGCCCAGTATTGGTCTGCTTTTTGTACGATAATTCGCATTGTGTTAACTATCGAATCTTCAAACCTTCTCTATGTTTAGAAAGATACTAAATCGATCTCATTAAAAGAGATCGGAAAATTTTAAGTCGTTTTCGCTGTGGCAATCATTACCTACCGATTGTAGCTGGTAGATATTCAAATACTCCTAGGAAAAGAAGTTTATGTACGCTCTTCAATTTGCAATCGATTTGGGATGAGTTTCATTACTTGTTTGTATGCCCTGCCTTACGTTTAGACAGAAAATCGTTCATCGATGTATAAAGACACAATACACTGAAAATGGATAAGATTTTTAACTCCAATAATGTACAAACACGTTAAAACTTAGTAAAATTCTGTCGAAAAATAATGCTTCGTTTTCATTAAGTTAAGTATTTGCACAAAACACGTCATGTTTCTCTTATATCAAATTATTAAATTGATATCAAGAATATTTTCAGTAATTCATTAATTCAAATATCAATTTACTGGTGCTAGTAACTTTCTTTTTCAATTGCTTCCATCAATGTTGTCATTAATTATCGTTTTTTGTAAATATAATTAATATTATAATAATATCATTATTATTATCATTATTAATGTTATACAGTAGGCTTGCGGCTGCACCATGTGAGAGAGAGGGAGGATTGAGGAGTCCTAAAAAGGACTCTCGGTAATCTTTCTTGAGTTTTTTTTAATGTATATCTACATCACCATGCAAGCCGACACTTACAAGCAGCATTATTAATGTTGTTATTATTATTATTATTATAGTTACTAGTATTATCATCATAATTTTTCTCACTATTGTAGATCGTGTTATTTTTTACTGATCAACATTAATTTGATTCGAATTGTATATTGTACAGTGTTAAATTGACAAATTCAAACTGATTGTAAACTTCTCCAATACCCCATTGTAGGTGACATGAGAGTAATTGTCATTGTCATTGCGCTAATTTTTAAACCATGGGTTATGTAAATGATGGTTTAAACCATGGGTTAAGTGAAACCGCCTTTGTGAATTCGGGCCATTCAGAGTGCATCGTTAAACAGTTTTAAGCATAATAATACTTTGAATCGCATACAACAGTCCTTTTGATAGTTGTCATTACAAGTCTATTATTTCTTTGTCACTTTTTGTGCTAGGTTAGTACTTTGTGAAGGATCATAATACCTTTAAGTTTCTGCAAATTTGTTGATGATCCAATCATTTCGTAATTTCCTTTATTACATTGCTCATTTCCTTGTCTCAACTATAAAAGTATCATGGTCGAATCATAGATACTTCTCATCAAAGAACCTTGCCTTGGCGGCGACCACTGCAGGAGATAACGGGGATAAAGGCTGGGCAACTTATGGAGGTAGTCACTGGAAATATCTTTCCGTGCCTTCTTTATAATATCCCACAGATGAGGGTCACTTGCTGGGCATTTAACCTCCTCGTTCCGCTGAGAATGATATTTTGGGGTAGATTGCCTTTTTTCCAGGCATGACTGCCTCCTGAAACGATTTACATTTGTTAAACTAGTGTCACCTTGAATGCATAAGTCTACTCTACAGTTTGAATGTGAAGAATCAGTTCCGATTACAGGTATATCCAATCTTTTTGAGAGAGAGCAGCGTATTTACATGCATCTGAAAGTTAAGACCGGTTGCTTTCGACTCATTGCACGGTCGTTCGTTTGTCAACCCTATTAACATCTAGCACTTGAAACAGTTGAATAATCTTAGCTACATATTTGTGTATTGATTGATTTCTAAGCATACTTTGTTCATGTTTTATTGTAAAACAGAGGAACTAACACTTCAACAAGCCCTGCTTCAAGTTAGTTCCTCTTTTCTCGTGCTTTTTCCATTATATTTGTCGTTTCATTGCATATTTGTTGTGATATAATAATATTATTCTTGTATTATGTTTTGCATGAGAAATAAAAATCATTTGAATCAAAGTCTTTTGGTATCTATTCCATGATAAATACAATGTGGCACAGGAAGTAGAATTGTTCGGTGAAGAGGTCCCATATTGTGAAATGAATTATCAAAAATTATTAAAGTTTTTTTTTTTTTAACGTGAATATAAGGAAAGACTAACATAGTATATATTGAGTAATTTTCTAATAGATAGTGAATGCAATAACATTCTTACCTTTTAATAATAACAATATTGTGTGTTATTGCTTGGTGTGCTTTATGTTGTCTTTAGACTTGAATAAATGCTTCTTAACAGTACGGGATCATGGACATAAGTTTTTACACAATTTACATTTTTCAAGTCGTTTGAATTTGTCCTTTTATCTTTTTAAGTTGCATGTATTTAATGTTTGTTTACTTGTATATAACTATGTTTCTGTACTTTTAATGCAAATGTGGCATTGAATTCAATTGAATTCATTTCAATTATGTGCATGGTATATAAAGAATTAATATGAATATTTGTCAATTTAATTTGAGTTAAGTATTTTTAATCAGGACATATTTACTCCTGTATCTGATAATAAACCATGATGGTAGAGAAGATCATACGCTGACATTACTATCTAGGTCTAGTTTGCAAAGTGAAATAATAATAATTACAGTGCTTATATAGCGCCTAACACTTACTTTGTCAGAAGTCTCTAAGCGCTCTACAATAATGCAGCATAATTACCCTGGCTTTAGCAGTGCAGCTGTTACGCGCGCTGCGTTTCAAGGAATAAATTCCAACCAGGTACCCATTTACTTCAACTGGGTGGAGTGTGGCAAATGTAGATCAATGTCAAGTGAAAGGATGAAAGGATGTAATAATGCATTTGAAAGTGGTTGGATCATCATAAATGAAGTTTGGGCAAGATTTAAAGACTCATACTACCAGCCTAGTACCATATCAAATATTGTACTCAATTTCTCCCTGATATGTTAATAAAGTTAAATGGCTAAATATATATCTGGATTCCAATTGAAGAGGAACCATAGGTACATGTTCAGAAGGGACTTGGAGAAGGAAGGTGACACAACTTCTGCTTAAAATAGACAAACAAACACTCCCATACAAAAGGCACATAACCAACACAAAACAATGTCATGTAAATATTTTCCTTTATTTTAAATGCACCTTTTCCAAGTGTTTAACATGAGATGTACTTCAATACCCAGTAAGATGTTCCAATAGTGGTGCTAGATATACAAACATTCAAAAAGATTTGCACCAATTTAATCCCAACCTATATCCTTGCATGCTGGATAAAGCATCCACATTCATTCACTGCAGAGGTTTATATCCTAAGCATGTAGAATGTACACGAAGAGAGATATTTTTGCAGTGTCTGACACAGGGCATTTAATGAAAAGGTGTATTGCTTAATATAAAGTAAGCCCTGTGTTTATATATGTTATAGGGATACCAAGAAGCAGGGGACAGACAGGCAAAAATTGTAAAATTATTCCATCACCCATTCTGAGTTTTGAAAATGTACTTATTTTAAAATAGAATTTTGATTAGTATAATACATAAATTAAAATTCTACAATACATATATTTCTATTCATGGAATTATCATACCAATTTCCCCGTATGCATTACCAATTAAGATAAAAAAAAAACATCTACATTTATACCAAATAAAATGTCATTGCATGAGCTGCCCCTTCAGCCTTATTTCTAACTGCACTGTGATTAAAATACATAGATAACAACAAATTATCATTTCTCAAAACTATATCAAGTCTTGCAAACAACCAAACATTCTCCTAGAAAACTTAAAGAAGACTAAGTCCTGAATGATATCAACAGATTACAATTGATTAAAACAAAATAGGTTTCTTGCACCACTTTTACCAACAAAAATTCTCATCATTTTCTGAACTTATTTCACATATATTTCATAAAAATCGCTTGACTGAAGATTTGTTTTTGAAACCCTTCCATATCTTCAATGGTAATTAGATCATCAAATATGTAGGCTTCATACTGTACCATACTATCTCTCTTACTTCAAATTGTATCTTATCGTATTCATCATTCGAGTGACATTACCAAACAAATTGCTGCCTTTTCACAATTGCAACCATTCTTTTTCCAAAAATCATGTTAAGGGCAATTTCAATACCCTATTCTACATCCCATTCAAATCATGTTCACGCAATTGCGTTACTTTAACTTTCTGTCAATTAAAATAAAAGGAATCTGATCATTTCTCATCTCAATTTTTTTTGTATGTCTAATCCTTTCCATACCTTTTTGCTATTAGACTAGAAGTATTGGCAAATGATTTGATACCACTTTTTAATGATTTTGAGAATATGTAACTATTAATGATGTCAAAATTGTTTTCACATCATTTTCTAAATTTCCCTTTCACAGGCAGTGTTATTAGAGTAGTAATTGCGACAAACAAATGGCTGAAATTCTATCATTTTGCAAGAATTTCAAAGTCACATCTTATGTATCAGGACCTTTCTTTCTCACAAATGTGCATTCTATAATGAGAAATCTGCTTGATCAATCAAACACTAAAATTTGATTATAATTTACAAATAATATACCTTACATTCCTAAAGCAAGCAATGTCTGGATAGCGCATCATTAAAAAATATATATAGAGTGACCATAATAAAATACTTGCATATATACTAAATTAGAACATGAACATTGCTTAGGGAAAAGTACAATTGTACATTTTAAAAAACAATATAAATCTTGAATAATCAAAATGAAAGCATAATCCGAGTAACACCACCAGTGCATATTAAAGATACATTGTAGTTTAAAAAGGTAATAATATTCATCAAAGATAATTTCAATTTATAAAAGCAATCCCCTCTCTTCAGAATGCAATGCATATGCTTTCTCCAATACACGATGGGTTATTTCTCCCTGACATAATTGGATTCTATTTATATAGAGAGGGCTTGAAGATTATGAATACCACCTTAAATGAGGAGTTATATTATACTAACAAGCACCTTATAAAGGACTTTCATAGATCAGAATATATCAACAATCATCCGACATGTACTTCACAACTCACAGTATTTCAAACTATAAAACATTTAGAAAAGATACTGACAGAGCAGTTTAAATGCTTCTTTGCGATAAATAATTGCAAAATAAAAATCTGTTGAAAATCTCTGTCAAAATGACTTGAACGTGTTTATAATCATAAAATCGTGTGAGAAGATATTCAAATTGTCTAATATTTCAATAACAAAAAACAATGGCCATGTTGATTTAAAACAACTCATATCTAGTTGTTGGGGTGTGAGAAATATTTTGATCCTAGAGTTTCTTTTAAGATAACATAGGAAGAAAAAAGTGCAAAATATTCAAATATGTATTGAGTGCTGGTGAATTTGTACAATTTTTTAAAATTTCATAAAACAATTTAAAAATAAGCGGCAATCGTTCCTCTCTCATAAGTAATATAGTTGGGTGCAATGTGATCTTGATTCACTGATTTCATATATAGTTATTACTCTACAATACAAGTGATAATGGCATCAAATTACCTTTATCCTAACAAAAGGCACTCATAATTATGTTCCTTGGTCAAATTATTAGAGAGGAATTAAAATCATTCAAAAAATCCTTGAAACATAACCTTGCTTTCCCTTCAACTGACACTTTACGCAGACAGTTTGGACTTAGCTGTCTGTGTGCTGAGAGGGAGAAGACCTTTCTAGCACTCCGGCCGGCCGGCATGAGATGAGTTGCTCTATACATCACTCAACATGCATCACTCAATAGCCTCATTGGGAAATACAACATAGAAACACAATTTAGCACAGCAATACCAATGCTCAGCAAAATGGCATAAAAGATATTTCATAAAACTCAATAATACAGTATAAGGTATAATTGTAAAGAATGATAAATAGCCTTCTATGGCAGTACACCTGTAGTCCTGCAATCATTTGAAGAAAGAAAAACATATTTTTGTCATAATAGATTTCTAACAGCATCATTTTCTCCTGAATTAATTTGGAGCATAAGCAATATTGGTAGCCATGTTTATGGTGGATTTCAGTATATACAGCTACAAGATTAATTTTGATAATGACCAAATGCAAAGACCAAATCATTTTAGCTGCTATAACACCACTTAATCTTTTGATATAAATTGTATCTACATACCCGATTCCGATTTCACTATACCCATAAAACAGCAAAGTTTAATGCAATAAAGTTATTCATGATTAAAGTCTAATTTGCAAAGTAAGTTACCTACAACATTTCACATGTGTACTTTCATCTTTTTCTGTTTCTTCAATATTTAGGAATGTGACTCTCTGATGGTATTAACAGATAACAACAAACAGCATTAAAACAAAGTCTAGCTGAACATACTTCTGATATCGTTATCCTGCACAAGTTGGGTGGTATGAGACAGGAAACTATATAATAATTATTACAAAAATCTTTACAAAAAAGTCTCGGAAATCAAATTTCATGAAAGGCACAACACGCACATATGGGGATGGGACCACATGCTTTAGAGCCTAAACACTATCAGGGAAACTACATGTATCTCCATTCACTTTCTTCCTTAGCTCAGTACACAGCTATTATACATTTTTAGCAACCATCACTTAATTAGTGTCTTAAATACTTAGTGTGAAGTGTAAGTCTGCTCGATTTTGTGCAATCAAATTACCAGAAGTCAAGAATAAACTTAGGCAGACAGTGAGTTGTAATTACAAATATATATATATATATATTGTAAATGGGTTATTAGAAACACCTACAGTGAATCTACTATGCATCTTTACACTATCGTGTAAAAATTCTAAGATAATCTTTCTCATTTTCTGGAACACACTCCGCAAAAAACAATAATTGCATTTAAAAAAAGTAATTGTAGAATGTGCATTCCGATGCTACGGTGTTTGAATCGAAGATTACAGAAACTTGGACATAGAAAATAGAACTATTATGAGAGGTGATGAAACAACATACAAAGAGGAGTAAGGGTGAGAGCAAGATAAAGACAAAAACAAAGAAAAGTGGAGGGTAGGAAAGGAGAGAGAGAGAGAGAAAGACTTGGACTTGGAGGGAGAAAAGAAATACAAAGGAGGACAAATATGTGATAGATAGAAAGAGAGATATATAGGCAATAGGAAAGAGCAGCAATTTGCATCTTTAAACATCATTTCCTAATGAATTGTGTTTTGATTAAAATACAAGATTGCATAGAAATACTACTTTTAATCCACCCCCCCCTCTCATCAATAACCTAAATGACAGTTATTATAGTAATGAACAGCCCTACTAGTACTATATGTGAAAGTGCAAGCAGAATATTATGCATATGCACAAAATTACCTATAAGATATAGTGATAGCAAGAGCATTATCCAACTATTTAGTTTCATATTTTGATAAGCTATTTCCATGACTCATTTATTAGTACACTTATGTTTTGATAGCACTGCACATGTATGTATATCTGCACACAACATTCATGTTACCATCTATATGAGATATTTACACAGACCAACCAGTTTAGTCCATCTTCACAAAACATACCTACTAACATTGCCATCATTTTAAAATACAAAATAACAGCATTCATTCTGTATATAAATATGATACATGTATATATATTTATATAAATAAAAATCATTTGTTATTTAGCAATCTCTTATATAAAAAGAATCAATTATCATTCAATGTATACACACAAGATATAGACCGTTTAGTACTGCATATAAACCTACATGTACATAAGAATATTCAAGAAAAGATAAACCTAATATACACTTTTTGAGATCACATCACTTTTTCATGCTTGGGAAAGTCAGCAGGAATGATGGCCAAGATTCATAATTGGAATGGTATTCTCAACTTTTCTTTTATCTTCAATCAGATGCTTAATATATTCTTGTACGTACAATAAAAGCAGAGAGAAGCTCTTTCATTTTAAAATCTATAATTTCCTTTCCAGGGCTCGTATTCAATTCAATACTTAAGTTTGAAATATGAGTATGTTACTTAGTCTTCAGCTTAGATAAAATACTTAGCCAATTTTTATATTCAGTTGATTGGCACATATATGGTTTTCTAATGCAGTATCATAACCTGCGCACAATTATATTATATAGCATTTACTGCGACGCGTTAATTGCGCATTACTTTTGATTGACCGTGTGATGTCACAATGCTTATCAGTAAGGATTTTACTTAGATTTTGGCTTTGAATACGAGATAAGTAAAGTTCTTAGCTCAGTAATTTACTTAGTAAATTTCTTACTTCTTCTAAGTATTGAATTGAGTATCGGCCCTGGAACTTATTTTGTGAGAGGTTGGAGTCAACAACATAATACCCAATCACAAATAAAGAGAAAAGTTTTGATAGCATGAGAGAGTAAAGTAAAATCTGATTCAATACAAAAGAGAAAATTAAAAACATTTATATTACAGGCTACATTTTAAAAGATGATATTGTCTATTTTCATAAACATTTCAATTTTATGATGTACCCATTTACGGTTTGTACATTTCCTTCTAGTGCTGTTTTCATCACATCTCTCTGAATAAAAACAAATTAAAAATCAATTCTAAAAGAACTAAAGAGAGGGTGAAATTTGAGTGGCATAGATAAAAACTTTGGCTTCTACACTTGACGTGTGTCAACATATTACAGATTCACAATCGTACATGACTAGTCACTGCAAATGAATTCTATTTGACAGTACATATGCTGTTGCCACCTCTTAACATGTGAATATCATAACTAATTCTTGATTTAAGTTCTTTTAAAACCTTTTTCTGTTCCTCTTGTTGTGCATTAGTATCATCTACAAACTGCATTATGAATAATCTGGAAACAATGCAATACCAATTCCAGATTAAAATCTAGATAATGACCGGCGATTGACTTTCTATTGAGAGCATTCACCTATAGACAACACTGGCTGCAAGTCAGACACACAAATTTGAATGCAGGCAGTGGAAATCACTGCTGCTGAAAGCAAATATAAACCTTGTATTCACTAATATAATCAAGTCTATAGGTCTGAAGGCACACACTTTAGTATCAAATTGTTTAACCACCCATTCAAAACACAAAACAAAAAATATCCATATATATACACCTTTACATCATTTACATTTTGTACACGCATGTGTTCATTATATAAAACAAAAATCTGTCATACCCAAGCACCGATACATCATTTACAACCATCTCTAGTAGTTCTACCATATACAAATATATTTATAACATTTACGGTTATTCTTTACACACAAAATGGTATTCCTTGTGCAATAGTAATTCCTAAAGACATGATTATTGTTACATAAATGTACTAAATATAATGCAGCTAAAATTATGAGTTCTAAACCTTATAATGGCTGGTTATGATTTTGGTACTTACTGTTATATCATTTTTTTTCTTCATAAAAAGAAAATGTGCTCATCGTAAAAAACATAAAATAGTGAATTCTATGCTTGGTTTACACTCTCTTCTGAAGGCATCATTAGCAAGGTATTTGCAAATTCAAGGGTACAAGTTCTGTTGCCAGGGTAGCGTAATGTTGCAGAAAGTTAGAGTTTGGTGGACTCCACGACAGGGTTGACCCGGGCTGGACTATCACAGACTTTTCTTTCACCTGTTTCCAAGTCCTTACATACTATCTCTTCATCTGCCATAGTATTGCTGCTTTCAAGTCCATTGGCAATGTCACCATTGGAATGGGTTTGAGCAGAGTTGTTTGTATTGACCTCCTCTGAGTAAAGGCTCCCACTGGCATGCACTTCTACTTCAGTATCCATATGACCTTTGACATGGTGTCCAGGGCTACCCGTGTTCCCGTTGCTGTGTCCGTTCAATCCGTTACTGTCTGGGACATCACCACCACCACTCACTGAGCTAGGACCATCTGACATGCCATTCAGACCACTACTAGCTGATTTCTTCATGTCACCATTAAGACCATTCTGACCTCCTCCATCGGATGGGGACAAATCATCCATGGCTTTGATAGAACCATTGGTGTCAGAGGTCAATCGCTTGAACTTCCTGTCTTGAACCAGATGGTCGGTCTTCTTCTTGTATTCCTCCTCAATCACCAATACCATCTAAACACAAAACAGAATGAAATTCCACATTATCCTCTCTTTAGTACACTCCCTGCAGTTGAATGGTGGACAATCACTAGTATTCAAAATTTAGAAACACATTTGGAAGTTGAAAGCAAAATGTTGGATTGGGATGGTCCATTTTTCTGCATCATCTTGTTTATCACAGAAACTATAACATGTATTTATGCGTTCCCCAAAACTCAATCCATATTAATATTGAATTATATTCTTCGAGCTTATAATAAAACTGTTTACATTGACTAAATCCTTTCACAACAATAAAATGCCTTATAAATAACTTGAAATACTTGATAATGAAGTCTGCTTTATATTTTAAAGACCGTCAATACTACTGGGCCAGAAGGGATTACAACGCACAGCGAGGTCACTGACAGGTGGCTATCTCATTAAGTCAGCTCTCAACTAACATAAGAAAAAGAGGATCATGGGGGACCAACAGGCACTGATTGGGGAAGTTTTCTATATAGAAGGAGCAAGAAGCTACAAGTAGGACAGTGGGGCTTTAAGAGTAATGGTACATTTGCTTTGTAAATTAGAAGTCCCTTAGAGATAATTTGAAGAACATCTTACATCATCTTCTTCTTGGGAGAGGTTTTGTTGTAGTTCTTTCATGCTATCCTTCAGCTCTTTCTTCTTGTTCTCCTGCAATTTGATCAACTGTTTAAAAAAATATGAAAAAACCCAAAATAAACAAACATATATTATTACAAAAGCTGTTAAACATTTCAACAACCGGAAGACTTATGTTATTCGGTGTTTCTTGCATTTTATCAGGTTACATGTATCTCACATGTTGGAATATATTATAGTTTATGAATAAAATCTGTACATTAATAATATACAATGTTCACAGATATGATTGCATACTCTAGTTTGAATGCCTTGTGTTTTAAAGAGTAAGACCTTTAATGAAGAGCAATATACATCTATTTAGTAAGGGAACCTTTGATTCACATAAAATTAGGAACATTTCATGTCAATAGGAACCTTTTGTGAATTGTACTCAACGAGTCAAAGATAGATTTATACTGAGACTATATATTGTACCTGTTTTTAGGCAAACATTGGTCTAATTTTGTTCAAAATATTCTTGAAAATCTGCAAAAAGGGGGTCATTTTCGATTCCACAAACAATCATGCATTACCCCTCTTAAGATGAAGTGGCATCACTGTGTTTCATTGTAAATTAAGTTTGGGATTGGTTAATAACTATACAACTTAAGCCAGCATAATAACTCACATGTGTTCTCTCATCGACAGCTTGATCAATGTGTTTCTTACGAGCTTCTCTCTTCAGTCGACTGATCTCTTGTTTCTCTCTCTTCATCTTACCAATACTCTTCATCTCCTCGATGTTCTTACTACCAAGCATCTTACGAAGCTCCTGCTCAACCCTAGTAGGAAACAACAAAAGGAAAGCATCATGTTAGTCACAAGTTTTACGTGCAGACAAATGAAATGATACTTAGAGAGAAGAAAGTTCATCCAATTAAGAGCAGTATCATTTTTAAACTAAGTATAGCTACCAGTATTTTATTTTATTGAAACAGCTAAAAGCTTTGGTTGTGTTTGTTCTCATCAATACATTTTATGAAAACTAAAATCTTAAGACAAAATTTGTAAAGAATTTAAAAACATAGAAAATTGTTGTATTAAGCACTATAGAATGTAATCTATCATATTACTATCAACTAAAACTCAACTTTACTAAAACATGACACATTGATCGTTTGGAAACATAGTGGTACAACAGGGTTGTTCAAAGGGTATCTTCAAAGAAAGTTAAAAAGAAAAAGGTAGTCCTCTGTCATAATCTACTGGGAAAGTGAACATAAATTATTTCATACATAGGATTTGCATCTCACAATTTTCAAATTAAGTCCTCTGTATAACACTTTTCATGAGTGCTTCAGCTTACAAGACAACTTTCATGCATTCCTATTGTTTATTGACAACTGAAGTAACAAGTAAGTCTCGTACTGTTTAGAATTTTGGTAACAAGCCATCGAGGGAACTCTACTTTGAGTCATATTAAAAGAACTAGGAAATTTCACAGAACTTCATTCAAACCAGCTTAAACAACCACCGAATTAGAAAGACCATGCACTAATCCAAGAGGACAAATTTTCTTTGTTTCCCTTAAAACAGTGTCTATAATTGAAACATAAGTGTATACATGTATTATTAAAACCTGTATAAAAACACATGCCTTTAACAACAACTTTTCGTGTCTCCTATTAAAGATGGTCTTCCTTTCTATACAGGTTTGAATGAATATTGTGAAATTAACTCAGCACACTGGCTACTGAATTTAGTCATTCCCATAGGCTTAATACAGTAGCCACCTGGTTCCAGTAGACAGAGGGTTAATGAGTCTACTTTTTTATGTTTCCCTAAGGTCATCTGTCTGTCTGTCTGTCTGTATACCCATGTTTGAGTGAGCTTACTTCTTGTGCTGACCATCTAGTTTCTTGAGTTGTTTTTCATGTATAGCTGCCATGAGATCCATCTGAAGCTCAAAGAGCATCTCTGCATGCTCCACCTTCAGCTCCTTCTCCTCCAGGTAGTGACGTCTATACAGACCTATCAAGGCATCCTCCTGGCTCACTTGCTTCTTCAGCATCTGTGGACCAAACACATTATTACATCAAAGCAGTCCCACATGTCTATGTTTGTGTACGGTTTTACATATTTAGGTTGCACTTTTCACTTCTTTTCCCTTGGTAAACATTATTAATTTCTCTCTTACTCGTCCGATAAGAGTAATGAAAAATGACAGCTTTAAACCTAGCAATAAATCTAACTATACACTAAGCTAGAGCATAGAACGGAATGGAACTGAATAAAATAGAAATACTTTAGAATGGAATAGAATCCATGACACAATCCATGACACAAACTTGCCTCTTTTTCTTGTTCTTGCTCTAACTGCTCCATAGTTTTGGCACTTTGCTGTTTGGCTTCTTCAGGAGTTCTGCGGGAAAAATCACAAAGAATATGAAAATATAATCTTACACTTCAGTCAGGACAAAGAAAATGAAGAGGACAGCGGCATGAAAGGAAAGAGCATAACATATCTGACAACATGATAAACAATAGCAATTATGCAGATGGACAGGTCAGGTGACAAAAAAAAGATGTTGTATTACCCTTTGCGACCGACCCAAAAGTCTTTAAATCTACTGGTCGGCTTTATTTTTTTTTACCGTTTGTTTAGAGAACAAATGTTTAGTGAATAAAAAAAAATGTTTTAAAACATTCAAAACTGAGAAATATCAGCCCAAAGAGGGAGAAAAAAAAAAAAAAAAAATAAAAAAAGATTTCCAACCGACCGACCAATGTTTTGGCACCTAAAGGGCAATACATCTTCTTTTTTTTTTTAGCCCTTATGGTGGATAAATAACACACTGGTTTTTAACATGCAACCAAATTTGGATTGCAAGAGGAGAGCATGAGTTAGGAAAGGAGACAGAAATAAATAGGATATTAAAAAAGCTGGAAAAGAGATAAAGAGAGAGAATTCATATACTGAGGCAAATGATTATGCAATAATATTGTACTCAAAGTTCCATCTCTCAATATACTGGATTTTGCAGTTTCATATTGAGAGACAGGTAGAGCCAATTGAGAAAAAAGAAAGAAAGAAACACACAATAGATGAGTGAGATGGAGAGCAAGGCATGGAAGAAGACAAAAACAGAGACAGAGAAAAGCTCAGAGAGAGAGAGAGAGAGAGAGAGAGAAAGAGAAGTGGGGGAGGGAGGAGGGAGGGAGAGACAAGAGAGAGGGAGAGAGAAAATACAAACAGACAGATGAATAAAATGTGAACAAATGTAGAAGGACACACATATATGTATAAGAAGAGGGAAAGAAAACAGATACATGCACATTTATCAAGAAAGCAGTGCGACAGATGAGTGTAAGAGGAAAGCCAAACTAACGTGTTCTTGAGCATCTTCTTCTCCATGGAAACCAGCTTCTTCTCTTTATTCCTCCTCGCTTTCTCTTGAGACATCTTGAATTTAGTGATGTCCTTGGACTGACCCTTCTTGAGTTTACTCTGTTTTTTCTCTTGTTTCTTCACTAGCTTATTGAGCTCATTGTCCAGCCGTGTCTTCACCTTCACATATTTCTACAACAAGAAATTAAAAGTAAGAGAACAGGAGATTTTTAAATGCCTCAATTTGTTAACATTAAGACAGACTATTGAAACCAATGCATAACAATTGTGCATTTTCCCCTTCTTTTTTTTTGGTAATAATCACCCTGTAGGAATACTTATGACCCAATGGCTCAAAACCATAAAAAAGGTAAATTATAGAGAGAAAAGAAAAATCCCTTCAACTTGATGTTGATAGCTCTTAGTATAATATAATATTAAAGTGTTTTTTACTGTCTAACTACAGGTAGACTAAATGATTATATTATTCATACATGTACATGTAAAAGCTTGAAACATTCGCCGTTAGGTAACCGATAAGAAAAGAAAAAATACACCCACTGACCCTTAGTTTCGAGCTACTGGGTCACTTTCATAAATTGTGGAAATATATATTCCTAATTGTGGAGCACCAGCAGGGGTGTCAACCGTGAGCGACATGAGCGATACACAAGAACCCACTGTTATTATTATCATAATTATTTATGCACATTGTATGTGATTGTAAACAATACAGTGAATTGATAACAGTTATGCCTTAATTTACTTACTCATATTGAATAAGAGATTACAAACACTTATACTGGATGGATCTTTCAAATTTAACAAAATTCTCACTTTTATCAAACCAATGCAGCCTGTGCTCATTAAAACTTTCAAACAAGTATGTGTAACATTTGATATGGCCTTTGTATTAGTCTTACCTTCTCTACTTTAATCTCATCAATGGTTGCAGCAACTATCTCCTCTGTTTATATCACATCAAAAAAGGAAAAATCAGAGAATTAATTGACATCACAAGTTACATAGGTTTAGCATGGAATACTAGAAATTAATAAATTAAAGTTACGATTCCAGATATGTCCATCTAACAAAAGCTAGAGGTAAACTGATGTCTCATTTATAAGAAAATTTGTATAATTCTGAACTATTTACATACTAATTTCTAAGAGATAAATTTATCAATTTTTAAATTGTTTGCATCTCTAATTAAACAGGATCGTTACCTTCATACGCTCAACCTTATCCATTGATCTCCTTATCATCATAATTTCTCATTCACTGTCTTTCAAAACATCATACAGGTGCAAGTTACATCTACAGAAAATTCAACATTTTGATTCAGAACCACTTCAGTTGTAGACCCCATAACACAAAACTTTCAATCAATCACAAAATGACAATGGCCAATCAAGATCATTGTTGCAAGAACATTCTTTTCAAAAGGCTGACCATTAGCCAATCAGAATCATCGTTTTGAATTTGTAATTGATTGCAAACCATTGTGTATGGGGCCCAGATGAATCCAATTTAACGCTGAACAATGACATCACCAAACATACTTATGTGAATACCTTATTCCAAATTTATAAAAACTTCTTTCCTTGGTAAACTAAATAATTGCCCAAAAAACGTTTTTCTCATCAGTTGTCTTATTCTTGCTTTTGAAGATTAACTCATCATGGACATAGTTTTGTCTACTAAACTCTTACCAAGTGAGGTCAGGGAAGTCATGAAGAATAAGACAACATTCAATCCATTAAAAATATAGTTTCTTTCATAGTGCATTTCAACTGGCATGCAAAATATAACACTACGTGCATAGATGAAAACAAACACTTTTTTTACTACATGAAATGTAAAATTGATAGTGCTCAGCGAGACAATTCTACTTATTATAATAATCAAATTGAATCTAAACCACAATAAAAATTAAAATCAAGATTTGGATTAGTCTGTCTACTCTAATCTAGAGCAAATCTATGGAATCAAAATAAAAAAATAAAAAAATGAGAGTATCATGTAAAGAGTGCATAATTATGGGTAAGGTATTAAACAGAAGTACTGAAACTAAAACATCAAAAATAGCCACAGAGTTACAATGCATGTGCAATACAGGTTAAAAGGTGCTTCATCTATTTGAATGTCCGCTACATCCATACAGTACCCCAGTCACACCAACAAGACAAACACCAAACTGACACCAGTCTGACACCAAGCTGACACCAGATTAACACCAGTCTGAAAGCAGACTGACACTAGACCAACACCAGACTGACACCACACTGACACCAGTCTGACACCAGTCTGACACCAGGCTGTCACCAGACTGGTGTCAGACTGATAACAGACCATACAAACAATACATTGCACCAATTGGCCGAGGATCAGTCGTTTGGGATTCAGTATGGAGTCAGTTAGAGTGACTGTGGTGTAACAAAGAACACCTCTACATGGCTCATACACATTTTGTTTCTATCTATTTCAAGTTTCATTCATATTCTATTTTTCTTCAAAATTGTATATAATTTACTGTACTGAAAAAAGAAAAAGGTACATGTAGCTACTGCATCCTACATTATACATGTATACAAGATTCACATGGCACAATTTGCATTAACTTTTTAATAACAGCAATAGCAGAAATCATATTTGCAACTGAATTATCATACAAGCTCTGATGTCTCGTTTTTCTAATTGAAAACTTGCTGGAATACATGTACACATGTAAACATGTGCCATATATGTCTAAGAAATGTGCTCATGTTATAAATGTTTATAGCATAGATTAATTTCATGAATTTGAGAGGGCAAGAATCAAGCTTGTCTATTAAAGTAGGAAACAAAGGATGCAATTTGCAAGCGTTTTACACACTCTTTGATGCTGTTAATTCAAACTCATGCAGAATAGAAATAAATGAAGGAACAGTTTGCATACAAGAGTGATTTTATCATATTAACAGGAAAGTGAATTTGAATTCAACATGCATGAAGAATGGAGATGGGATAGAAGTCCAGTCTAAACTATGAATTGGAAATAAATAAAAAATTGATGAAGTTGAAAGGAGGCTGAACACAGAGACAAGCTCTATATAAATAAAAAGAAGTCACAGCAACGCACTGCAAAGAGATTGAGATAACCTGCCAACACTAATAAGGTTCTGTTTTTAATCTCTGACAGAAAGATAAATTCGAACTTACTTGTTCTTGAGTTATGAAATTATAGACTTTAGGGAAAAACATGCATGAGACATATTCTTAATATATGGAGGGACATCATTTAGGGATATATCAAAGAGTGTATACATTTAAATGTTTCTCTTTTTTAATGTATGATTGTTAAGGGGAAAGCCAGGAACCGTGTTGTGGGATTCTTATTTTTGAATGCAGGAATATGTATCATCCAATGAATACTAGATCACGTTGACGACATTTAAAGGATACAATACAAACACTTTAAAGAGGACGAGAGCAAACATAAAACATTCCATCACAATAGTAAACTGTAGTGAGAAGGTTCAGTGTGGAAAGTTATCAACATCAATGTGTACGGTGGGAATCAGAAAAAACATGAATAGATGCGTAACCATGGCAACATGATGCAGACCTTGTGGGACCAGGTTGGGAGTGCTGCGGCTTCGGATGCTTTGGTTGTGAAATCCTGAGAAAGCATTAGCCTCGAACTGAGCCGTTCCCATGGAAACGGACCTTAGCAACCCTCCGCTGCTGGTGCTACTTCCAATGCTGTCTTTAGCCACAACTGTTGTTTGCATGGGCGATTGGAATAAGTGGTAGGGAAATGATGGATGAAAATGGGATAAATGTAGGAAATAATAAAACCAAATCAATATTGAAATCAACAAATTATAGCATCAAACAAAAATAAATCTAATAAAGTATGGGAGTGATCTGTGATAAAAAAAAAAAACCTTTGTCTGTTGATGTCACCTTAAAAAAAAATAAAAAAATTAATAAACGGGTCAGTTGGCAGGAATAAAAAAAATTCCTTAAAAGTTTATTTCATTGTAGAGAAATAGTTATCAAAGGCTTCACTGAAATGCGCGGAATTTAAAGCAGAATGCTTTAGTTTATAAGTGTAGCCACAAATTTTGTTGAGTGAAGCCAAAAGCTTTCAATGTTAAGTGAAGCGTGCTCATGGAGGCAATGCAACTTTAGGTGTATTATGTTAAATGCTTTGTAATGTCTTACAGATGCAGCAGATTGGATAGAATGTTATTATTATCAGCACATACATGTCAGCATAGACATTAAACAAAAAGGTTTTTGAGAGGTATAACTTCTTCTTATCTCAAATAATGTTGGGAGCTTGTAAGGCGGCAGAAAACCTGCAAGTCAGTTTGAAAGGAATTTCTTTTTATTCCAACTGCACAAACACCAAATAATAAGTAGAGACAAAGAACCGCCACCATTTGGAGACATTCATGACGATAAATCCCTTTCATTTTGATTCACTTCAAACATGATCTCGATGATTTAAGGGGTATCTATCTGCACATGTATATTGAAATCTGACCCTGATAATTAAAGTAACAAATAAAAGGTGATACTAATAAGAATGAATAATGGTTATATGTTGTTGATTTTCTGAGCAAGACAAAGTAGAGGCAATAGAATTGCTTGGTTTGGTTTGGTTTGGCTAATAGATGGACCAACTTACCCTCTGGTTGCCATTGGCTCATTAAGATCTGAAGTTGAGTTTCTAATTCATTGTATGGTAAACAGTAAAATTGATATATTCAATGTTAAGGATCACAGGGAGTACTGCTTCCCTACTTTATTTCCTTTGATATCCAAAGAATACCACTTGCTTTATCAACTCAATTTAGACCAAACTGTCTTATTTTGAACAATGGTAAAGAAGCAATGTTATGTGATCTTACATATTTACATGGATACATTATAGAAATGCAAAATATAATCATCAAATCAATGATTACCTGTCTATTTCTGAAAACTCACTGATGTCTAAAAAACTCAGTTCATATCAAAATGTTCATAGCGAGTCAGTGGTTAACATGCAACCCTAAAGATCTATTCAATGCAATACACTACTTAAAGATATCAAATCTCTGGCTTTTTAATGAAATGAGTCTAAAAATATATTTCAAATTTCTGGACATGCATTTGTTTAAAATTTGATTTATAATATAAACTTTCCTCAATAATGATCCTTTTTTCCTTTGCCAAAGGATGCACACACTGCCTTCATTCTATCTAGGAATGATGATAATCAAGCTAGGCTAGGAGAGTAGAATTATGATTGAATAACAAGGGGAAGGGCCTATAACTATAAAGAAAGAAGATGTTCTCTCAATTTTATGAAAGTATTATTACTTTGTAATACAACACACAGACAAGTTGCAAGTGAGGTAGGGAAAGGAACTATATAATTCTATTTAATATTGGAACTTTTTCTTTTAATTCATATTTTAAACCAAACTACAGGTATCCTGGTTGGATGGCTAAGGAAGGCGAAGTTCTAAATATTTCAACAAGGATAAAAGAGTTTTCGGGTAAGGACTTTGATGCCTGCTAATTTTAACTAAGACAGTATTAAGTACAGTTTATAGAAATGCATGCAAAAGAGTCTGTTTCTCTTTCTTTTAGTAGCAGCTTTTAACACATCAAACAAATGCAATGCAAAGCAATCAGTACACTTTGGGATAGGAATTGATTAAAAGATATGCTGAATAAAGTTTCTTCATTTCAAATGGGGCTCACTAATTACATTCCTACTACACTCAAATTCTTTAGGCCTTGTGTGTATTGGTATTGTCAAATATGGCACTTGTCTGATGTCCAGATTATGGTTTACACACCTTTAATTCTGATTACTTGTCATTTGCATATCAAATGTTTTTCTTAGCCCTTATCAATAAGAGTTTTCTCCTGTCTTTTATTCCCCTTCTCTTAATTTTGAAAGATTAAAACAAAAATGTTATCAGGAGCTTTAATTAATTTTAATGTTTATTTGATACCTTAATATTACAACACTGGAAACAATTTTGATAGGAACAAAACAAATTAATATGCTACAAAGTATATTGATTTGCTTCTAGTTTGCCAATTAAGGTTCATACCAGAGATTGAATCTCTCCTTCCATATGTTATATTCTTAATCCATAAATCCCTTTATCACTAACCCATGTAATCAAGATCTATATAATCAGTGTTTATAATTCCAGGGTAAAAATCAAACAGATGCCTTGCTTTTTGTTGCTAGCACCCTTCCCTGCCATCAAAATGCACTCCAACATTCTGTCTACCTCTTCTTTCCTACATTCTCCTTTTAATCTTTCTATCCCTCCATCACCAACTCACCTGACTGTCTGGATGGCCTGGATACTTTCTTCATCGTCGGGGGCAACGCATCAACGCTGTCCCTCTTCTCTAGCATTTCCAGCTTAGTATGTTCCAGTGGTTTGTTACTAGGCGTCCCCTCAGCTATGGCAGCATTATCTATTGGAGGTTTACTCTCCTGCTCAGGTGAACTTGATCCCTCACCGGTCTCTTCTTTTTGAGGCTCCTACAAACACAACCAAAATCATAGGACGGCATTCAGCTTCCATTCAAACAAATTGCCTTTAAGTTGGTATTTTAGTTGTTCTTCTTGCACGATGTGGAGCACATAATTGTTCATGTACAAAGTGGATTTGGTTTGATAAATTGGGAGTTAGAATTCATCCTCAGTCCAGAATGTAAGTCATATTGACCGATGGAACAACGATGGTGCAACTGGTCAGAGCTGGAATCCCAGTTGCTGCAAGTATATTATTTTGCAAGATATTGATTTTCAAATGTGGAATTCTTGTGCCTTGTGTAATAAATGAAATTTTGACATTCTTTATGGTATTCAGGTAAACCTAGGGAAATAACAAGCTTATAATGCACAGTGTTTACTTTGATGGAAATACTGTAATTAAAGAAAAGTATCCTTTAGATAAGGTGCTGTTTAAATCCAATTCATCATTGTTATTATTATAATACTATTGAATCCACTCCTAAATATGCCCTACCGGTGTGGAGGTGTTAGCCATATCATCGGGACTGTCCTCTACTGCAGCTTCTTTCGATTCCTCCATCAATTTGGCTTCTTCCAAGAGAATTGAGAGAGCTTCTGTCCTGATCTTGACCTGTTCATCCATCTTGAGCTGATGCTGGATAGGATTGACCAGAGCATCTGCAAAGTTTGCCAGACCAACGGGCACGTAGTCTTTGACCTTGATGTGGACAAAGACTGATGGCATGAGGAGAGGCTGGTAGAGCTCATTGCGCAGAGGGATGTGACGATACCCTGTGAGTTGGGATTGAAAGAATGGGTTTAACAACACTCCAAAGGTCTTGAAGCCAAGATGTACACCCACTAATCATACATGATACGCATAGTGTACAGTCATATTTTCATTAATAATTAAATACTTACACAGCCCTCATATCCGTCATGCAGTGACGCTCACGGGGCTTAGACATAATTTCCCTGGTTATAGCCAAGGTATCAAAGTTTCTCGCACTAAAGCATATCAAGTACCCATTTACACCTGGGTGGAGAGTGGAAAATGTCAACGTCTTGCCATTAGACATTAGTGCCGGGCTAAGATTTGAACCCCATACCTTATGATCTACAGTCCAGTGACTTATCTATTAGACCACAACATCTCTACTAAGAGTATTGTTTAATATCTAAACAATCATTTAAAGTCATGATATCTATTGATTTGTGAAATAAGAAAAATAAGCATTCAAGTATTCATACTACCTACAAACAAATCTCAAAATGTAAATATCCTCAAGGAGTGTTTTCCAAAGTCTTCATTATCTCAATCTCTATCAAAACATTCTTCTCATGACCTTTTGGATTGAATATTCAACAGAGATAACAAGTACCTTCACTACATCTATTGGCTAGATACCCTTCATGAACTAGACTTCCTAGCATTATTAAATGAAAAACCCGGCTTATGTATACCTTACCTGGTCTGAGTGATTCTACTGGTAGAATACGATGTCCAATCTGTTTGTTGTTATCGTCATATGCAGTGATTCTTAACATAGCTAGTTTAGGCATGATAACCTAGAAACCAAAGAAGAAGAAGATGAAAAGTTAAATACTAATATCAAATCACATAATGTAATATATCTCACTTTTCTTTAAAAGAAATATTCAAAGGAAGAAACTCATAAAAAGAAATCAGGCAATTTCAATCAAACCAGAGAGTCAAACAGAATGATCTTGATCATGGATTGCATGAGGCTCATTTGAGATAAATAATTTAGGGACCACTATTGAAATGACGCAACGATAGAGCCTCAAATACAGGATGCAAATATGAACCGCCTTGAAGAGCCTGAATGGACTGTTAGGTTAGAATGTGATATCAAGACTAGGGAACAGAACTAACAAGAGGAACACAAACTCTTCACCATGATCCATATGCAGTGGATATTAGTTCAAAAGCCAAACCTTAATCGGTTATTCCTAGTTAAACTCCCAGTTAACCCGTTGTAATTTACCGATATTTCTTGAAGGATAAATAAACCTAAATATAAAAACTAGATGGAACTTCGACTGCGCGCAGTCGAAAATGATGCCTCCGTCATAGAGCAATTTTACAAACCAAAACAGAAGAAATTTTTCAAATTCAAGTTCAATTGTAATCCATTAAGAGGTTCTCAGAATATCGTGATTACAAGCAATTTCTCATATACATATATGACCCTTTGATCTTTGACCTGATGACCCTAAAATCTACTCAGTTCATTGGCTCTGCAAGATGTCCTGAGTTAAATAGTAATCCATCTGTCAGTTCTAATGAGAATGCGTTCACAAGTTATTTTTGGATACATAATGAGCCCATGACCTTTGACCTCATGACCCATGAATCTACTCAGTTCATTGGCTCTGCAAGATACATACATGATCGAAATTTGGCAGGAATCCATCAATCTGTTCTAATGAGAATGCGATCACAAGCTATTTTTGCATACATAATGAGCCCTGTGACCTTTGACCTTTGACCTCGTGACCCCAAAATCTATTCAGTTCATCGGCTCTGCAAGATACATACATGACCAAAGATTGGCAGGAATCCATCGATCGGTTCTTGAGATAATGCGATCACGAGCTCTTTTTGCATACCTAATGAGCCATGTGACCTGTGACCTTTGACCTTGTGACCCCAAAATCTAATCAGTTCATCGGCTCTGCAAGATACATACAAGACCAAAGTTTGGCAGGAATCCATCCATCGGTTCTTCAGATAACGCGATCACGAGCTGTTTTTGCATACATAATGAGCCCTGTGACCTTTGACCTTTGACCTCGTGACCCCAAAATCTAATCAGTTCATCGGCTCTGCAAGTAACATACATGACCAAAGTTTGGCAGGAATCCATCAATCGGTTCTTCAGATAACGCGATCACGAGAACGGGACGTACGGACGGACGGACGGACGGACGGACGGACAACCCGAAAACATAATGCCTCCGGCTACTTCGTAACGGAGGCATAAAAACATTGATGAGCAAGTTTGATCCTACTGTGCCATTTCCATGAAGCGCAGAAATTATTTAAGATTAGAGAACGAGATGAAAATGCTTTCTTACCTTGGGAAAGATGAAGCCATCATCTTCATACTGAGGGTTGATACCAGTATTGTTGATAGTCTTAGTCTTATACTTCTTCCTTACTGTGTCTGCTGGTAGACCAAACATGTCCACCTCAATGTATGTTCCAACCTTCTTCAAGAACTGGCCAGATAGCACCTGCAATATCAAACAGTTATCAAGTTTAAAACAGGCTACAAAAGAAACATTCGTGATACATATACTGTTCCAGGCATGTCAATGTATAACAAAACTTCTACTTTAGTACATAATATGAAGTGCCACATATAGATCTTTACATAAAGTATCCTATCAAATTTTCTGCACTTAAGCCATTTTTTCTCCATTCATTTAATCTCTATGGTAACTCATTTTTGGCTGTGGACAGCAAATCCCCTTAATAATAGCAACAACAAACTGAGATTTGGGCTGAGAACAGATCATTTTTCTCTCCAGAAACTACATGTACATGTTTTCCGAAGATTTTTTATTTTCTGAAGAATTAGATAGGGTTAGGGTTAGGCTTGATAATCAAGATTGATGATACTTCATTTATCATAAAGGTTTGTAAACCTCACGGCCAGGAGTTTATAAAACCTTTGTGTGGTTTGACCTTTTGACCTCTGACACTGACACTGACCTTGACCTCTACGGTAGCAGCTACAATGCCATCCATGGTGGACTCAGCGAAGGGATCAAAATGGCGGTCCTTTCTTCGCATGAAGTCAGGTTTAAGAATATATCCTGTTCTACCATTCAGATTGAACAGACCAAGATTCAGTTGCATTGGTAGATCTGTAAACAGACAGAGACAGATTCAGAAAGAAAAAAACAAAACATTTAAATTCAAAAATTTTCCTCTGAACAGAGCAGGTTATTACAAAAAATTAAAGTAAATACTGTCAAATGTACTGTATCAATATACATGTATGGGTTGAAAAGGAAACAAAAAATTAAATTAAAAGGTTTTAGTTTAAAAGAGAAATCCAAACACGATGACAAGTTGCTTTGAATGAAAGTAGAACAATCAGAGAAACATATTGGTGAAAGTTTGAGTGATATTTGATGTCTGATAAATGAGAGGTCACAAATACATTTCTTAAAGGGACGAGGTAACGTTGTTCAGATGAGAGAAAATGGTGCTAAGGTGGTGATTTCAATGCTAGATGTACAATTAAAGATAATCTGAAATTTTGCGTGAAGACAGACCATTATTAATGATAAAAATTGGGAAAACTGATCTGCTTGATTCCTTGATTATCCCAACTATATTGTTACAATTTAATTACATTTTAGGTGAATGTAAATTGTTACAAAGCAATGAATTGGTTCTATATACCATTCCAGACATTTAAGTGTTGACAAGTTTGTTAAAGGCTGCCTTATGTCTTATTTTCATGAAAAAACAGATGGGAAAATTAAAAAATATAAATATCTTTGTGGGTTGAGAACTTGTTCAGGATTTTTTGCATGATAGAGGGTTAGTACAGTAGAAGAAATATAATAAGTAACATTTCAAACAAATATTAGACAGATTTCTCATCAACCTTCACCAATGTTACTGAATCACTTTGTAATAATTATGAGAATGTAAGGCACTCACCAAGATTTTGGTAGTTGAGAGCAACCAACTGGCAACCAACATTCCAAAAGATCTAGAGAAGATATAATAAAGATAATAATTAGTAAAATGGAAAATATTGTATTTCAGAAAAGACTTGAAGTCACTTGGATGTAAGTTCATTATAGATATTTAAACATCAAGTAATATCTTCACTTCATTTTTCAGCCTATTATCTTTTACTTTTCACTAGTAAAAATGAAATCTTCACAAAAAATATTCATCTAGAAAAGTATTTTTATTGGGCTGCAGAAAGCGCATAGAGACATGGCATTTTGATAATGTGTTTAATAAAAAGTTTCATTACTATTAGGGTTAACATAAAATAATTGAGATGGTATTTGTATATACTGTTAAAATAAAATGATGCATTTGCTATGTAAGGTATACCTGAGGCATGAAGTTACTTGAGTCTACTCTGGTTCCTTTAGGGTAGATCCTAGACAATTGTCTCTTGTTGTAGCTGAGGTGTAGGGAGTTAAAGAAACAGACTGCTTTCAAAGACCACTCATTCACACCCAATTAACACTTCGGTTGCTTCCTCCAACTCTCTGCATGGTTGCTAGTTTGCCACATGTGCATTCTTGCACAAAACAATAGATACCAACTGATGGAAGGATTACTTTGCACAGCATGATGGCTTTGAAAAATTACCAAATTCCAGTCTTGACTAGCTAGAAGACAGCGCTTTCAACAGCTTTGTACATTAATCTTGCACTGAAAACAATTAAATAAATAAGCACTTAGTATATCTATTTCATGATAAATACAACGTGGCACAGGGAGATTATTTGTGTAGAATATCAAGAGTTAAACCCACGTAGGATAACAATCATGATCCACCAAATACACTCCATTTTCACAGACGTTGAATCAAATTGTATGAAAGACCCATCGACATACCAGTGCCATCACGAATCACGTATGACTTTTTAGGTGTAACCATTCAAGAAAATTTAGATTGGAAAAAACATATCAATCATGTTTGTAATAAAATTGCTCCAATTTATTGGTATATTGTATAGACTTAAAGGATTTTTTACCCCTCAGAATATTACTTAATATCTATTATTCTATATTATTTCCTCATCTGAACTATTGTACTATAATTTGGGGCAATACTTTCAAATCAGACTTATCAAAATTGTTTATTTTACAAAAGAAGGCAGTTTGTCTGTTGACTAATTCTCAGAAGATGACTCCAAGCGCGCCACTTTTTGTTAAATATAAAATTATGCTTTTATTTGAACTGATATCATTGAATACCTGAATTTTTATGTTTAAATATAATAAAGGCGCCCTTCCGGAAATTTTTTCTAACATGTTTCAAACCAACTCAAATTTTTTTAATCATTCAACTAGACAACATCAAGATCTACATAAACCCTTCTCTAGATTTCGTTTTGTTTGTAATTCAATCAGATTCATAGGGGTACAAGAATGCAATTTGTTGAGTAGTGACATAAGAAATAGCACAACACTGTTCAGATTCAAAGCATTGTGCAAGTTACATTTATTCAAATCTTTAAATAATCTTGATCTTTCTTCGTAGCTCTTTATCTCATATTTTCCCTTCCTCTTATATATTTGCTCCATTCTGTCGTGCGAGTGTCTGTGTGTCTGTGTGTATATGTGCGGGGGCATTTAAATTTATATTTCTATTATAATGTACTTGTATGTAGGGTCCCGATTACAAGCAGTCTTACTTCTCAGGGGCCCTGGCCATTATTACTTGTTTATGTTGTTGTTCTTTGATATTCTTCTTCTCTTGTATTGATGTTTTTGTACATATATTTTTTTTTTCATGGTGAATAAATGAAATGAAATGAAAAAGTATCCAGAGCTCCAGGTTGCCATAGATTCACTCAAGCAAGGCAAAGCCAGCGGCCCTGACAATATTAGCTCAGAACAAACCAAAGACTCCTGCTCCTCATCCTGAATTCAATCCTACATATTGGACACTGCCTAAAATCACTGAAGATAGGAATCATACTGCCCTTTCACAAAGGCAAAGGAAAAAGCACTGAGGATCCATGCAACTACCGTGGCATCACGCTTACTCCAATGCTCACGAAGTTGCTTGAACCCTGCATCAAGCCTTGCCTCAAGGCACAGCTGTCCATCAACGACATCCCAGACCAACTACAGTTCGGCTTTCGCAATGCTTCTCATGTCTACTGACTGCATTGTGCCTTCAACTCACAATCAAGATCACAGGAGCTAAAACGAGACCCTTGTACATTCGCTTCCTGGATGCAGAGAAAGCATTTGACAAAGTATGGCCACCTTGGCTTACTCCATAAGCTAGGAAAATCTGAAGCTGATCCGGACATCCAGCACATCATTCACAACCTCTATAATGGAAAGGAAAGCCAAGTCCTCTGGGATGGAAGAGTCACACAAACTATCCAAATCCAACAGGGTATTCGTCAAGGTGGAGTCCTTTCTCCCACGCTATATACTCTGTTCATCGATGGTCTGATCAAGAAGCTCAGAGACAGTCAGCTAGGATGCATGGCTAATGGCCGCTACTCCGGTGTCATTGTGCTTGTAGACGATGTCACCTTGATCAGCAATACACCATCACAGCTGCAAGAGATGATCACGGCAACCCAAGCACACACAAGAGAGTGGCGCTATGGAATCAATCCCGCTAAAGCCATTGTGGTGATGAATGCTCGGAAGATGGACAGCCAACAGGAATGGACAATGGGGGATCTCACTATATCCCGTAAAGACTCTCACAAACATCTTGGGATCACAAAGCCATCATCACAGACTGACCCGACTGATTGCATCATCTCAAATGGTATTAATGCCTTTTACGCCCTCTGCGGTGCACAGGCCCATACTTTTGGGGTCTTGTCCCTCTTCTCTCAGTACACCTTTGGAACATATATTACATCCCCAGGATGATCTACGGAACCCCCATCTTACTCTTCAATAAGTAGATGTTAACCAAACTAAACCGTGCACAGACCCACCTATTCAAGCGTATCTTAGGCATTCCTGTCACAGCTGCTGATGAGAGTGTATTCCTCCTAACAGGCCTCATAGCAATCAGTCAACAAATTGACCAAGAGAAGCTACTGCTGCTTGGCCAACAACTGGACCTCAACACGACCAGATTCGAGCGTCAAACTTTTCTACATGCCTTCAGCATTGGCACTCCCTCAGTGAAAAGCCTGAGATGTATTCTGGCTGTGTTACAAGCTTCCAACCATTGAGGACCTAATTACAGATCCCATTGCCTACATCTCCTGGAAACGCAGAGTTAAGAACTCAATCTCAAGGAAGCTACACTGGAGGAAGCTGCTACCAAAAGGTACCTCACATTCTGGCATGGAAAATCCATCAACCCAAGAAACCTCTACCCAAAATACCCACTATCAACAATAATTAGACAGGCACTGACCATTAGAGCACAGCTTCTCACATCTACCTACCTCATCCCGAACCCGCCTCACCAAATTTAAGAAAGCAGCTAGCACTATTAAAGTGTTCTCTATGCAATCTTGAGGAGCATACCGTCATACACGTCATGGCTGCCTGTTCGGTTACTGTCAACCTATTGGAAGACCTTATCCACAGATCGAGTCAGTAGACTCCTGCATAATGTCCTCGACTCTGCACCAAATACACCACTGCTCAACAGCCAGGACCCCTCCCATCTGACTTGTGCCATCCTCTTGCTATATGATCCATCCCTTCCCTACACTGTCAATGATACTATTTTGTAGATGACACATTATCTATATAAAATTTATGCCCATCGCCTGCACTCTATACCCTCTAACTAAGGGCTATATAGCATATTTACAACACAGCCTACCATTTCGACTGCGATGAACTCGCTGATCTCCGAAAAGTGGAGGGACAAAACAGAGAGAGATGGAACCATCATATATCTCATTCAAATAGATACATGAATATTTTCACATTTCACATTAAAAAATAAAAAGGAATGTTAAAGAGTGAGGAAAATGATCAATGACCATTTCAAGAATGACAGAAACAAACTTTAGAATGATAAATTATACTTTTTACTTGGATGGATTTAATCTCTTAAAATGTCATAGAGTGTGGCTCTAAGCTTACACTTTTGTGTTTATAACAATAAAAAAAAATTGATTGATTTGAAGAAAGGATAAACAGGTTTATATACAATACCAAAGTAGGTGATAAGTAGTATATGCTTTGTATTGAACAAACACAGAATGGCAGTTACTTTTTGTAAGAAAAGGAGAGGCTTAAACATAAAAATTTGTTAATAGTCACTTCAGTATAATGTTAGGGAAATATATCTGTCAAAATGTGACTAAACATTGGACTTATACTTTTGTGTAATTGACAATGATTGATTTGAGGAAGTTTGAGTATTTAGAGTCCCTTGTAAGCCTCTTTGGAGATGGCTACGTGCATTGTGGAATAAGGCATCAACAAGAATGTGATCAATGTTCCTTTCCTTTATTTTTTATTTTTATCTTGATAATTCTTTCCTTTATGAAGAGAGATAATGATTTTTTCTCATAAGTACTGTTGGCTATCTGAGCCTGTCCCATACATAAAGTATTACATACAAAAATTTCCTCTAAGGTAACTTAGCAAAATGCAGTGGAACAAAAAGACACATCCAGAATGCAAACTGCATAATCATAATTTTATCCCACAGATAGGATATGGATATTTTATGTATTTTGCGTTGCGGATGTGTCTGCCTAATCAATAGCTATGAACTGCTTGCTTGGTGATATCAGCAGGCAGGACCTGGGTATCTCCAAAACAATCATGAAAGTCTTTTCTGTCAAAATGGCTTTGGTCCCATACTGCCCTTGATGATAGAATATGATATCGGATACTTGATCAAAGATCTATGTCAACCATGCTTCCTCTGTATTTGAAAATTTTACTAAACCATTCTTAATGATCTATTAATAAAGAAAAGGACAATGCCTTATCCAATGGAAAGGACATTATATAGATCAAATTGTCATTGGTGATGATGTTTGTATTGATAATTTTCAAAGGATACTTGACAAATTCCACTGGATTTTCCTTGACTCTGTTCATGGCTGAAGTTTCCACAAATGATGAGATCTCATAGCTGTGGTTTCTCTCTGTCAAAGAAAAGAATGAGAAACACATCATCTTGCTCTAATAGAGAGTTCAATTCATCTAGAAAATATATCTAGTATCTAGTGTATAGGGCACTAGATTCTGGATAGATAAGTCCTGGGCCCCATCTTATAAAGACTTGTGATTGATTTAGATCAATCGCAAGTCCTCCAATCAATCGCAAGTTTGCACTCTCCTATCTCTTACTCTTACCGTATGTACCGGTACATAGTTATGATTGATATCAATTGCAAATAAGTTGCGATTAATATCAACTGTTTATAAGACGGGGGCCCTGGGCTCTGTTTCATAAAACTTTTCCTCAATAACAAGGGTCCCATTTCAAATTTGCTCTAAGCCAATCATATGCAATGCTTTTAGTAGCTTAGAAGAATTATTGCCTCATGTTATTGATTAAAAAAAAATTTCAAACAGAAACCTCTCCCGTAAAAACAAAATAATTTGTTTGTAACTAGTGACCTTTACTATCATTGATTTCCAGCTTATCACAATAGATTTTTATTATGTTATGATTTACTCTTTTCGAACATCATACAGATATTTGCTGACTTACTGTCTGACCCTTCAAAAGTTGAGAAATGGACCGGCTGGACGTAATTGACCAAGGCTGACATCTCAGCTCCGGCCTCTGCTTCTTGACCAGCTGTACCCTGTACATGAATAACATACGGTCAGTTAATGGTCAACCACGGGTGGCTATGTCATAATTTGGTTGAAACAGTTTTACTCTGATATAAAATGTATTTCCAATAGGTTTTATCTTGTATATTATCTGGTTTTATCATGAGTAAGTAATATAGTCTATTACTAAAGACCAAAGCTTAAAGGGATTGGGTATCTTTGGCTCAGATTCTAAACAAAATCTTGGATTTAGCTCATGGTGCAATCATAGTTATAAACTTTTAGGTCAGTCAGGAATCCCATGTCTTTTACAAGCCGATCGCCTGTCTGATTATCAAGATATTTATGATTGGAATTAGAAATGTCAGATACTGTTTGCCATACAGTTTTGAACAGTTTTTAGTAATACCACAGACTATTGGGGAAAATGAGTATGGTAAAACCAGTCACTCAACGCGACTGAGTTTTTCGCTTTTCTTTTGGGGGATGTGAAATTTTCCCCAAAATAAATACCGGTTTCACTATTGGGAAAAACGCTTTTAAAAGTTTGTCTAACTGCATTTAATTCTGGATATATACATGGATGCATCTAACAGTTTCACCTCTTGACGAATATTTTGTTTTTCCATAGACCTCAGCCAATGACAATTAAGGAATGAGTGGGTAGTTTGAAGACTCAAAATATCCTCATACAAGAACCAGCTTACCCTGTCTTTCTTTTCCTGCAGCTTTTTGAGCGCTTCTTCCTTACTGAGAGCTTCCTCATCGTCGCTTTCATCACTCTCCTCATCGTCGTCCTCTTGGACATCCGTCAGCTTGGAATCATTGCCTGCATCCCCATTTTCACCGTTCATTTCAACATCTCCACTTTTCTCTGTAAGAATAATAGTAACTAGAATTAAATGTTGCACACGTATCCTAATCCCAAGGGATGGTGAAGGCACCTCATAAAACTACTATCATCCGGTGACTAAACAATTGCTCTGCCAGCATTTTCTTCAAACTTTATTCCATCCAAGACGTATAGTGAGAACTGTAATTGGGTTTAGTGTTAGACTTACATATAGGTGTGCTTTTTTAAAAGGTATCCTTGCATCTATTATTTTGTCAATTTGTGTATTTATGACTGTTATATGTAATTTTACATTGTTGGATGATAAATAAATAAAAATAATGTCGGGAATAAAGTTCCCTGTTGAGCAATTGTCTTGTTGGATTATGTGTTGTTAGCTCATAGAAATTAAAACCATCTTAAAGGTAATACAAAGTTTTGGGAAATTTTGAAAATTGGGTGGATAGTGATTCTTTACAATTTTTATATATTTGAATGCCCCTGTGGATGTATTATAAACACTAGAAAATTAAAACACTTCTGCTTTCGAGAAAAATTGAATATAAAAATTTACCAGTGCTCCCGGTAAATTTTGATAAATTTCAAATAGCGCCTAGGACCGTACAATGGTAGCTGCGACCATGAAAATCTCAGAATATGTAGTTGTGATATATAATTTCCAAACGGGAATAGCTAATCGTTCAATTTTAGTCAAGAAATATTGTTTTATAGCATAATTAATATCTTGACCTTGAGAGGGAGCTATACAGCTTAAAGAGTTTATTATTTATAATTTCATAACTTTAGACTCGATTTCAACCGCGACATCAATCACTGAATATTGTAGAATTGCATATACTTCCAATATGTTCATTTGAACCAAATTCATGACCCTACACCAAAACTTTGTATTACCTTTAAGCAATAACAATGAGTAATATTGCACTTTTCATGTAGATGAATACTTGTCTTTGAGGTGTAAACATAATAGAAATATCATTAGCTGTTTCTGATTTTATTTTCTATTGAATTGCATTTTTCAGATGCAGACGAGTCACAGGATCAGAACGATAGGAATGCAGTATTCGTGTATATGACTGCACGGCTTACAAATAAAGTGAACTTTTATCTGAATCATGACAAACGTGTTTCTCTAAAAAAATCTATTCTGTGATTTCACTCATTCCAGATTCAAGACTCAAAAATGTTATTGTCCATATTAGATACATAAATTTGATTTCAATTGAAGCTAGACAATAATGAAGCAGTGCTCTCATTTCATAGTTAAATTATAGAAAATATACATACATGAAGCAATTCATACCAAACAACATAAAAGTACAAAACCACTACGGTAATTTTGTGAAGCAGTACTGAAGTAATGGTGAAAAGACAACAAACAAAAACATCCAATACTCACCTTTCCAAACATACATGTACTTCAAAGAACAAGGTGATTATGAGAATAAGGTAGTATAAATGTATAGATCGGCAGTGTAACTCTTAGATGTTAATGTCCCCATCCACAAAATATACAAAAACACATTACAAGCAATACACAATCCATGTCATTAGACCACATAAAACAGTCATGAATAAAATAACATGTTATTTAACCATTGTATCATTACCATGGACTGAACAAGAGATGTTAATGAATAAAAGAAAAACCATACAAACAGATCCTATGCAGCAATGTCATGATATAGATATACCATTAATCCCAGACTCAATGACAAGGAATAGCAGATTAGGATATTTGAGAGATTTTATGTTTTACATGGAGGTTCATCTGCTTGGAGCCAGATGGGCTGCAATTCATATCATTTCCACAGTGTTAACACCTTTCATATCAATTCCACAGTGTTAACACCTTTCATATCAATTCCACAGTGTTAACACCTTTCATATCAATTCCACAGTGTTAACACCTTTCATATCAATTCCACAGTGTTAACATCTTTCATATCATTTCCACAGTGTTAACACCTTTCATATCAATTCCACAGTGTTAACACCTTTCATATCAATTCCACAGTGTTAACACCTTTCATATCAATTCCACAGTGTTAACACCTTTCATATCATTTCCACAGTGTTAACACCTTTCTGACCCCAAACAGATTAGATATAATAGTATACCAGTATATATTTAAATAATGATTGAAGATGCCCACAAGAATAAGTATAAAAGGAACCACCTTCATAAATTCTAATGCATGTTATTAAAACTTGTAGTTTTTGTTCTAAATATAAATTAACATGTTGTTATATAATAAACCATATCAAATAAGAAATTAAACAAAAAAACGATCTGAAAAAGGGCTTGATTGGCAAATATTGCAAGCACATTCAAATGTCTTTAAACACTCCATATGTCATGAATAGGCAGTCCTGGTTCAGTGGTTTTAGTGTATATACACAATGAATTTCTTATCAGCGAAATTGTAACACAGGCAAATTATGATATAAAAATGTGATAGACATTTGTCATTAACATAATGTTTGAAAAATATGTGAGTGTAACTTAATATGATGAAAAAACCCACATCAATGCACAACATTTCAAATCAATATAAAATGTATTTTTAACAAGTAGGATGTTTTTGAAAATCAAAATGCAATTCCATACAATGTACTGAAAAGTAGAAAACAATTTTGTGTGATCTGTCTTCTTCACATTCTTGCTCTCTTTTCCCCACTTCTGTAAAGAAGTTACTCATGATGAATAAAACACCAAATTTGCAGCAAAAAAAAAATGAGCACATGTATATGAGGATAGTGAGGAGGAGAAGCATCAATTCCTCCTGGTAACATGGCTAAACTGACATGAAGGAATATGCATAGATCTACACTGTAGTCAACCTGTAAATGACAGGTTATAATTATTATAACTCATAATACTTAAACCTTCAATGAACTCTGAAAATGATCATCCAAAATGATATATCCATAACATTACATTTTGTAATATCTCCCCAGGCAAGCAATATAATTCTTTGCTCCACTCAGGCTAATTACAAGTTGCATTAAAATCACACAAAATTCTCTTCTTGTTAATTGTCTTTCTTATCTAATATGCAAAATACTGTAGTGCTCTGACTGGTTAATTATGAATACCCTAATTGAACCATTTGAGGCTCATAACAGTCTACCAGATGAACACCCCCCCCCCCCCCCATTTAAAAAAATAAATAATAAAAACATGAATAGATAAATATACATATAAATAAACCAATAAATGAATACATAAATTAGTTTACTAATTAATCAAATAGAAAATAAAAAATATATAATTAAGTGAACATGTTATTAAAACCACATTAACCAAATGATGATGAGCCAACCATTACATTGTATTTGATGCCAGCCAGGTACATGTAGTAATGATTACTTAATGATGCATGTATACACACATATAGAGAATGAACATATTATACTCTAATGATAAACAACCACAATCCAAATATGAATGCTTACTGTCCTTATCCATGAACAAATGATACATTCAATATACTGGCAATAGCAGAGAAAGCGTACTCCTCCACAGTTTCTTAACTGACAAAACTATCCTTTCATTTTGTAAGAAATATTATTTTTGAAAAATAAGAAATCACACTTTAACATAGATTCGTTATTGGTGACAAATATTTATTTGCTTTTCTTTTTCTTTATTTGGTGTTTTATGGGGAGCATAAGGGATGGAGAAATGAGAAAAGCCCCCATTTACACCCGTTGAGCAACAAGTCCCTTAAAATCTCTTTGGCCAATGATTAGTAAATGTATAGCATTTTTTTTACAAATAGCAAGCATTTCAATAAATCCCATTAGAGCACGATTCCATTCTGTATGATTAATGCATGTTTGATATACAAATGTAAAATTAAGATGCAGGTATCCATGATAATTGCTGTTGTTGTTGTTTATTACCTTCGCTTTCCTGTTTTGACATTTTTCTCTTTACACGTGGAGGGGGTGGTTTACTTGTATCTGTATCTTCATCTTGTTCAAGAAAACAAACACTATTGAAATAAGAAAAATCGCCTCTCTCTAAATAAAAGGTATGCATTCAATCAAAACAAATCAAATCAAAAGAGAAAGGATGAAGAGCTGTCACCAAACTCAAATTTGCAAGCTTGCTATTAAAGAAGCTGCACTTTCTGAATACCAATCTCACTTCAAGCATTATTTGATATTCATAGGGTACTTTAAATTGTACCTTATGAGATAATTGAGTGATTAGGATGACAATATAAGATATTACATGAATTCAAATAATAAGATGCCCTAAAATCAATAATAAAAAGTCTTGAAATATAAATGGGTGCGGATTCTTTAAATGAAATAAAAGGAAACTGCCCATTATTGATAATAAGCCAGTATAATATCCGTGAAGGCTTTTTTACCTTGTGCCTCCTGTCGAGATAATTTTCTTCTCTGCTTTACATCATCACTTTTCACTGTGACTGTGAGGTGAGAAGGAAAAGGTGAAGCTCAAACAGTCAAGACATCTTCCAAAACTAATTGTAAACAAACTGCCTTTCCATTTGCTTCTTGATAAATAAAGGTTAATACAAATCTCAATGATCAGGTACAGATATTTGTGAACAAATCTATTTGATAGAAGTAATGAAGATGCAACTATTTCCCCTTGATTTAGACAGTTTAATACACTTTCATTTATGCTTTAAAATTTGTTTTTAGAAATTTCAATAAATTTCAATTATGCAGTAAACAAATTTTGAACATCACAACACTTGAGGTAAAAATATTTCATTTGGTTGGGACGTGACATGAACTATTATTATTTATACGGCAGTCAATTATAGAGTACCGGTAAAGGAAATGTGATAGCATGTGCGATTAGATGTGAAGCAATACCGGTAAGGTTCTCTTTTATAATAAATCAAAGATTGTGAAAGTGCTTAAAGTATTGATGAAGAGAATCAGGGCTTTACCATCTCCTTTCGATGTCTTCCTTTCAGAGACAGGGGGAACAATTTCATCCTTGCTGCCTTTGGATTTGATGACAAAAAAATGTATATCAATTAGTAAGCAATTCTTGTGACCTTTGACATTTGAACTTTGGCCTCTGGTCCCTGGAACCTAATCAATATGCAGAATAAGGAAGAGTCAGGAGCACCAGGTCTTATCATCATACACAAATAATTTGAAATGTATGTTCTATTTGCCTTCTGCTCCTTCTTTTATAAATCTTTGATGGCAAAATTACAATTCTCACTGAAAATCGTAATCAATAATTAGGCCACGTAAACTAAAGTCATGTCCTGTATTTTACAAGGGGATTACAAATATTATAAGACGACAACCATCTCAAAATCAAACAACCTGTTTCATGCACTCAATCTTCATTATAATTATGTATTGAAATAAAATAAACTATTGTGTGCTATATAATTTAATCTTTTTTATGACATAAATATAATACACATAAGATCTATATTGCATGCAGTTGCAATTTACCCATTGTAAAAAACTGCCACTTAAAAATCACTTCGTATTTGAATGAGCCTTAACACATACTGTATGCATAATAATATAACTATAACTATATGGATACATAATATCATGATAATGATAACAATGAACTATACTATGTTAGTATAAACAATCAAAATAGTCACACCACAAAATCATTAAGGTCCTGTCAATCAAACAGAATGAAAACTGCTCAAAATGTGTTCTTCTGAACTGATGTAACATCGATGGAGTGAAACTATTGGTTCACATATATAAACAATAAATCTCTTCTATGAAAATCAACAGCTTATTTCTCAACATAAACAACTAGGGAGCGATATGGGAATATATTATTGTTATCACTATCGTTACTGATGTCATTCAGGTCTGACCTGGGGGGTGTTTCACAAAGACTAAGATCAACTTATTCATGCCACTGGTTGCTCTCACCATTGGTCTCTCAAGGGATGTCACAAATCTACAGAATTCACATTTTTTAATACTTTATAATTGAAGGAAAAAAAGTTATCTAAAGATCATCATCATCATCAAGGTTTTTTTTCCTCTTACATCTGGTTCAAGACTTTTAAGGGTATAAATCGCCTGCCATAGTTCAAGTCCAACTTAAGTGGATCTTAGTCTTTGTGAAACACCCTCCAGGTCTTCATTCATTCATTCATTACAAGCATGAAAGAGTGCTTAATGCATGTACCGTTTCCGGAGCAGGAGCAGATGGAGCTTCAGCTAGTGTCTTCAATATGCCTCAATGCATGGAACAAATTAGCAAATGTTTGACAGTGTTCTTCTCCCTTTCTGTCTTTAGACTTCTCTATTTGTTCATTTGTCTGTCTGTCTGTTCAGAGATCTACTTTGTAGGAAGTCCATATCCCCCATTCTCCCCCCCTCTCTCTCTCTCTCTCTCTCTTGTTATGTCCGTCTCTGTCTGTCTCTTCTCTTCTCTTCTCTTTCACACACACCCACACATACACACTCTCTCTATCCCGGAGTTAATCATGAGTAAATCATGAGTTTTATATATAGACCCTACATTTGCACCTGTCTTTCATGGTATAACTTCCTGAAGTCTTCTGTTGTTAATGTAGATAATTGCCCATGTTAAGACACATGGAAAACACCATATTATGCATGATAAAAATAGCACTTTATTGTCCCTCTTGGTGCTTTTGTTAGGGGGTGTATACAATGTGCACACAGGAAGATACTACAAGTACTAAGGTTAGTCTCATATTACTCATAATCAAACAACATGTTCATCTTTATTTTTGCAATAAAAAAATAATTAAATAGTTTCTTCTTCCTCCTTAAAAAGTTGCGATTGATCCAAATCAGTTGTAAGTTTTGCAGTCTCCTATCTCTTATTTTACATAGTTGAGATAAATATCAATCCCCCGAATAAGTTGCAATTAATATCAACAGTGTATAAGATGGGGCCCTGGATATAAATTCACCAAACGAATGTTGCCTGCTTGTAAGTCACTTACTCTATGTATACTGATATAAGGTAACATCTTGCTCTCAACAGATTACATATATCATATTGTTATTTCAAACCCTTTACCAGCCATAATGGGTTATATATTGAGAAGAGCGACTGGTATTACCTCCTGATTTTAGTTTGGGGGTGGATGAAACTTTGCTACCTGGTTTTCCTGTTGGTAATATCAAATAATGCAAATAAGATGATATGCTCTGTTGGAGCTAAAGGGGCATTAACTTATAAACCTGAACAAATTCTTAACGCCCTTCTGACATAAACAAACGATATACAAGTGCGGCGAGTTTTGCAAGTACTGCACAAATTTAGTTACCATTGTGCTGTTTTCATAAATTTCACATGAAGTACCGTACATGCTTTTTCTTAGGAAGTACTGCAAGCAATTTTAGACATGTTTCACAATATATTACATGAGACAGAATACATCATATGCATGTATGATACATATCTCTACCCACACAAACAAAATTTGTAATATTATGGCAACCAAGATATTCAATGACACGTTTTGAAAGTTGAAAATATCAACTAATATACAAACATCACAAACATTTATTAAGCATGCATACTTTTAAACAAAATACCAGCATACATACATTTTTGTGTGTGTACAATATAAATAATACTGTTTTGTATTAAAAAAAAAAGATCAATCTAAAGAGTCATTGAGGTTGATCAATTAAGTTCCAAGAAGATATAAACTTTATCTATCAAGAGTAAATAATTTGTAACAAACATTTCATGAAAAAGGGTAAGAAAATAATTATTCTGATTTATGGGTAATAGTGTATAAATTATGAAACGTACAAAAGAAGTTTTTTTTTACTCATCATCTCTAAATGTGGCATATAATCCTGATCCATGCATTCATTTACAATGTTTTTCCTCAAAATTGCAGGAGACACAACATCTTCAATTAGTAGAGTGAATGAAAATGGATTGATTGATGTTATTACCTTCTGTTCTTGATGTTTTGGGTTTATCTTCAGGTGTAGACGGTGACACACCCTCTTTTATTACACTGCCTGTAAGGTGGAGAGGGGGAGGCAGAAAGCCGTATGATACAGATGCTACAATTAGGGTGGGGTACAACAGAAGACATTCTTCCCCAATACCATGACACACTCACATATATTTATATAAATATATATATAATTTGATATGGGGTAGAATATGCACGTATACCTAAAATACTCATGAACTCTTACACAATAATCTTTTTTTTAATAACAATTTTTTTTTTTAAACACATAATTTATTGTCTGGGGCACTTTTACATACGGATAGTTGTCTGAGGACTACAGTCAAGAGTCATTGTCCTGATGGGTACATATATATATATATATATATATATATATGAATAGTACAGGTTTACACAGGTATTTAGTTAGCACATTATTTATTTGGAATGCTAAACTGCTTTTTTTTTTCCAAAGATAAAGTTTGTCATTTTCAGTGTCTATCTAACATTATACAACATGTATCTATCTGAGTGAAATGCAATGCACTTTACTGCCCCTACACCCTCCACATCTCACATTCTCATTCATAAACTAAAAGTATTACCTTCTCCATTTTGTTCTGGTGTCTCAGCCGTCTCCTCAATTGTCTTCACTCCCTTTCCTACAAGATGATTAGCAAAAAGGAACATAGGGGAGAGTCAATAAACTAGCTCAAAATATATTGCGAGTCGTGTCATGCTGTATAATGTCACCATTAGAATACATATCTATGTGAAAAGATGAATAACAAGTATCTTCATAATCATGAGTACTGACAGATCAAATTGAAAAGAATAAATCAGCAAAATAAAAATTATTAACCAATCTTCTGTGTGCAAAATGAAACTGGTGCAACATTTCTGATTGTGTGTGTTCGTTTTTAAAGCAAAGTACATGCAAGAATATGTCTCAACTTGGCCATCAATTTGAGAAAAAAAGCAAGAGTGCAAACAAAGAGATACAAAATAAGCATCACATATTGGTATAAAGATATCTTTGTGATCTTGCTTTAACATGACAACGCAGACACAAACAACTTGACTCATCAGAATACAGAACAAAATGCAGTGTATATCAACATAATGTTAAGATGCATTGTTATTATTATGATACCGTGCTCATTGGGTAGATATATATGCAATGTGGTGTTAATAATCATGTAAAGCTTCATGCTCAAACTTAATGTGACTATACATACATGTAAAGATGCAATCCATGAATCAATGAAGAATGAAATGGGGGGTATCAAGTGATACTGGTATCGTCCAGAAGGGGTGCAAAAATGCACCCCTGTATCTGGTATAAGCTTTATTGAACCATACTGTGCATGGTATACTTCATATAATACATAATCCTCTGATGTGAGTATAATGGACGTTACCTTACTATACAAAAGTATATACAGTGAACTTATCAGAGAAAACATTTAAATTTTATTTGGCTTAGGAAGTTGATAATACTTTACTAGTAAAGATATGTAAAGAGATGTAAAGCTTTTGATGTTGTGTGAAGTACTAGATTTAGATATATGGGAATTTTTTCATTTTTTTTTAAATGTGCGTATTTGCGTCAGTGGGATGAGGGCAGGAAACCTACATGAATCAAAGTGTTAATAAAAATCTTTTGGTGTATTTGCGAAACCAAATTTTAGAAGTGTAAAATAATTTTGAGGTAAAAAACTATCATTTGATAGTGTGAATACAAGCCAACAGAATAGATACCTACTTGAGATGTATATGTATTCTGTCAAACCTAGATTTTAACTTGGAGTGAAAGATACAGAATATATGATTTTTTTTTTTTAATTGATGAAATGTTTCACTTTTATCCAAATATCTTTTGAAATGTCTATTCCTACACTACGGGGTTTAAGGGATGTCATCAATATAGGATGAACTAATCGGACCTGGGAATCCTGTATACAACTTCATGAATATATTACACATTTCATATATACTACAGACTATATTTCAGGCCAAGAATACAGCATAACCAATAGGGAATAAGGGAGAAAAAAATAATGAATTCATTGACCAAACATAGCATGATTCGGTGCTCAGTGCCATCATGATTTACATGTTGACTACCACTAAACAACTTGACAACCAATCAGAAGACTGGTCTGGTACTCAATGCAGTCACATACTGATCACAAGCCATACCTTCAATGTTAGTATCTTCAGCCACAGCTATAGGCACTGAATCGGTTCCCCTCAAGCTTATTTTGCCTTTCATCAAATTATGTTGCAAAAAAGGGGGAATTTAAATGATAAATTAGCAATAACTAATACCATACCATCCTTAGGAAGTAAACTGTGTTAACCGACAATGTTCTTCTTCAAAATGGTTTAGAAAGGTCACATGGTCAATGTAGGAAATTAATGACAAGTTTAAAACAAACTGTTTTTCTGAGCTATAAAGAAATAAAACACTCCCCTAAAATATTTTCATATCTTTCAAAAATAATAAAATTAAGAAAACTGAAAAAGTAGCAGGATCAAGAATTTCTATCTGGAAAATATCATTGTTTTGAATATTTTTTTTAAAAGGTAAAATATAACTCAAAACAATCGGTTAGACATTTCTTAAGAGACAAAGCATTATTTTCAATCTAAACTGAACACAAAGTTTGACGCACATATGGTGCATGAATGATGAGCACAATATGGATTTGGAAAGTCATTCAACTCTTTGGGGGTTCTCCCATGCCAGCCAGCTAGTAAGAAACAAAGCTGACATGAAAGGACATACATCATGTGGTGAGGACCAGAAGGGTATTACCGGTATATAAACCCTTATATTAAACAATGAGATAATATCCTTCTGCTTCTAATGAGACAGTCTCAGTCCTCCGGATATCTGCTGTCATTCATTAAAGGAGAAGATATGAATTAATAATATGATGTTACTTGGTAGAGCATGCAAAGATGAGCTCTCTTGTATTCCCAAGCTGGATAATGCCGTTGATACATCCTATTACCTGTAAGGAAAGTCATTATGAGCAAGATAAAGGCTAAAAGGAAATGAAAGACCAGATGGAAATAGTATCTCGGCAAGGTTTTGTTAGTGGTTTTATATTTCATCAAGTGTTTTTTCCAAGAAGTAATATGCACATGAATGTGGAGACAAAGAGATGAATAAGTTGCTAACAAATAATCAAAGTATTAAAAAAAACTTTCAGTAAATCATTCACACAAGTGTTGTCAACTTCCCTTGGAAAAGAAAAGAAAGGCATTTCTTAATTTTTAAAAAAAGAGACACTTCATTTTTCCACAAGAATAAAAAAAAAGTGCTCATCATACATGTTATGTAATAATAATCAATGCTGACTGGAAAAGTTTTTTTTTTTTAATAGACATGTTTTTTTGATCAGTTAAAGATCACTGTGCATAAACAAATGCACAAGTTGATCAGCTATTTAGGTGTTAGTGCTTCATAAATACACATTCAGCAAGTGATTAGTGAAATCATATTCAATGGTTTTCTCACTATCATACATTTAAAATATAGCAGCATTAATTAATTACAATTATCCATTCCCTCATAATTACTTTTTTCACAAACACTTCTGAACTCATAATGTCAGTTAAATAGTTACATTCTACAGAATAAAACAATTGACAAAGATTGCTTTACAGGAATAACGTACATGTATATCTCTTAATATAATACAAACATGAGTGCGAAACAAAAGCATGTTTGACATCAGTACAGAGCTGCACTTTAACCTTAATACAAGATACATAGATGTCTGTCACAAATCTGTGTAATATATCTGGCTTTGAAGTAAGAGGTGTAAAATAATGATGGAAACAAATTGTGGAAGAAATTCAATGTGCATGTATCTAGATGACAGAAGCCACTTCAGTCTAGGAAGGGGGAAGCTTTATTGAATGAAAATGAGGCTTTCTCAAGAAAACAGTGTAACAATTGATGTTGTTCTTGTTGCTATTGTACAAACCAAATCCTTGTAATCTTAAGTTTTAGTACATTTCTAAGAGTTAAAATTCAAACTTTTGAATAGGATGAAGAGAATATTTCTTCTCGATCGTCTTATAATATCTCACTGAATGACAATACTTAACAAGAGCACATAACAACTGTCTTGGTATGCACAACTGATCACACAAGAAATTATGCTGATATTTGAATATGATGGTTTGGCTTTGACTTTTATTGTTGTTTTTTATTGAAATGAAGGGATGTAGTCAGGCTATTGGGTATTTCATGGGCATTGCCCATCATCAACAAGCAAGGAAACTGCTTGAAAATGAAGAAAATATAATCTGTTTTTGAGCCAGAAGGGTCTTAGCCCTGTGTAACATTCTATGAGTTAATGCCCTTCTGGCTATAAACAGACAATATGGTTCTGTCAAGAGTCTTAGCACAATGTTTGGCTAACTTATACCCCTTTCAAAGTCGCCTGATTTTCATCGGATGCATCCGGACGCATCCGATGAAACAGCCACTATGAATGGTACAGAGGAGAAAAAGCTGATAGAATAGCCAATGGAAAGAAGGCGGTTTCACCTTTGATTATATAAGGAAAATTTTATTGGTATTTTCATCGGTGTGACTCCGATAGAAGCACTATGAAAGAGGTATTAGATCACTTTCAGTGACAAAAGAGAAGCCCAAAGTTGGCCAAACTCTGAGTAATAGGAATCATTATTCTATGCCCATCATAAGGGATACATTATATTAAGCACGAAAGCTTTCTTTTAATGTATGGCCAAGTGAGTAATAGGAAACATTGTCAAACCACATTGGCAAACATCAGTGTCTAAAAGACTCTGCATGTCAAGACAGAACATAGGATTCTCATTCATTGTCCCCCCCCCCCCTGCCTGCCTGCATCCCTACTGATATTAGGATTCTTGATATGGAGATGAGATGTAAGAGATGATTATTTCTTGTACTGATTGCATATTATTCACCCATTCATTCCATGGAATCAAGTACAAAACTTTGCAAGCTTTACAAATCAACAACATTCTCTGTAACACACACTCACACAGGTACAGGTACAAGTCCTCAATAAACACTTCCAACATATCAGAGATTCTTGTATGATGGAATGTGCCATATTGGCGTCACATAAAAGAATACAGTCCTGAACATTGGCTCACAGATCATTATTATTTTCCAGCAAGTTTTTTAAAAAGCAATAACACTAAATCATGATCATTACTATTAAATGCTGCTTTTTCTTTCCAAATCATACAACTAATATTTTACTATTAAAGCAATTGAAATAAAAAGTTCTCTTTAATCTATTCCACAGGATGGGAATAAAAACTGAAATTAAACTTTAAATGGTTTATTTTATTCGCGCATGCACTTCACACCTCAAACTCACACACAAAAACAACAATCGGCAAATTTGTAAAGGCAATGCATAGCTAACCATATGACTGAGATTTTGTTTTCTTCTTCGAATTGCAGGCTTAGATATAAAGGTCCTCAAAATTGAATTATCAAAATCAGAAGCTGTTTCAATCTTTAATAAGACTTCCAGCCAGAGATAAGACACAAAGTTTACAAGGCAATGTGCATTTACTACTCTCATATTTTTCTTATATCAAAATCTATTTGAAGTCAGGTTAGAAGGTATGCAAAAGCCTTGTTGTCAAACATGCACCAGACATTGGAGTACTTGTACAGGAACATCTTGTTTGGTATGTAACACGTGCATAGTTTGGTGTGATAGCTGACATATGAAAAGATCATTGGATGATGTCTGTCACCATTACAAGCTGAAATGTAACTTCAAGCTATTCTTTTTCTTTTGCATCTATCCTCTCTTAATTTTAAAACTTTTTGATGCCTGCTTTGATTTCTTTGATGATACAAAAGATAAAATGCATGGTATGGATTAATTGCTAGCTTTATATGGCTATGACTGATGCATGTATGTGTACATGTCTATCGACGAGTTCTAGTCAATATCTGTGAAGCAAGACGATGTGATTTTGTACAATATTCCAATGATCTCTCTTGAAAAACTTGGTGAAATTCTACAACATACTACTAATGCTTTGAGAAAGGAAGAGAATTTTTGCTTTTTAATTTTTTTTTCAAGTTGCAGTGCTTTGTGAAGAGATGAAAACAGGACAGGTTGCCCGGGTTACCTGAGTCGTCTGGGATAATAGTCTCATCATAAGTCACTTCTGAGATCTGTAGGAGCATTTTACGCTTGCTACCTCTTCGAGAGGCTGTGGTAGATAAAGTCAATGACAAGCTCTAGAGTATATAGAATTAAAACTGAAGTAGAAGTAGTTCTAGATAGCTTTGTAGATGATAGCAACATGATGTTTTCCAGAGTTGGGAATGTTTTCATAAGTAGTTCATAAGTACACAGATTCAAGGAAATTGTTATAGAAACACAACGTCCCTTAGAGTGGAGTCTTCTCTTCTTAAGCAGAAAGGGGAAAATACACGACTACATAGTTGAAAAATACAGCATTTTAATTTTGTTAATGCAGTAGGTACATGGTTAGCTTTGTAACTAATAATTTGAAGAGAGTTGCTATGCCCTCAATTTCAAGAACTGCTTAAGAGAAAGTGAGATAGTAGGAGTGCACTATTCCATTAGTAATAACATTAACTCGAAGAAAATTAAATTTGCATTATGTGTGACATTTTCTACAATTTTCAAGCCACAAAATCACCTATTGCCATCATTGATGACCTATTTGCTGAAAACAGAAATGATACAGATACTTGAGATACAGAGATTTGAAAGAGAATTAAGAAATTTACTTATCAGAAATTATAGTATGAATCTAAAATCTTTACGAAGAGATAACTCTACTGCAGAAGTAAGGCATAGATAGAAGGACAAGAATTTTCTGATTAATATCTCCAGTTTGTGAGTTCCCATTGGCTGTATTGAGATGAAAGTGACACCACCATGAATTAATGATTAAGATAAGATTGAAAAGGGTTGAGTATGAATGTGATCAACAATGCTTGATGTACTACCTGACCGAGTAGGCCTACTACTATCACCAGAAGGAGCATCCCCGCTATCCATGGAGGTCAATGATGTAGTGCTCTGAAGGCGTCGACCTGGTGTCACAAAAAAAGTAATGTCGATACCGAACTTAACTCCCATATTAATAAGACATTGTGTTTGATATAGAATCCTAATGTGATAACCTAACAATTTTAGCTTAAATTAAAGAGACCAAAGTACAGATAAAGCATATTGGAGCCCTAGACTAAAGAATACAACAAAATGAATACATGTAAGTAATACAATGTACTGGAAATTCAAAAACACTACGGAAATACTTGAAATTAGAAAGGAAATGAAAATACAATTTTCAAAATTTTCAATTATAGACCGTACAACATGTATTGCGTATGATAGAAGAAAGTGAAGTAACAAGTATTTCCTTGATGAAATACACAAATCAGAAAAATCTTAAATATTGTCTGTTATAATACTGTAATCATCTAGATAAGTGCTGATTAAAGCCATTTAGAAGTACATCTGTAAAGAAAATGGTGGATTAACTGAATCATATAGAAAATTGTGATAAAAACTGGCATGATATTTGGAATAATAAAGTGACCTTTCTCTTGATGAAAGTTTCTGAGATCATATATTTGAAAGGATCTCAACATTCCCTTCTATATCTCCACATACAATAATCTGGAAATATCCATTTGTAAACAATTAGAAAACCAGAAGAAAAAAACATGAGACCACAAGTGAGTAATATTTGGATAAATACATGTGTATAGCAAGTAAAGTGTTACGGGTTTATGCTCCAACGTACCTGTGCAATGGTCTAAATGTATAATCATACAGTTTCCTTCTAGTGGAACTGGAGTAAGAAGTACAAATATGCATTGGAATACCCATGTAAACATGTGACAGGTTGTATTGATCAAATATCAGGTTACGTAAAGTGCAGTGATCTGATTGAATAAATGTATTCACATTACAAAAATCAGTTCATATAAAACTGTTTATCAAGTAATTCATACACATGGTACAGTAATGTATGAAACTGATTCATATACCAGATATTGTTATGAACAATGGAATGTATGTGAGCAGTAACAACAATTGTTTTTTTATTTCTTACCTTTTAATGTATATAGTACATACTATCAATCTTTCAACAGCAGAAACTATAAGTCTTGTGTCAGTCCCATTGAAATTTAAAAATCGTTCAAGTTTTATTGATTTAATCCTCCTAATTAACCGTTTTGAGTCTTCTCTTCAACTGACTTCAAGTGCTCTAAAGAACACATTTATTTAGTCTTTTAGCCTTCTTTATATGCATTGAGTATTGAACTTAACCATGCTATGCCATCCACATCATATTAGAAACATTGACTTCTGGTAGACAAAGAGCTATACAATCATCATTATAACACCTAGCATGAATGGATAAACTTTTCTCAGATTGTCCTTGTCTGAACACTATCACTCAGAATATGCAGATGATAAAAACACAACGTTTACAGAATGACACAACAAACACAGATGAAGAGCCAATTGAAATACAGTCCCATAACAGATCGTAAATTTACATGATATAAAATAGAAAAGTAATTATATCATTCATTTTTCATGGAACACAATGAAGACGATATGTATTGAGATCAGACGACTTGTCTATTATGAGATAACATTGATGAGTGCATTTAAGTTTTGAGATTAACCATGGTCCCTTGCATGGCAACAGAACATGAGATAACAAATAATGGATAAACATGGGAAGAAAGCCACTGACACAATACAATCCAAAAGTACAAATGTACACATCATATGGGTTCCTTTAAATTGTTTTGAAAAAGCTAACATCGATCCCCCATTCCTTTCCAATAGAGAATAATTTAATTTTCTGAGTAAGATTGAACGTAATCCCTTGGTATTGATGTGTGTGCTTCCTCATGCAGAATGCAGGGTGGGTCGGGGCTAGTCCACAATCTGGACAATTGTTCTCTATATTATTTCCTACACTTGCTGCGAGCCATGAAGATGGCATGATAAAAAAATATGTACACCCAGCCTAAGATGTTGTTTAAAAGAGCATAGTAATTTGGGGATCAAGCCACCTTGACCTAGCAGCAAGTAGGAGGAGTTGCGTTGTGTTGGTGGAGATTGTTAAAATCACATTGGCCAGACCCTGGACTAGCTAGGTGGGGTTTTCATGCTGTTAGAATATCCCATTATCTATCTTCTTCCTAAATCACCCCAAACTTCTTGTCTTTCTCTCTTTCCTTCCAGCTCTTCCCTATGCTCCAATCCACTCCACCAACCCCCCCCCCCTCTCTCTCTCTCTCTTTCTCACTCTCTCCCTCCCCCTCTCTCTTTCTCTTTAACCCTCTTGCTCCTACCCTTGCTCAAGTGTCTTTTCTTTCTCTAGGCTTATTCTCATAGCAGATCTCTCCCTTTCTCACCGTCCTCCATGTCCATTGCATGAATTAAAATCCTGACATAATCTATCTTTATCCCATTGCACCTTGCAGCTATCCTAACAAGTGGGAAAGGAAAATCTTCTTAATCTTACACTCTTTCATTCTTTGTAAATACAGATAAAATTGCTACATGGGGAGTTCAAGAATTCCCAAGGCTCTCCTCAACCATAATCTACCAAATGAGTTGAATACCTAAGTAGATAATGTACTTGTGTACATGTACTAATGGAAGAGTTTTGTTTTCATTAAAAGAACTGTAGGCTCTGGTTACCCCTGATTCTTTGTAGTAAACTACTTGTAAAGTAGTTATTAATTACAAATGAAACATTCCCATACAGGTTCACTGAGAGCATTTCTTGAGTAGCATTAAGTTTCTCATCAACATTGAAAAGTAGAAGATTCCCCATGTAGCATTTTCATCATGAAGCCCATTATATCCTACAATTATCTGATCTGATAGGAACTCACTTTGGAAGCAATTGCAATATCATTCAATGAGAAAATATATAGATTTGCAACCTAAAATCACATGAATGATAAAATTGTGTAATTGTTGCAAAGAAATGTCAGCCTTCCAGTCAGAGAAAATGCTAACTCAGATCTGAATTGTAGTGATTGCATGAATGTCCTTAATTTGAAGCTGACCTGGGCCCGTTGCATAAAACTTACCATTGATGGTAACTTTGCCATCAATGGTAATTACCATGGTAACAGGGCTCAACAGCCAATCAAAATCAAGGTTTCAATGGCAGTTACCATTGATGGCAAAGTTACCATCAATGGTAAGTTTTATGCAATGGGGCCCAGGCCTTTGCTTCATTTAGAGGCTGAAAATACCACACAATTTTGTTTCCTATTTGTTAGACTGTTAAGAAACTCATTCCAGGTGATTTTACATTAAATTTTCATGATATTGTTAGTTCCTTCCAAAAGTGGATCACATTCATATCACATCAATAGACTGAGGCTATATTAGGCTTCATCTGGATAAGAAATGTTGATGCAGGAGGACAACTAGGTACTGATGCTTTAATGTACTGCATGATGCTCCAAGCATGCTATGATGGGTGAAGTCAGTGAGAAAGAAAGTATGCAGGTCTACCTCGTCTCATCGTAGAGGGCGGCGTCTCCGTCGATTCATCAGCATCAAACGAACTGGTGAAAGAGGAGGTGGAGCTAAATCGACGCTTTCCTGTCAATCAAAGTCATCAGCCAATCAAATCAACAGGAAGGATGAAGTCGACCTTAAATACTATGTTTCAAGGATAGCATTACAGGTAAGCAAGTGCTAAATGCTTTATTGCTCACTTGGCAGAAAAGCCCAAACACAATTGTTGTTTCTGGACATTTAAAAAATTCTTTACTTAAAATTGCTGATGTAAAGCTATCACTGTTTAATGTTTTTACTTCAATGTATAGCATTGATGTAACAAAAATAGTCTTAATTTTGGATTCAATTTCTGAAATGAACATTGATTGTCTTTGTATCCATTTAGACCCTTCTGCCAAACACACAATGAATTGTTAAACATATATTGTATACACCATTTCATTATAAGTTCATTGACATAACAAAACCTCCCCTAGTCATGCTCGGCTTCACACAACTTTTCTGTTTTAATCTGCAAGAAAAGAGTCAATACCTATGAGTGTATCTCATGAAAATATAAATCTATGTATTTCCATTTAATTCAACACAAATTATACTGTATGTTCATCTTTATTAGTTCATTTGGGAAGTAATATCCAGCAAATGTTTATTTGTAGTTAGAATCCAGGGATAACAATGGGTGAATTCAGCAACAAAAACAATAAAAAAAACATGGTTCATTAGCTCATGTTTATTATTATCACCATTGTTATGTTTACCATACCCCCATGATATGTGCTCAATTACTATATTAATTGGACCTTGTATTAATTAGCAAACATAACAGGTATAACTCAGCTATAATGAATGACCCACACATTAATAGCCCATTAACAAATCCAGCATTATCAGCCTTGCTTCTGCTGCCTCATACAAATAAATCCTTCTCTCAAGTATAACGTGTGTTTGAAGCAAGGAGGGCATTAACTCATACACTTTAACACAGAGTTTATGACCTTCTGACTCTCAACAAGATATATATCAAACTCTGTTAGAAAGAAACAAAATGTAGTCATGATACTGACGGTGTTAATGGAACGTCTGATGATCTCATTATTTTGTCCATGTCTATACTTTTGGCGATACCGTACATATATACTAATATGAAAGAAACGAAGATATAGAAGAAAAAAGAATATATACAGATGATAAATACAGTATGATGAATAGAGCAATGTTGATAAGCTTCTCCAGGTATTAAATTGATCCAATGGTACATTTAGATTAGTGAATTTGCCTGCATAGTATTGTATACATGGTATACCTTCAGATGACACTAGCTCTAAAGTGAGCATGGAAAACAAAGTGTTCTGAATTGGTTCCTTCGATCTTCTTCCACCTGTCAAGTCAAAATCAAGTTTGTAAAATGTCAGTTAGAAATTAAATGTTTGTTCCCAAAATATAAACCTTGGTTGTGATCTTCTTTGATAATATAAAGCAAGACTCACACATATAAAGTCATCATCATCACAATCAAGTGTTCCTAGTCAAATTAGCTTCTTTCATTTTCACACATATCTAAATTTAAACATTGTCTCCTACAATCTCTCCCACGGGCATCATTTATTTCAGAAGTATTCAATCTTCAGAGTCTAAAATACATGAAACTTCAGCAGCTGCCAACTTTCAGATTCAGTTATGAAAATAGGTACCAAAACAATCCCTCACTCATAAGGCCTGTCCTCATCAGCTCGAGTTTGCCAAATAACCCTCCATTTTAACTATCCCGATCGCAGGTTAACTTACTTCTTTATCAGCCCGCAGTTGCAATTAGCGGGATATTTGGTCGAAAAAACATCCCAAGAAATCCTGGTCTTGTTTCCAAAATATCCCGCTATTTTGGAAAAAAGCAGGCTAATTTGTGCCAATCCAATCTAGTTTGTGATGAGCGTATCAGTCTGGTGAAGAGGCAATTTCGAGCTTTGGGATAATATCCAGAGTCTGAAAATAGCGGGGTATTTGGTAAACTTGAGCTAATCAAGACAGGCCCATAGCCATACCCCAGTCACATCAACGTGACCAACATCCCTCCCTCAATAAACCAAACCAATACTACATCAAGCCCAAATGAGTCACAAGGTTTGGAGTCAGTTTGGCAGTGTGACTGAGATATTCAAAGTAAATGCTGTATTTAGCTCTAATAGTCCACAATTCTTTGTTAGTTTGGTTTTAGGTGTTGTTGTTGTTGTTTGGGGGATGACATATGCATTGACATAAACATCTTATATTCAGCAGATTATGCAATATGTACTGCTCTTCTGTTTGAATATATTCACCAGTTTTCTGCAAAAAAACACAATCATCAGATTACACCTTAGGGTGTATATGCTACGTTTGTTTTTTTCCTGATTTGTGAAATACAAACTCATGTGTCAATCAAACGAAAGGGCCAGAGAATGGTTCCATTTAATGTGAATGCTTTGAAAACTGTGTCTCATTTCCACTTTATTAAAAAAAGTTGCATGTGTCATCTCTTCTTGAGAAGAATCTATTTTCAACTCATGAATCTTTTATTTTCTCTTTTATTTGTCTATATTGAAGGATGGTGGAGGGAGGGAGGCTGGCTCAATCAGTCAACTGATTCCACAGAGACTGTACTGCTAGAGGGGAGTCTTCTCATACCATGCTACTCAGTCTCTATATTAACATGACTTACATGTGAATAAACATTAGCTCTTGCTTCTATACAAGCTCAAGTAAATGCCTGATTAATTGAGATAAAAGCATGATAGTATCGTACTCCACATGCAAAAGTATACATGTATGTACAAGTAAAAAATGATTAAATTGAATAAATACATATATGCACATCGGGAAAAAAAAAACTGGATGCAAGACCTACTATAAAAAATATATAGTTAGAAGCTGTGGTATAAACGGTTATCTTCAATAGGCAAATACAGAAAGTCTAATAAAGATGGACAATTCAGCACATTATATAATCAGACAAACAAACAAGAAACTACTTTCCATTAAAACATTGTTCATGATTCTGATCGAGATGAGAGTTTCTATACTAGCCTGCATCCATCATTACAGACAAATCAATGGAAGGACTTTTCATTTTTGTGTAATATTTGTCTTCATGGAGAGAGGAGTTTTACCGGTACATGGGGCATAGACAGAAGACAGTCTAATGTTTATTTGACTGAAAAAATAATTTGTAATATTATGTATTCTACTTTCTATGCATCACATAGACACAAATATATTCCAAATATCAAGTACTACATAGACTACTATGGATTAAATAGCGGGAAAATGTAACATGATCATACGTGTGGTACATTAGCAGGATACATATATCCCTTTTGGCTCTTATCCAATGTGTCTTCTTCTTCTTCACTTTGATTGACTACTTTACTTGACTTAAATGTTCTTTTTTCCTTTTGAAAGGATGTACTTCCTGGTTAGATCCTGTTATAAGAGAAAACAAAGTTAACATTTTGTTTAGCTACATAGAACACATCAAAGGTATATCAGAGGGAGCAAGCGTCAATGTATTAGCTGGAGTACAAGAGGTAGGCAAACATGTACTGCGACCCGGCCGGCCATGGGTGATCCCTTACCTGCTCGTTTCTTGCTTGCATCTGTGTGCTTGCGTTTCTTGTTCTTCACCAGGATCTTATTCTTGAGAGCTGCCGGGCAGGGCTGCGGCTTCCCCGCTTCCAACTGAGTCGGGAGAAAAAGTGCATTAACAGTAATAATAATAATAACAATAAAGATAGCTCCATTTATATTAGCATGTATCCCTCCCTGGGGATGCCCAAGGCACCTACAAAGTACATGTAACAGCTGTCCTAAGGTGCTAAAAGCCTTCAAGGAATCTATTAGGTACCCATTCACTACACCTGGATGGAGAGTGGTAAATGTAGATTAACGTTAGTGCCACAGCTACTGGACTAGAACAATGAACCATGTGATCCACAGTCTGGTGACGTATCCACTAGACTACAACACCTCTTACGAATATAAGCAATTAATAATTGTGATAAAATAACATACCTTTTGCCATGAATCTAGTGCAACATTCTGTAATACTGCCCTTGTTTTAGAGGAAATGCCCTAATGTAATGAACAATCATTTCATGAATATTTCCCTCGTGATTATTAATTTATTGTCTCCTTGTGATATCCATCAATATTTTGGTATTAAGATTAATACCATGGCAGAATCAAACCAAGGCCTTTAATCCATGGTCCAGGGACATATCCTCAAGACCATGACATCTCTATGCCTTCAAGAATACCTTGAATGTTTCAAAACCAAATCCATGTATGGCTGCATAGATAAAGCCATGGTTATTGTTAAAATGTACATGACAAATCAATTAGATATGCAGTACTTCATAAGAAGGTAAAGTATCATAAAAAAGGAATGATTTGTTCTTGATTTTCAGTTGCAAGATCCTGGATTCAAATCCAAGCCGGCAGCTCATTTGTCACTCAACAATATTTTGAACTGCAAGAACCTTTTTGACCGTGGGAAAAAATTCTTGGGTTACGAAAGAAAGACCATCATATTTACAAGGGGTATGAATAATTTAGTTATTGTAGATCTACTGTAGATCTACATATACACAAACTACAGACATCATCAAGAATACACATAATATCCAGTCTGGTTACTATCTCTCATGTATGCCATAACTGAAGGTCTGAAGCACTCCTGGAAAGAAAAAAGTATCACTCATAATGTTATCAAGTAGTCATCCCCCATTTATGGATGCCAAGTTTAAGTATTGAGATTGATCTACATTTATGTATGTATGTATGTATGTACTTACAGGAAACTCTGGGAGTGGATCAATGAGAAGCTTGTCTCCAAAGATTGTTCTGCAATAATGAGCCATCTTGGCCTGCTGCTTTTGACTGTTAGTAAGACAAGGGCAGACAAACATCAATATGAAAAACAAATCATATTTTAATAGCAACAAACATTTTTACAACTTAGATCTCTACAGAATTCATAAACCTAGCTCACAAATAAAATTGTATCATTTTTCACATATTATTTTCATATAGCAGTTTCAATAAAACCAATAGTGTATGGAATTAAAATAGAATTAAAATGAAATACATTGTAATAATAATATGATAGGGATAAAAAAAAAAGGGATTAAAAGTGTAATTTAGCAATGGAAACTAGAAAATAGTGTCAAAAAGAGAAACAATGATTTTAAAGTTAAAAGGCGAAAAGTGAAATTGCATGCACAATTGTTTTCCAGTTTTGTACTACAAAAGTCTCTATTGAGGAAAAATAGTTGATATAATCTTCTTGTGATAAACAATATCCATTTCCCTCAATTTACACCACTAACTAGACTCTAGGGCCCTTGTTAATCACTAAACATGACATAACTATAAATAATGCAGGAAATATCGGCCCTAATGATGTTATGAAAGAGTACAATTACATTCACACTTGAATGTAGAGTGATTAATAGTTCATGTGTTGCAGAGGAAGGTGAAAACATGCTGGTAGGGAATAAATCACATCATATTCAAACTATTATAAACAGCTCTTTATACAGTGCATCCCAGAAAAAACGAAACCGAGAATTATCAATGTTTTATCATAACTTAATCACAATTATAATTAATAAATGACACATATTAGGAAAACTTAGATCCTCCTCTTTCATTTGATGCAACTTATATGATGCATATGTCCCGCATGAGTGATTAAAATGAATTTGAAGAGAGGAAACCAAAAAGTCATTTGGCGGACGGTTTCTGAATTTCAAACAGAAAATCACATTTCTAGAAAGTTGAGTTTCTCCCCTTTCATATGACACCTCAATCACGAAAAATGAGCAAGGAATGACAAAGTTCTGTAAGTTTAAAGTAGTGCTTGAATTTCCATATTTTTATCAAACAAATTCATTTTCACTGAGTACCTGCCTTAGCAATAAACGGAATTAAGGAAAGACTTAAATCTGTTTCGTTGACAATCGGGCGTAGACGAAAGACTTCATGCAAGGCTGATTGTCAACGAAACGGAGTTAAGTCTTTTGTCGATTCTGCTTTTTGCTACGGCAGGCAGCCAGTGAAAACGAATTCATTTGATAAAATTATGGAAATGCAAGCACTACTTTAAACATACAGAACTTTGTCATTCCTTGCTCATTTTTTGTGATTGAGGTGTCATATGAAAGGGCAGAAACTCAACTTTCTAGAAATGTGATTTTCGTTTTGACATTCAGAAACCGTCCGCCAAATGACTTTTTAGTTTCCTCTCTTCAAATTCATTTTAATCACTCATGCGTGCAATATGCATCATATAAGTTGCATCAAATGTAAGAGGAGGATCTAAGCTCTCCAAATATGTGTCATTTATTAATTATAAGTGTGACTGAGTTATGATAAAACATCGATAATTCTCGGTTTTGTTTTTTCTGGGACGCACTGTATACAATTCCTGTTCTTTTTTTCAATAGATCTCAGTTAATAACAGAAATTACCCTTCTGTAAGAAAGATGTGATAAAAGATAGAGAAAAACAAAATATCTGGCCATGATTGTAATATGACAACTCATACAGTCTAGTGAATGTGACTTTGAGCAAATTTTCATCTGTATGTAGCTTGTCTAATCATCAACCTACTGCATGATAAACAATTATGGATTCGTGTTAACCAGAATTGAATTCATTACGAGTACTCATTAGCTTTAATTGCCCTAATCATCATAATCTGAGAAGAATACACATACTTGCAGTGATTCTCAAAGGAAAGGATAACAGGGTACTCCGACGTCTTGAAGGCTGTTTCATTAATGGCTTCTATCACATCCTGCAGAAAATCATAACAAATTGAATAAAAAAATTGTGAATAATAATAATAATAATAATAAAGTAGCTTCTATTTCTATCTTCAGAGAAAATATTGAAGCGCTTTACAATAATGAAACCCCAAAATTACAGATAACTACTAATTCATGAACTAAAGAAATATCAAAATAAGGGCAAGATTAATCATAATCAATCATTATCAACATAATGAAAGCAAGTTATGACAAAGTACAGTCATGTAATTAAATATTAATGAAATACAATATTCCAGTTTAAATGCGTCAAAAAGCGTTTTTGAACAAGTAAGAGTTTAGTTGTGATTTAAAGAAAGTTCAGTGTGTGATGGTTTGGTAGGTAGTTTGGAGAGAGCTGATAGTGCTTCATGCAGACAGACATTTATAAGATGATCCAGTTTCTAAGAGTTAGCTCAGTCAGTAGAGTATCTGCCTGTCAAACCAAATATAGTGTGTTTGAATCCAGACCAGGTGAATGACTGAAGCCTATGTTGTGTGTTATCGTGTCTCTCCCCTGTTTCAAAGACGCTATTAAAGAATGAGTTGGTTTGGGGGTCAGTGTCGAGTCTGTATGGAATAAGTACGACAACTATTTTCCTTTTCTCTCCTCACTCTTCTCATCTTGACCTATCCCTTCTTTCCTTTTGTCTTCCATTGTCTGTTCTTTTTCACTTGTTCTTGTATTTATACCTTCTCATAAGAGGTAAACTTTGTATAGAGGGGAGTGTATCATACCTTGAAGAGTACATCAGTACACATGGTGTAACCGTGAGTAATAACCGGTTCAGGGTCTGTATCACCTTTACCATCCCAGCAATCCAGCTCTACACAGCGACATCCTGATAGTAACACCTGACGATAGATCTCAACGGTCGACTTCCCTGTCAACTGATGACCTGAAACACACACAAATACACAAAATACAATCACACTTGTAATGTTTATAATAAGGACCACAATAGCTGCATTTATATTGTGCATAACATGTCTTAATCCCATGGGACGCTCAATGCGCCAACAATGTAGTATTATTATCCTGGCTTGAGCCTAGCTGCCCCAAGACACTCAAAGTATTCAAGGAGTATATTCCTACCAGGTACACATCTACTACACCTGGGTGGACAGTGGCAAATGTAGATAAATTGCCAAAGGACATTGGTGCCATGGCAGGACTCGAACCATAAACCATGTTATCCCAAGTCCGGTGACACATCCCCTAGACTGTGACACCCCATTTGTGATCTTCGTTCCACAAATAATCAAAATCTCATCAACCCTAAATTGATTAATAATCATTTCAGCAAAAAGGTTTGGCTTCACTAGCAATAATCTATTGTTCATTCTCAATTAATGAATAATCAATGAAAATTGTATAATAATCATTCCTTCAAACAGGTATACAATCAATCAAGAATATACTCTTTCTAAATTGATTATTAACAACTTGATCTTAAGGTAACTATGAGCACCAGGGGTTCCTCACTCAAAGTTATGTGCCATGCAGATGTAACAAACTTCAAGGTTTCACCAGTTTGTTGTTCTAGCTACAAGATAACTTCCTGATTTAAAATCAAGACCTCAATTTCAAGTTAATGGACTGTCATGTGAACTATTAGCATAATTTACCTGTGAGGTATGTGTTGTGAGATGATTTGATGAAGTAATGAGCCAATGGTTGCTCCATATCTTGAGCAATAAGATAAGACTCCAGACCATCCACCTGGTTATCATCACTGATTAGATAACGAATCAATCCCTCTATTGACATGTTACCTGCAACAAGTACATAAACATTGAATTAACTTTCAACATACAATCATTTTGGAAAAAGTTAATTCATTCTTGATCCAAGAATCTTCAGATTATCACATTCTAAAAGCTAAAAGAGTATTGAAATCCCTAAGTTTTACATAAGGATTTTTAAGATCCTTAAGTTTTAAATAAGGATTATTGAAGTCTTTAAGTTGTACATAAGAATTTTTGAAATCCCTAAGTTTTACATAAGGATTATTGAAATCCTAAGTTTTACATTACAATTTTTTTTTTAATGCTTGAGATAATCAAAGCATGAAATCTTCAGATTATCACATTCTAAAAGATTAAGAGTATTGAAATCCTTAAGTTTTACATAAGGATTATTGAAGTCCTTAAGTTTTACATAAGGATTATTGAAATCCTAAGTTTTACATAACAACAAATTTAAAAAAATGCTTGAGATAATCAAAGAATGAAATCTTCAGATTATCTTTATAATTCATCAACATTTTGAAGATCTTTAGATTATCAAAATCCTCAAATCTTCAGATAAACACTAGTCTAACATCTTCAGTGGTGTCATCTTATAATGGCCAGCACAGCTGCATACACAAGCAAAAATAAAGGATATCACATATCCATATAGTTTTCTCAATCTTAGAGACTGTGTTTAGGGGTTGACCTCCTACCAGACTATCATCATGGTTATCGGTCTATTTGTGATTCACTTACTATATTCCTATTCATTCTGGATTGATGTATGCTATGAAGTGTAATCTAAAACAAACTGAAACTAACGCTGGTATCCACCTCCCAGCAGTCACCTAGCTCCCAGCACTACCCAATCCTGATCATATTTCACATCAAGAAAACACTCTCTGCATCAAACCTCCTGATTGCATGGTCTATAAATTGTCTTATTTTTGACAAATTCCAGACCACTTGAAAAGTTTCTCATCACACCCAGCTTCATACATGTATCATTCCATGCAGACAAACTGTATGTGTACAACCACTTCTTACAAAACCAGTCTAATAATAATAATAATAATAATAATAATATCTATCTACAATACATGTATCAACATGCTAATTGGAATTGCAATGCAATACATTCAATTCCTTAAGTGTAGACATGATATAACACTTCGCAATTCTGGAATATGTTAAGAATGTGGTCTTACGATTTGTATAATTCATGATATTTTGTCCTTGTATCATAATTTAATCTTGTTACTCATTTTATTCCTATGTTTATTCTCCATCTCATTCATTCTATTAAAGGTTTACTTCAATTTTTTAGAATATTCTCTCTCACTTCAATTCAATTCAAGGTTTATTTAAAAATATCTTCGCAGCCGTAAAAGGCTGAATTGCGATACAATTCACAGATAAAAACATGCAAAATTACATAAATATACATATCAATTACAACGAACATAGTTTGACATAAATTAAAACTCAAATATAAAATATATAAACAGAAAACCAAAGAGTTCAAAAGTGAGTTTTGGAAAAATGGGTTGTTCAAATTACATCAGGAGTTTAGCGATTATTTAAATTTTAAAACTATTGTAGACATCTAAAGAAAAGATGAGAAATTGCAAAACATTATATTTCAAATTAAAAAATACAGACAAACTGTATGTGTACAACCATTTCTTACAAAACCAATCTAATAATAATAATAATAATAATAATATCTATCTACAATACACGTTATTATGTTTCTTATTTAAGTTTTTCTGTAAAAGATATATATTAAAAGCAAATCGCTTAGAAACGATGAGTGTTTTAAAGGACTATGTGTTAACTATTATCATAATCATGTAATGATTATAATGCAAAATCACTTTGAATACAGCAACAACAGAAAAAAAAAATCATGAAGGTAGTGAAAAGATGGGTGGTTAGATTACTTTCCTGCAGATTTCTTACCAAGGTTAGAAACAAAAGGAAGTGAACATCCTAAATAAGTGGCAAATAACAACCACAACAGGAATGTATCCGGTAATGTTATGACAGTCGGGAATGTCACCAGAAAGAAATGGATAGATATCATACATTGCTGCTGCTGCTGCTGCTATCATTATGCACACTAATTCTGCTACCGTACACATGTGTGCATTAAAAGGAACTAGCATGTCTGCACAATTCTTCATAAACATGACTAAGACAAAAGGAACTGCCTTTTAAAAGAAGACTGCTTTACCTTTCTTGGCAAACTGTTTGTTCTTCTCAAACCTCTCCAGGATACTTATAGCTGTCTTGGCATCATAGAATGGATAAAGGATCTCATTAAGACGAGGGTCACGCTGTTCATTGTTCAGGAACTTTACCAGTTGGGCTGTCTGCAAATAGGGCTTGTTCCTCGCTCCCCTTTAAGTAAAAATAGAAATCAAAAAGCATCTTTACATTGATTCACAGATAGCAAGAATGATGGAGAAGAAGAAGAAGAAGAAGAAGAAGAAGAAGAAGAAGAAGAAGAAGAAGAAGAAGAAGAAAAAGAAGGTGATAGCCATGATAAACATAATGATTTTGGTGGTGGTGGTTGTGAGAAAGATAATGAAATGTAAATAAAAAATAATTATTCTGAAAAAAACTAACATACAATAAGAAACAAATTTTTCTTGTATTATCATGATCATGCTGGAATGATATATTTTATAGCTATCACAGCCTAGTAATTGGACTGTTGACAGAGCGGACAGCAAAACTTTAAGAAATCCCTGCCATTAAGAACCATTAGGCAAGCTTAAGCATCATTCATCACAAGTGTATTCCATGAAAAGAATATTGCCTCCAATGACTGCAGTATTTCTGTAAACGGAGTCCAATTAAAGCGCATTTGGGAGAGCTTCATTGCATCTCATATTACAAATTACCTGACCTACTTCCAGCCAAAGCAAGATGCATGCAACTAACAGAGATTTGAGGTAGGCATCGTGGAGATGAAGGGGTGGGGGAGGGGAGACGAAGGGGTAGGGGAGGGGGGTCAATTAGCTACCCGGTGTACATGGGGGTCTATAGAAACAAAAATTCAAACAAGTGAAATTGAAAGATGGGATGAGTATGGACTGGTGTATCCCTTGTGTTCAGGTTCCAGGGATCTTAGACACACTCTGGAGCAATCTGATCCATATTATGAAGCATTTTCAAACTAATTTTATGACTGATATTGCATAAATAATTTGGGTTGACTATGAATATTAACATGTTTGTGATTTTCAAACCTGTCACTGGTACATGTTTATTGAAAGCCCTTTTGAACCCCCCTGCGTATGCATGCATCATCAATCAATAATCAGCTAGGGTCATGATAACTACCCTGTGTCCACACACAGATTTTTCCGTGATTAGGCGTGATTAGTTATACCGTTTCGGGATAGTTATACGATGAAATTGTGCATGTGGATGCTTACTAACGATACGTCTTATAACGAAATGTTGTATAACAAAACGATGCCCAAACATGCGGTTCGTTATACGACGTATAAAGAATCATGCCTAATCACAGAATGTGTTGTGTGTGGACGTAACTAGTCGAACTAGAACAGTATAACTGAGCAGGGCTTAACGTGACCTCAAGCGAAAGGAGACCTGACCTCTCATTTCCTCTTCCTTTTCATGATCGCAGTAGCAAACTGCACACCTATACAACATTTCGCTGTAGAGTTTCAGGATTACTTTCTTCTGTGTGTGGACATCCTGGAATTTATACGATGATTCTTTACACGACGTTTCTTGTGTGTGGACACCCTGAAATTTATACGATGATCCTTTACACGACGTTTCGTTATAGAGTTTCGGGATAAATTATTTTGTGTGTGGACACGCTGCTAGAGCCAAACCAGGGGTGGATCGATACACCCCTTCTCATCCTAGATTAAGCAGTTACCTTAATAGACCAATAATCACCTGTCATTGGTATTGGGAAGACTTTTGACAAATACACCAAAGAGCCTTACTTACCACATTCTAAGAATTATAACTTGAGATTGGGAAGAAGTGAAATACAATCCAAGCTATTTCTGATGACTGTTTTCATTAAAGTAGTATGATATAATTCCTTTAAAGAGAACCAATCACATTGTAGCATTAGAATCATTACATTCAACCCCCCCCCCCCATGATAACAATAGTAAAAAATTAAAGAGCCAATCGCTGTACCATTATTCAGAGTACGTTAAAACGTTTCTTTTATACAATTTGAAGTAATATTTGAGGCTTTCTATGCATGACATACATGTAGACAAAATCTTACAAGCCATAATATATGTAATCACATTCAAATACATTTGGATGTAATCAAATGCAAATACATTTGGATGTAAAATACAACAAAATTTGTTCATCTTTTCATTTAATAATCAGCTGTTTACCAACATGTACATGTGGCTTAGGCAGGCCCCATTTCACAAACATACACATAGAATGTTGCGTAAATCATGAGTTACACATTTTTGTAGACAAAAAGTCTGCTGTCATAGTGTAAATTACACTTGAGAAATCAACTGGCGTTTGATTTGCACTCATAAAAGCAAGTGTGCAGATCGGCAAATACTGCTTTCAAGTTTGCCTCTGTTTAAACAATACCTACACAGTTTATGCGTATTGCCACTGTGCCTGTGGACATACACATGAACTAGTATTGTGTTTGCTGATTACACATTTTATTGATGATGATACGTACATCTCTTGGAATAATCTGTCCACTTCTTTTTGGTTGACTAAGCGAAGGTAGAATGTGAAGAAAACATCATATGTGAACTTCTTAGGGTCGATTGTGTCATCCTGTTAAACAATGAATACAAAAAAATAAACATTACACATTGAAATGCTGTACCTGGTTTACTCCATAAAAGGCTGAATTTGTATGGATTAAACCTTTACAGTTCAGGATAGAACAGAAAAGGTCATCATACTCCCCCTTTTAAAGGGGGTATCAGTGATTCAAATTCTCTAATTTAAAAAATATAGGACAAAACTGCATACCATACCTTCATGAATTTTGTCAATAATATTAATATTATATTTCATTGATGTATATCTAACAATCTGAGAGCTCCAAATCTGAAATAACTGTAATACTATTAGTAACAGCAAAAAGTATGAAAAATGTAGTACAGCAAGATTTGCTTTAAAAACAGGTATCAATCACTTCTTTAAGACCCAATGTGCGGCATAAAACATGATAAAGTCACTTAGAGGAACATATACACGTATAGAGTATATATATATATATATATATATATATATATATATATGTATTTTGTTGTTTTGGTTATTGTTGTTGATTTTGTTGATGATTCTAATAAAATCTCATGCCATGTAAGTAATAAAAAGATTTCATATAGACTTCATGTATAAAATCTTGTGATTTCTCTGAAACGTCAATCTGACTGCAAGACTCCTACATCAAGTGTGCATTGCCAAACTCTTTCAAGGGCTACTGCATTCCATCAGGACATCATGCTCAACAGCATCAATAGGCCTGTCTTCACTATCTCGAGATTGCCAAATATCCAGCTATTTGAAATATCCCGATCGCAAACTATCCAGCTCATTTGCGTCGTCATCGGACCGAATTAGCAATTAGCGGGATATTTGGTCAGGATTGTCATCCCAAGATATCTTGGGATAGTTTGCAAAATATCCAACTATTTGTCCTGTGCGTCTTCACTAGACCGAAGATTCGCAATACGCGCTAACGCTGAGCAATATATCTCGAGCTAATTTCTCAAGGTCGAGTTTCAAGTCTCGAGGTCGAATCTCGAGATAGTGAAGACGCGATTTGTTACTTCGGGATTATTTCCCAAATCAGAAATAGCGGGCTATTTGGCAATCTCGAGATGATGAAGACGCGCCTGATGATTGAACCAGTAGAGGGGACCATTCTTTGGCACATCACTCTCTTAATAGCCATCTAAATTGCTCTACTCAACATCAAACGGTGTGATTAGATGTCTACAAAATTCCATTAGCGAAACAGCTCGGTGGGGATTGGAGTAATTATACAAATGCTTGGGGTGACTGTCTTTGCCGTGTCAACCAACAACAAAATTAAGAATTCTTTGATGACCGCGCCTTGGTATTGAGAAAGCCAGAGATGGTGGAGGGGAAGTTCTTGATTTTTTGTTTTAAAGATAAAGACCAGTTATGGTCATGCGATTGCATTGTGAAAGAAACATTGTGGAATCGATCAGAAAAGGTTGATCATCTAGCATATAAAGTATTGGTGTATAATGCAAGGTTCTGGAATCATCAAAATGATAAGAAATTTGGCCCAGTCTTCGTAAAGTTACAAGCACTATACACAGAAAGATGTATATGGGACTATACGCACACATGCGCGACACATGCGTTTATCTTTCACATACCAATAGAAAAACTAATTTACCAAATATATCAATTATTAGGCGGTTTCCCGGCAAAAATTTTATCATCATTTATTAGTCAAAACATATTCTTTCACATGATTGGTAATAAGAGCTTCCATTTCATTTTTTGAAATTGGGGCGTTTCCAATACTGGCCTTTACCTTTAATAATGGGCAAACTTATTTTTTTGTTAAAGGGACTATGTCCCATTTGCAGGCCAAAAAAATGAAAAAGTTAAATTCCAACTGCATTTGAAAGATAATACTAATTTAGAACTTCCCTAAAAAAGGTGGGGCTTGAAAATGTCTTCAAGTGGGAAAATAACGACTATTAGTTGTCAAATCGACTTTAGGGCTATAGAGCCCAAAAGTAATAGTCTTGATTTTCAGACAATTGTACCGAATGGTCATACGTTTTATGCTGCACAAAGATTCAATCAGTTTAATCTTGGCCATCACAAGAAGTAGGTTATTGATGTAGACAAATGCTCATGTACCCTTTACAACTCTTTTCATGTTTGTTATTACCAAAGAAGAAAAAAAGCCAGTCAGTCACTCAATAGTGTCTGACAGTGAAGTCTAGCAAGTAAACGGTTTCCCTTGCATAATTTGAATATGAGGACACTGCTAACGTCTAAACTTCACAGATAGGACATACATGACATATTCATAATTCCTGTAAAGTTCTACAGCATTTTAGGTTGGCTGCAAAAGGGACATAGTACCTTTAAAGTAGATTTAGCCTAAATAGTAAATTGAGTCTGAGTAGCATAGAGTAATCATTTGGTTTTTGTATTTATCAAATTCTGACAAAATTAAACCAACTTTCTCACAAATTTTCCAGATGTATGCCTTGTCAATATATATACCTTCTGTTTGAAGCCAGAAGGGCATTAACCCGTAACACAGACTTATAATGCCCTTCTAACTTGCTCCAGAAAATAGGATATCTGCCAAATGTCTTTGATTCCATGTATAAGGGTGCATTCAAGCAACACTCTTTCACCCTAAAAACACGGTTTTCAAAGACGTTTAGTTTAAAACACGGTTGTGTTCAAGCGATTTTTCTTCAGTCGTAAAAATTAACGTTTCAAAACACGAACATGAAATGCTGAAAAAGATGCAGAATCACTGTGGCTAAAAATTGCTTAAAGCAACGGTGATCTCAATCATGATTCTATGATGTCATTATAGTGGCCTGCTTCTGGTTGGGCAAAACAGCAGCCGACAGTCGACCGTAAACAAATTCAGAAAGCGCGCACCGAATTTCACCTACTTCATGGGTCAAACTGCGCAGTGTGACGGGCAGTGTCTGGGCTTGAAATGAGCAATAAATTAGCGTTGATGAAAATTTACTTAAAGCTTATCAACACTAGTGTGGCTAGGAGGGATTAGACCACACAGCGAGGTCACTGACAGGTGGCTATCTCATCAACTCAGCTCTCAAATAACATAAGAAGTAGAAGATCATGGGGGACCAACAGGCACCGATTGGGGAAGTTTTCTATATAGAGGGAGCAAGTAGTTACAAGTAGGACAGTGGGGCTTTAAATGATCTCCCGCAGCAACCATGTTTTGTCACAGTGTTTTGATTAGTGATTCATATTTATGATTCTAGCTTCAAAAAATTGCTTGAACGCACCCTAAATAAATGTGATAATGCATAGGATCCTATATGTTTGCATGACATGAAACAATAAATCATCCCATACATTGTACGCGACCAACATATACATTGTACATGGAATGTCGCTATTCAGCACATACAAGTATTATTATTAATTTCAATTTTTTAAAAATATAATTCCTATCTTTTGGTGACATTTTGTTGCATTTTGCTCATCCAAACCACCCCGTTATATGTACGGTAAGCAATTAACAATGTTTTATAGCAATTTCATTGTATGCAGTACAGACTACCTTTACAGAAACTATTAACCTAGCAACCAACATCTTGCTATTTGATGAGCTTAACACACAGAAGAGTACGCCTTAGTGCCCAACCATCTGTGTCCAGGCACACACACACACAGATGAATCAGATGACTGAAGGCCCAATCAAGCGGTTACAATGCCTTCTCAATGTCATCGCAATATGGCTTTAATAGAGCGTTGGGTTTGCCGCGACTGTTTCTTACACTATCGCCTCACTAATGAGAAATCCTGCAGTGGAAAAGTGATTTATTACACCATTGTGTTCCATAGCATGAGCTGTCTACTGGTAACATCATTCAAAGGGTTCCGCCCTCGACGATGTGATTTCACCCAATTTAGTTTGGCAATGTGAATGGTTATTAATCAAACTATCAACAGGTACACATGCCCTGCTTGTAAACAAATAGATTTTTTTTTCTTGTCTGGTGTTGGGGAATCTATTTCATATTTAAAGGGGAAAAAATGTATCAAATGGAACATCTTTTCTTGAAGAAATGTGGTCATTCTCTTGACTTTATCCTAGCTACGTGATTGCTGAAATAACCAATGTACTAAAACCGTACCGGTAGGCCAATGTCTTACATGTACCAGTTTTTATTTCCTGTAAGCGTTTTGGTCATTTTGCTGTATCAAACTGGTATTACAAGCACTTTCAAGGAAATAGTGTTAACATTTTATATGACCTTTTAGCATCAACTGATTCTAGAAGGAGGCAAAAAGGTCACAAACCTCAAAAATAGATTGATTCAACTTCCCTTGAGTGTGAAAATAAAATGAAACCTCAAAATAATAACAGATTTGAATAAGCTAGTATTGATACATGTAAGATAGAAGATCCATTGGGAATTACAGGTATATCTAACATTGCATTGAGTATGTTATTATTGTAACTCTACTATGACCTAGCTCTATACATCCATTTATAGGAAGGACAGTATAAAACTCACATGAAAACATGCATGCAATTTAACACAAAAAATCAATAATTCATGATTGATCTCACGTCTTAAAGGTACTATGTCCCATTTGCAGGCCCAAAAAATGAAAAGGTTAAATTCCAACTGCATTTGAAAGATAATACTAATTTAGAACTTCCCTAAAAAAGGTGGGGCTTGAAAATGTCTTCAAGTGGGAAAATAACAACTATTAGTTGTGAAATCGACTTAGGAGCTATAGAGCCAATGAGTAATAGTCTTGATTTTCACACCATTGTACTGAATGGTCGTAGGTTTTATGCTGCGCAAAGATTCAATCAGTTTAATCTGGCCATCACAAGAAGTCGGTTATTGATGTAGACAAATGCTCATGAACCTTTACAGCTCATTTTATGTATGTTATTACCAAAGAAGAAGAAAAGCCAGTCAGTCACTCAATAGTTTCTGACAGTGAAGTCTAGCAAGTAAACGGGTTTCCTTGCATAATTTGAATATTAGGACACTGCTAACGTTTAAATTTCACAGATAGGACATACATGACATATTCATAATTCCTGCAAAGTTCAACAGAATTGGAGGTTGGCTGCAAAAGGGAAATAGTTTTAAGAGCAGATGCTAACAAAACATACCCTGGATATAAGATTGGAAACACATACTGACCATATGTATCTTCAATTCAAGCTGTAGTTATTGCAATGACGAACCTTCGTCATTGCCTTGTTTTCGTTCACATTCTGCCCCATTAATATTCTTGTTTTCCTTATCGTCCAAAAATCCCATTCGTTTTGCACGTAGTGCTTGTGATTCCTAGTAAGGTACTTTCCTCAAGTCCTTTTCCTTTCAAATTTCGTAGGCATCATCTCTAGCATCTCATCAAGGTCACCTACTTTTTCGATTTTCGAAATCAGTTATGCATGACCGTCCAGGCGCCATTTTGTCCGTTTCTGGTCCATTTTAAGGCCTTTCTATCTTCCTTCCTATCTCCACTATCCTAGATCCTACAAACTTCTAACAAATTCCTCTAGATAGTCTAAGAGGTGTTCTTTCATCTGCGACGTATAACCTGACCTTCAAAATGCCATCTTCGTACTTAAAATTCAAATCTGAAACCGACTCCGTCAAAAATCTCTCAAATTCTTGAGAAATTGACCCCTAAATAATCTAAAACTGCCATAACTTTCTCATATAAATTCCGTTTTGTATTTAAATCTCACAGTATCTTAATCTCATAAATGCAAATAGCCTTGCCAAATTTCACGCTCCAATGGTTTTGCAAAACATAAATAGCGCCCTCTAAAGTTCTGGAAATTGGCTTTCTTTCTGTGGCCGTATCTCCATTATGGCTTGGCAGAGCCGTACCCTTTTTTGGATTTAGATACTTGAGGATATGCCCTTTCCAGCCATATACAAAATTATATACCCTATCACTGACCAAATTTGCGAAAATTGCCCTCCAAATTCGCCATTTTCAAGAAAATTCCGAAATAACTTCAACTTGCTCTAAAATGGCGATCTTTATACCTACGTCGTTGAAACTTGGCAGACACATGTATCCATATACGTGACAACTGTCTGCTAAATTCGGAAAATTTTACTAACGTCAGCGCAAAGTTATCGCCAAAAATGATGAATTTGCTATGCATTACGTAATAGCGCCTTTAATGCGTGCAGTACATTGCGTGCAGATGACAATGGTGTCAAACTGACCGCAATGAAGTGCCCTTTCGAATGATACCAAGTATGGTATATGTTTACACAGAAAATTGTGAGTAAATCGCATTTGAACAAGGGTCACTATACGAATTCCGCCCGATTATAACACTTATCGGCCATGACGTCATTTTTTTCAGACTACTTTTCGCCCCCTAAACATCCTTTTTTTTTCGTTGAAAATTTGCAATGACATTCCGAGATGCAATACGCAGGGCACCTCGTGGCCGGATTTTTGAAATTGGTCAAGGGGGCCATTTAAGACGCCATTTTGTCCTTTAAATCTATTTTACATCACATGTTTCGATAGGATTATCATAGAAAAAAAGAGAGTAGTTTACAATAACGACCATGAAATTTTCTTTCCAACGATACCATATACGGCCCATAGAGAGACATAAAGAGAGAGAGAAAAAACAATTTAACTCCGGTCATAATACAGATCCTCTACGTTTTCCGCCCATGCATTACACGCATTGTCTATGGGGCAAATCGGGTTCACACTTTTGACCCCTAGAACGATCTTGATTGCAATGACGAACATGCAACTAATCCCATTTGTTTTTGCACGCAGTGCTTGCGAGCCCTTTCTAGGTTCTTTCCCCTATCCCAATTTCTTTCAAACATCGTAGGCATAGTCACTACCATCCCATCAAGGTCACTATTGAGGCCTTTCTTTCGCCCTACCTGTCTCCAATATTACAGAAGCTAAAGACTTCGTACAAATTGCTCTGGATAGTCCGAGAGAAGCTATTTCGTTCGACACGTAGAAACACGGCGTCATTGCACGCACATCGTTGTGACACGATTGCATTTCTAGTTGGAGATTGATATCATTTCTACCAATTGAAGCAATCTATCATCTAATACTCGTATGTTCAGTCAGGGTAATTTCACAGTTAAACGTGACAACAAGTGCAACTATGTTTATCTACAACATAATAAATAACGTGTGAACATTATTTCCGATCAAACAAGATTGTGAAAACTTGGACAGGAGTTAATTACATTGGAAAATAGTCTGTACTTAATATATTACACAGTTGTGCAACTTCACTTGATTTAGATGCTGGTTGATTTGTTTCTTCTTTTTTAATCAAGAGGAATATTTCTACCACAACCATCTCTTCAAACTGTTGCTTCTCTTAATTTTTCAATACCACAATATTGAAAAACAGGTAATAGTAGTGATAAACTTCTATTCCTCCCATGAAAATGGTGTGATAAATACTAAATGATTTTTATTTTAAAAAGACTTCAATTATATTTTTAAAAATCTACTCAGATATGATTTTGAACTCTCACGTTATTTGACCTACCAACCCTAAGTCCCTAATATAATCACAAGACATCCCCTTTTCTATAAAATATTTTTACTTTTGCTGTTAATGAGAAAAAATAAATTGTGCCTGCCAGTTTGTTTTAAATGTACTTGGGGACATACATAAAATGTCAATTATAGGAGGACATAGATTGATATGGGGATATCCATATCAGACTCCTGGCTTCAGGGAAGATGTACAACTTTCATGATAGTATTAAAGGTCACATGACATAGACATCATCAATTCCTCTGAAATTATGTGCACGCTCACGATCAGAGTCTTGATGGAGTAAGCTATATTCAGAGCCAGAAGGACATTAACTCTGTGTTATAGTATATTCGTTTACGCCCTTCTTAATCCTGACAGACGATATGTCAACAAATCTCCAGATAAAATGTATGCTCAGATAGCATATTGTTCAAGTTTCCTTAAAAAAAAAAATAAAACTCACTCAATAGTCAAATTGAATTATCATTCCAATAATTGAAATTACTGAGGTTGAAGTACGTGTTAAGTACAAACAAGTGTTAGATTACTATTCTAGTCGTGGTTGTTTGAAAAGCCACTCCAGCTGATTTTTCTCTGGCTATTTGCCAAAACACAAATCACTTCAATTTGATTGAGATGTCAGACACTACAGCATAATGAATATCCGCAGATACACAGCTTTCATTCTAATTTCTTTGTTTGATTTGTTCGAGTGCTACAAGGGCTCTTTGGTATTGGGGATATGAGTTAATATTATTTTCTTATTTTATTATATAAGTGTATAAAAGCTGACCAGCAGCACAGGCTGAAGGGGTCAGTATACAAATAGAATACTACAATGTAAACAGAGGGATATTAATAATAATATTATAAACATAGAATTACAAAAGAAATATACTATAAAGATAATGAAAGCTACAAAGAAAAAATGCAAAGCTCTTTAATATGATGATATATAGATGATTTATCCCTCCTAACTTCCATGAAGATATATCTCATAGTAAAAACCTTTTCTTAACTTTTGCAAGTGGTCCACATTCCTGAGCATTTTGGGCTGGTGATTATATGAATCACAACACTCAAGTTTTGTTCTTCTTCATTTGTGAGTGTTTCTTGCCATGAAAATGGACATTACAATAATTCATCACATTTTCCAGATGTACAACAATCTTTGTATTACAGTAAATCAGGCCTCAGGCTAAATGAACTGTGCATGCAGTATTTTTGCGAGCACTTATACTTTGCAGTTACATCCCTAAGACACATGATAAAAGCAAAGGACTTTGTTTTGTATGTTTTTATTTCCCAGATACATGTACATGAAGAATACACTTGCCAAATTTGTGAAAAGTTGAAAAATAAGAAAGCACTGATGACATAGTACCTCCATGAAGAATTGATAATATAAAAAAAACCTAAGAAAGTATACCCCTTAAAAGCAATGTAATACAGATGTCAAAATTACTTGCAAATACTAAATTAATTTGTTTATTGTAATTGCAGAAAATATGAAATATTGATATAGTCTGTTTTGACTTTTGAGCCGCATAAATATTAAATCATTCTACACAGATTTTGAACCCTGTTGGCTTCAGAAAGATGGTATTTTGTTTGTTAAAATTGTTCTTATATTCATTCATTATGCCAGCCTTTAAAGCGAAAGTTGAGTTCTGGTCATGCGATTGCATCTAGTATATAGACATGTAAGTATTGGTGTGTACTGCAACGTTCTGGAATCATCAAAATGATAAGAAATTTGGCCAAGTCTTGGTAATGTTACAAGCACTGCACACAGAAAGATGTATATGGGACTAGACGAACATGTGGCATAAAAATCTGTTCTAATTTTTATGCTGTTACATGCCATATTTAGAATATAAAGGCATTTGAAGAGCCATGCTTTTCAGGGAAGATGTTTTATCTGATGTTCTTCCGCACTTGCATAATAACGATAACTCTCACAAATTATTTTTCACCTCTTCCCAGAACTCAACCTTCCTGTTTAATAGTTGATTTCTACATACCTTGCCACTATGAACCCCTGCCACCTGTAAAGCGGTCTCAACTTTCTTCCGGTCTGAATTACTTGACGCAAACATCTTACGGATGCTAGCAGGAGAGAGATAGGGACAAAACAGAATGTTAGTATGACTGTGTCACCTGTATGAGCAAATGTTGAGACATTGTGAAAGTGCTGTCATGATAGAGCGAGCTTTTAAAGCCCATCTGTACTAGTTTACAGGAGGGATTAGACCACCCTGCAAGGTCACTGACAGGTGGTTATCTCATCACATCAGCTCTCACTTAACATAAGAAAAAGAGGATCATGGGGGACCAATGGTCACCGATAAGGCATTGTTTGCTATATAGAGGGCGCAAGTAGCTGTAAGTAGTGCAGAGGGGCTTAAAGGGGAATTATCATTTGAAATCCACAACTCTTTACAAAATCATTCCACAAAGTTAAGAGCAGATTAATAACACTGAAATAGTCAGCAAAATATTCCTAGAAAAATGGAAAATTGCAGATAATTATATGTTTTAATTAAATAATTTGTCAAATGTATGCTGAAAATAAGGTATAATAAACATAGCATACTGGGGAATGAGTTCATTGCCTTCATGTGTTTTATTAAGAGAATCAAACTGACATCTCCTGCACAACACGCACTAGTCACCTGACACACAGAGTATATGGAGGACACATGAAATTCCTGAGAATTAGAAACTCACTTTTTGACTGGAATGTGGCCATCTCTGTTAACCATGATGATTATCTTGGTGTACCTGTTAAAGAGATGAGAAAAGAACAAAACTATATTTAAACACTTACTGAATTTCGAGATATTCCCATCCTTTCCCAAATTCCAGCAGTATATCCACTAGATCACAATACTTCTACATTTCTACCAAATCCACAACACTGGCCAGCACAGATGTTCATAATTCTTAAATGCATCGTTTAACAATGTTAAATCCAGGACTTTGTTTTAGAATCTGAGAAAAAATTACCAAATCCTTTTAAGAAGAAAATAAAACATATTGAATTTGATTGGATTTTTTTAAAAACAAGTTGGAAAGGGTGAACGTCAAGTTGAGTTATCTACTGCTGATATGAAGCTGGTGATTTTAGACACAATCAAAGACGGGATAACGATTTCTCAAAGGTTTGGATTGTTAATAACTTGAGATTTTCTTTCAAACAGAACATGGTAACTCTCTTCTATCAGGTTAACTGGCAAGTGTATTCTATTATCTCGGATTGTTGAATGTATACTAGAATGGGTAATGAGGTTTGGAATCTCTAGTCTTGACTCTTGAAAACAAATACAAGCATAGGTCATGGCAACAACAAACAATCTTGATTTCAACAATTTCTTAGTGATTGCTGCAATATCGGGTTACCAATATGCACATGCATGCGGCATGTAACTAGAGAACTAGAGCCAGAAGCGCATATCTAATCAACACACAACAATTGCTCCAAAATGGAGATGCAGAGAGATTGGTATATGAAGGATATATATATATATATATATATATATATATATATATATATATAGGATTGCACTATTATTTGATTACAGTAATTCTGTCTTGGAATTCTCTCAAACACATGATTGAAATAGACATTCTACATATTCCTTTACCACTTAAGTAGATTGTAAGAAGCTGTCTGTCACTTTCTATAAAAACAAAATCTCCTCAAATAGCAACTAAAATTACACAATTTTTGTATAACCACTGAAGATCATGACCAGCCCCCCCCCCCCCCCCCCCTCCAACACGGTAATTTAAATGCTTGCTTGCCAGTTAAAGATTGTTATACCAGGGAGATTGGAGGAACCACTGATCTTTTCATTTCAATGTTGGTTGATCTACCTTCTTGTATTTTCTATTGTCCGATAGCTACTTTTACAGGGAGCTTTCCTATATACCTGTATATCTTGAGTTTAAATCATTCCAAGAACCTATAATATGTTATCAATGATATTCAAATACGCTGGTCACATATATCCTTACCATGTTAAAGACCAATAGACCATACCCACTGTATATTAGGCTGGGATCTACATAAGATGGTGGGTCATTTTATTTTTATACCACAATTAAATCAGGCTGCATTAAGGCGTTGCCGGTACTCTGCCTTGACAGAAGTCAAATATTGTGTGTTTAGAGCTAGAAGGAGATTAACTCTGTGTAAAACTGTGTGAGTTAACACCCTTCTTGCTCCCAACAAACTACCGGTATATGTAAAATATAACAATCTATGCAAGAGCATGACATTAACAATACAAAGCTAACAAACTGTCTCATCGTTTTATTTTTTAATTTTGTTTTGCAATTTACACTTCAATATTCTTAAGATTGGATGGGAGAGGAAGAGATGGGAGGGGAAGGGAAGGGAGGGGGTAGGAAGGGGGAAGGGAGGAGAGGGGAAGGGAGGAGAGGGGAAGGGAGGAGAGAGGAAGGGAGGAGAGAGGAAGGGAGGGGAGAGGAAGGGAGGAGAGAGGAAGGGAGGGGAGAGGAAGGGAGGAGAGAGGAAGGGAGGAGAGAGGAAGGGAGGAGAGAGGGAGGGAGGAGAGAGGAAGGGAGGAGAGAGGAAGGGAGGAGAGAGGAAGGGAGGAGAGAGGGAGGGATGAGAGAGGAAGGGAGGGGAGAGGAAGAGAGGAGAGAGTGAGGGAGGAGAGAGGTAGGGAGGGGAGAGGAAGGGAGGGGAGAGGAAGGGAGGAGAGAGGAAGGGAGGGAGAGGAAGGGAGGGGAGAGGAGGGAGGAGAGAGGAAGGGAGGAGAGAGGGAGGGAGGAGAGAGGAAGGGAGGAGAGAGGAAGGGAGGAGAGAGGAAGGGAGGAGAGAGGAAGGGAGGAGAGAGGAAGGGAGGAGAGAGGAAGGGAGGAGAGAGGAAGAGAGGAGAGAGTGAGGGAGGAGAGAGGTAGGGAGGGGAGAGGAAGGGAGGGAAGAGGAAGGGAGGGAGAGGAAGGGAGGGGAGAGGAGGGAGGAGAGAGGAAGGGAGGAGAGAGGAAGGGAGGAGAGAGGAAGGGAGGAGAGAGGAAGGGAGGAGAGAGGAAGGGAGGAGAGAGGAAGGGAGGAGAGAGGAAGAGAGGAAGGGAGGAGAGGGGAAGGGGAGGGAGGGGAGAGAAAGGGAAGGAAAGGGGAAGGGATGGGAGGGGAAGGGATGGGAGAGGAAAGGGAGGGGAAAAGCCAAGTCCACACATCTATCTAATACAGATACGTTAGATTTGAGGAAAGAATAGGAGGGGGAATGGATGAGAAGAGGTAAACTTCGGTCTTCTTCCCTGTATCTGGCTTCTTAGATACTCGTTCATGGATATATTCATGCATACACTATTAAAAGCAGCAGCATGCATGCAGTCTAATGTTATCTGACAAGCAAGGTTTTGTCTGTGTGATCAACCATGTTGCCATGTCTGTTTTCCTTTCTCATATTGGTCAGTCAGCTAGTATCCTGCTTTAAAAACACCTAGTTTGTCAGCATTGACCACTCTCTAATCAATGTTTCCACATAAGTGAAATGCCTTAAAACATAATTTAGCAAAACAGAATCTTTATTCCAAGACTCAATCAACGTCCAAATCCTATAGTTTGAAATTGAATGCTCTCAGAACTCTATGTAAAAAAAAAAATCATTATCACATTTAAAAAATGAAGAAAGAAAAAATGATATTGAACTTGTAATCAATTGCAAAAATGATGCACTTTTTTTCTCCATTCAAAATCAAAATAAACTTTGATGGAAATACATTGAATAAAAATTGCCAAAATGTTGCACTACTTGAAACATTGTACAGACAAAAATTTAAATGTCTACTAGGCCATCAAAATCATGTTTTAACATGTCAAATCGTGTTTACCTTTAATATTGTTTGATTGCTAAACTGACTGGGTCATCAGTATTCATTATTTCAGCTCCACAGACATATGAGAAACAAATGATGCTTTCATGTTCTTCATTAGAGTACTGGTCTAACAAACATCAAAGCCATCCTTTCTAATTCTTTGGTTTTGTTTTAAGCTTTTCAATATTCAATAGGACATACAGCTAAGTCGGCACTACAAAATAATCCAGGAAACACAACCTTATAGGGAAATATTTCTTTACAAAAATGAAATTCTAAAATGTATTGATTTTTGGATCATGCTTGGCACCACTGTGAACAAGGGCATAAAACACAACCTCAGAAGAGGACTATATCTGCCTTCAAAACCTTCAATCAATTCACTTTGCTCAAAACTTGCTTACAGATTCTAAGAATACTAACCCTATGGTTTGCGCCTGCAGACAATTAAGTAGCTACAACTGATTGAGCAGCACTTGACCTAATATTCTCTCACCCATGGTATGTAAATATAGATGTAATCAGCCTCTATTTCATCACCAATCATTATCAATGCTAATCAGGCTCAATTCTTAATATAACACATCTTTATCAGATCTACAATACAATAACACTCAACTGTTTTGAAATCATGTATCATGTACTTGAATAGGTGTATTTCCACGTATGTGGGGATACAGACCTATATATTCTCATCATGTGCTCCAGAAAACAGATAGATTTGTCTGGCATAGCAATACAATCTGCATTCAGGCAACTGAAATACCTTAACTTCAGTTATAACGAATACATGTACTGCATGTTAAAATAGTATATTGTCATATTCTTGATCATTTCACATCAGTTTTTTTCCATCTGTACAAAAATTGATTGTTTCAGTTCAAGAGAAAGACGATATGATGCAGCTAAGAATAGCCATTCCTCTTCTTTCAAGTGATATTTAGCATAGATGCCACAGGGGTGCAATGAAATCCATTATTTACAATGAGAGAGAGGGGGGGTCTGAGAAACTCAGATGGAGACATCTGATATTGTATGACAACCTTATGTTTTAAAGATGAGCTGAAATCATGAATAAATCAAGTAAACTTCAAAGGTTGAACTTGTTTCTGGATCAGGGTCATCTCCCTCTGACCATCCACCTCAATCAGATACAGGATAGGAAAACTCTTTATAGATATTCAGCCATGCAGAGATTAAAGGTCACAAAAGAATAATAACAACTGAAGAATGAAAAAAGAAACCACTCTTTTCAATTCTATGTACACTGACACCATATCACACTAATATCATTGGGATGCAATGTATGTAAAATTATAACATGTACAACTAAATTGGGTCATGTACATCATGAAAAATGTAAATGTAATACTTCCAAGTGTTAAACATAAATACTCAAAAACATTATTACGAAACACACCCACAGATATACACTGTAGTTTCTGTATACATAACTGGTTGCAGTGATATATGCCTAAGTATGCACTATAATATTGTACATTGGATAACTAGTGAGAAAATTGAATGCAACAAGCAGCTTTCTTGGTGAAAGCGTACAATTGCTGGTAGGTAATATATATGTACACTTAAGTACAAAGTGATCTACCTTGTGAGTCAAAAAAAGTTAAACTCAGAAAATTGTAATTTATTTTAAAAGTCAATTATAAACAAAAGGTTATCATACATATTTTGAAAGAGTTTTACATGTATATTCCTAATCGTTTGGTATCATTTTTGTGGGGTATGTGTTCACGCTTGGATGAACAGGAGGCATTGTTTGCGAGAGTGCAAAAAATCGACTTGCGCCAAAGTATCAAAGTGAGAGAATGAATTGCAGGTATCAAATGAGATGCATTGCATTTGCTTTTGCAGAAACAAAGTCACACACACACCTGGCGCGCACAAATGTTCTTTGATATTTTATATTTTATATTTTATATTCAATATGTGTGGCATGATTCATTTTGTTGGGGATGTTATTTGGATCTGCAAAGACCGAATTAAAACCCAATTGCTTTATTCAAACATCACATGTATTACTTTGGCGCAAGTCAATTTTTGCACTCATAAACAATGTCTCTTGTTCATCCAAGCGTGAACACATACCACACACAAATGATACCAAAAGATTTGGGATAAAACACTCTTTCATAAGATGTATAATAATAATTTACTGTTCATAGAAAAAGAAAAAAAAAATAGCAATTTTCTAGGAGTAAACGTTTTTTTTTTTGACTCGCACTGTATATTCAGACCCAGCATTTATATCAAGAGAAGATTGAAATTGAGATGCATCAGGCTGTCAGAGAGTGCATAAATAAAGTACAAGAGTGTAATTAATCAGAACATATGACCACTTTGAAACAGAATGGACACATATAATGTCATCGTCAACATTCTAATATTTTTAAATTAAAATGATAACAAACTCATTCATCATTTCTTAATTAGTTTTGTACCAAACTCTGTATCAACCCACACAAAAGACAAAATACTACATCTTCTCAAGCAGAATACATCATTCACTTGAAGAGATTAGCGTGCAAATCTGTATGTTAGGGTTCTGCATACAACCACATGGGCCTTACAGCCTTTTCACACACAGCTAAAATTCATCGTATCTAGAGATGATTAGTATAAACGTGTTTAACTCAACAGTTTTAAACATGTTTATAGAAAATTTTCCCTGTGTGAACATCGTTTATACGATGTTGGGATAGATACGAAGTCGCGATTCATACGTCCCTAAAAGCAGGCTGCAGATATGAAGTTCGTATCTAGAGAGCTCGACATTTTGTGTTTGAACGGTTATTCGTGTTTAAACGTGTTTAAACCGGATGGAGCGTGCGCTTTGATTGATATGACATGACCTTCAATGCGCAATGGCACTACTGTGCATTTTACGAGCAGAAGTTAATCACGAAACGATTAACGATCGCACCGAAATTTCTGTGTGTGAATGATGTCGTATGTACAGGTGATTAGTTTAATTAAAGCCCTTTAAACTAATCATGTTTATAGATTTTTAGCTGTGTGTAAAAAGGCTGCATGTCCCATATATATTAAATTGAATTACATACTGCCATGTTGTGTTATCTGGTTGGTATACAAACATAAACAATAAGTGAAGCCAGGCATGGTATCACTGTCCTGGTTGTTAATATGTCAGTTATCTTCATATCATTACAAAATTTGAAACTGTCATTTCTCTATTACGTTCATGCTCTGATTGAAAGCAAGTTATTGGTACACTGGATTTTTTTCTCCTTTAAGCAAGCTTGTTTCAGAGTTCTATTCCCTCACACATGTATCTCAAAGGTCAATAACCACTTTACTAAATAATTTCATTTCTCTACTGCCTATATAAACACTACAGCAGGAGGTTTAATGTAAATTAAATACCTCACTTAAGAAATCCAGCCATCTGATTGGTCAAAATTGCAGTCGGGATTTTAGCCATTCCCGTAAAAAAACCAAAAATGCCAAAACTATTTAATAGTTCAAGAGTAAGTAAGTAAAGTTTATTTAACCATAAAATGAAACATGTACATACAAATGAGTAAGATAGTAAACATAATACGGTAAAGGACACCCTTAGAAGCAAATTGCTTGTGGTGGGGCCTTAAAAAGAAAAAACAAACTACACATAAATTATATAGTTTAAAAACTTTAAAAAACATGATACAAACACACATGCACGCTCAACATATACATACACATATACATTCAAAATATCCTCCTCTACTCAAAAATCCCGGCAAGTAAAATGTTTGCTCTTTCATCAAAATTTAAAGCAAAGTTTGTTGGGGGTTTACTTGTAAATATTTCTATGCAATTCCGCTGTTTTTATGGGTTAAAATGGTTTTAAATTGTATTATCGTATTTCACTGTTATTATTGTACTAAATACGATTTAATCGTACTGGTTGGCATCTCTGTATATTCCATTCAGTCTGAACAGACTATCAGTTTCTGGTGTAAACCATTCAGATTATAAGTAGCTTCCTTAGGCCTTCTTCATCAGCTCGAGTTGGCCAAACAGCCCGCTATTTATGATTCAGGAAATTAGCCCGACTGAGAAATATCGGGCTGTTTGGCCATCTCGAGCCAATGAAAACAGGCCTCTTGAGGAGTATTAGAGGAAGTTTGTCAGCAATAGAAACCAACTTCAAATGAGATCTTAAAGCTGGTGTATAGCATGCAAATGATGTCATTGCTCCTGTAAACTAAGCTACAACCGAAAGCATCAAAGTAATACAGGATGCCATTAAATTAAAAGAGAAAATGATAAAGAGAAAATAGGTAGGCGTGTCCTCATTATGGGATTTCAAACATTAACAGAGAAATGCAAGTGAACTCTCACATGTTACAATATAGAGTACAAAGTCCAAGTTGACTATGAAGCAGAAAAACAATAATATTTATCAGAAACTCCCACTGATCATATATAAAGATGGAGGAACAGGAAAGAAAAGGAGTAAAAAATGAAATTTTCTGTTCCTTTGACATGATTGAATTTGCTACAAATTCAGACCTAGCAAACAATATGTACCAGACCTACATTTATATAACAAACCATGAACTCTTGAGGTTTGCATTTATGCATGTACCCTAGGATTCCTAATGTACATTATTAACTTGGTGAACACAACAAGAAACATCAAATTCCATTAAATGGAATAATGCAAAGACTGTCAAATCGTGATCGACATTAGGGCTTTGATAAAAAGCCATGATTATTATCACTAATTGCAACAAATTGCATCAATCAAAAATGACATTGATGACATTTCACACAAATGGATTAAAAGGAGGGTACTTACATTTTGTGGAGTAGCTTGCCTGGTGAAGGGTTCTGAGCGGATCTGTTGTGGGCTAGTTTGAGCAAAGTTTCACACCATTGCTGGAAGATAAATATGTGAACAAAGATATTAATATTACAAGCCTGCAAGATGATTGAATGTTTCTCCATGCATGAATTAATTACAAAAATATTGTCTGTTTGGAGCCAAAAGGGCATTAACTCATGACATTTTACATGTAACAGTAAATGCCCTTCTGCTTCCCCCAAAAAGATGATATCTACTGCATTAGACCCATATAAATAATTAGGTCTACAAATCAATATAGGAAGCTGAGGAGTTCAGACGGCATCCTAATTATCTAATGCTCCTATCATGAGAATAAACGACTAAAAGCTCATTAATACTACAGAAACCCAATTTGAAAAACCATTCAGTTGTTGTCGTTTTTTGTTTTGTTTTGTTTTGTTTTGTTTTTTTTTGGGGGGGGGGGGGTAAACAAAATACAATTTGCGTGACTGGAAAAACCTGTATAAAATTATCAGCCTTTGCTTTCCATTGATTCATTAAGGTTTTTGAATGAGTAGTACCCATGCGTGACTTGTCATTGCTTTGCATGCGATAGTGCGGAAGCACCTGATGGGAGTCACATGAGCAAAAACCGGACTAACTGACCAGCGGTTTCAAAGCAAACATTAACACTGCACAAACCAGAAGAGTTTCGGCCAGTCATTGCACAGGTGGGGTTTTTTCTTCAGATTTTTATGTATGGGTTCATGGATAGTTGCCTTGCAATGGCCAGCAAAACTACAGAATGTGAAACAAAATCCAGAGTCAAGGTGGTTATGTGGTGGTTAATTTACCTGACTGCTAAGAAAGCATTAATGCGATCTTGGTTGCCAATGTGTTTGCCATTACTTTTATCCTTAATAATAACAATAACAATAACAATAAAATAATAACAATAACAATAACAATAAAATAGTAACAATAACAATAAAATAGTAACAATAACAACAATAATAATAATGATACAAATAAAAAAAAATATGCATTGTATAGCCTGATCAGTATTAATATTATTCTCCCTCCAATCAATCATTTGCCCTCTCCTTTTCTATATTCAGTACAACAAAATTAATGCTAACTATGGGAATACAATTTATGTAAACCTAATACTAAATTTGAGAATGCAATCACAGAAAATTCCATCCTAACTTCTGTAATGCTTCGTTTACATGCAAATTTTGGGTAATTCTACATGTTGTCAACTTGTCATAGTTCAGTTTGATTTAAGTGCATAGAAGTACCGAGTGTAATGTGATCAAGGGAACAAAATGCATCTAGAGCAGCTTCTGAAATGTGCACTTTCTAATAAAATACAATAAATGACTAATAGTCGGGAGGGCATTAACCCAGTACCTACAGTAGTTGTATAGTAAAACTCTGGTTTTGGCTGTCAGAAGATAGTTATATTCGACTCTAAACTTATCTCTGCAAGAATTCACAACCTCGTATAAAACTGGCCCTTTACCTCGATCATTCCAATCTTTCCATGTTCTATTTGATAAGGTTATTGATCTATGCATATTTTGGTCACCTTTCAGCTTTAATACACGTATCTCTAACAAAGCAGAGGAGTTTGTGGTCTAGTGCAAACGTCTCCGGACTGTGGATCGAGTTCCGCCACAGCACTAATGTCCTTTGGCAAGACATTAATCTACATTTGCCACTCTCCACCCAGGTGATGTAAATGGGTACCCGGTAGGAAGATTCTCCTTGAATGCCAGAGTGCCTTATCAGGGCAGCCTGGAAAATGCCAGGAAATAATAGTACACTACTTAAAAATATTAGTATTAAGCGCTTTATAAATGTTACTATATTTTTATTACTATTATTAACATTAATTTTATTCTATAGAGTTGAACTTCATTAAAACATTGCCAGATTGCCTTATGAGAGTCAAAATGGTGTTTAGTTAAAAAAAAATGGGTCCACAACCTTCTAGCTCGCAACAACCTATTTGAATTTAGTATTCTTACAATCCATGTCAAAAAAGTACAGCATCCATGTTATGGTTGATTCACTTTACCTCTTCAAGTTTTTGTTCTTCAATGATAAAGAGCCTAAAGGCTCGTACAGAATTTAAAAAAAAATTGAATGGTAAACTGAACACTATTGTATCTTATAACACAGAGCTCAGTGAATATGAGCAAGTCCTTTGTTGTGCGCAGCTTCCATTCATTAACACGTTAAAAAAAACATGTGACTTTTTTGCAGCGGTTTACCGCACCAGATCTGAACAAGTCTTAATTCCACTCATAGAGTATGAGGCATGCAAGACATGTATGCCTAGCTTCACATGCAACTCAATATCAAAATGGAGCTTTTTACAACCCTTGGGGGAAATTAAAATCATAATTCCAAGTATCAATACCATATATGGTTCTATTCTAGTGCAGGTTGATACCAGGCAAAAAGATATTCCCAGAGACCTTGCTTGGTAAATAATGGCAAGTTATTATATGCATGCATTAGCACTTTCATTATGTGAGTATGGAGGTGTACGTTTCAAATTACAGCTATGTGTAAAGCTTTTATGTTACATACTCTTTTGTATGTTTTTTCCTCCTTCTCCTTTTCCTTTTCCTCTCTCCTCTTTCTTCCTCTTCTTCCTCTTCTTCCCGTTCATCATCTTCTTCCTGTTCTTCTTCCCCTTCCTCCCCTTCCCCTTCCCCTTCCCCTTCCCCTTTCCCTCCCCCTCACCCTCCCCCTCCCCTCCCCCTCCCCCTCCTCCTCCCCCTCCCCCTCCCCCTCCCCCTCCCCCTCCCCCTCCTCCTCCCCCTCCCCCTCCTCCTCCTTGTCTTAGTCTTATATACTTGGACCAAACATAAATTACTACTAATGCATATCCATGGAATAATGATTTTGTGCACAATTATTGAGGCAATTTTTTTGATCATCAGGTAATTTCTACACAAGTGAGTGCACCAGTGCCAACTTTCTTTCTTTCTCCTACAATATAGAATCTTTTGTATACCTCTAGTCTAGTCTATGCTTCCATGCAAATCCACATCCATCAAAGCATCAAGGCAAAGACAAGGATTAAACTCTCTACCAGTAATTGCCTTAAGATGAGGATATTGGGCGGAGGTTAGAATGCTTTGCTTGATAGCATGTTAATACATCACCATCAGACTACATCACCTGTAACACCATCTTCAACTTGCCTTACAGCACAAACACAGGTCACTATGGTAACCACACAATCACCATGGTAACTACTGCCAAGGAGTGGAGAAAGACTTCATCAAAAGGAGCTGATCGAGTCTTCATCATAAGATTGCAAGGAATCGGTGATAATTAGAAAGAAATACTCCCCCTCTGTATTAACACAAAAACGGCCTTGCCAATCATTCCAATAGAAAGTAATATTTGCTCTTTCCATCTCTGTGGTTTAAAGATCACGAACCTAGGTTAACTGGATGACTTGCATAGGCTGTGTTTAGCTGTTGCTGAAAGCTGAGGGGTGGTAACTCATATCATTTACAATGAATTAACATGAATCTGGATCATATACAACCAGCGCTTTGAAGTCTAACCATGTGTTGATCATTCATGTAAACTTACAAAAGCACAAAAACGTGTGAATAAAGTTCATTATTTATTTTATTGTATTAATCATATTTTTTGTTGTTTTGTCTTAGCAAAACTTAATCATATGCCACATATTTGTGTTCAAAACACATTTGAACTAATACAGTAGTATTTATAGCTTGTTACATGCACCAATTGTCTGCCGAATATTACCTAGCTGAAAGCAAGAATGATGCCATCTCTAGTTGAAGAAATAGGAGTTAATGCCCTAGGTCTAGGTCTAGACAGAGATTCAAATGGAAACTACACTGCAAGAATTAGCAGCTCAAAAGGAAACATCAGAAACTACAATTTATTTCTTTGCAGCAACACTTAGAAATTGGAAAACATCACGTTAGAAAATGACACTATGAGAAAATTACTTCATGCGCACAGAATTGGTTGGTATTATTAAATTGGTACGCAACATTACATGCTCATATGCAATACCACACAATTTCTTAGTGGAATATTCATATATGCTCCTCACCTTCAGTCAGAACTAATAATGATTCTGTGACACACCCTCTCTCTCTCTCTCTCTCTCTCTCTCTCCTTCTCTCTCCTTCTCTCTCTCCTCCTTTCCCTCTCTCTCTCTCTCTCCTCCTCTCCCTCTCTCTTTCTCTTCCTTAGTCTCTCCTCTCTCTCTCTCCTTTTCCCTCTCCTCCCTCTCCTTCTCTCCTTCTCTCTCTCTTTCCTTCTCTCTCCTTCTCTCTCTCCTTCTCTCTTTCTCTTTCTCTCCTTCTCTCTCTCTTTCTCTAATTCAATGTGATGCGTGTGATTACTGATCTGTAGTAGATGTGAACATTATAAAAAGACAAAGATTGTTTAACCCTAAAAAGGCCGGGCTATTTAAGATCTTAGTACAGCCAGGGGGGGGGGCATTATGGCCCTCCCCCTTAAGATCTCGGCCGCAAAGCGGCCAATCGACGCGAAAATTTACACGCATGTCAAGTGAAGTGTATAGAACAATATGATAATTTCAATTTTTGGAAAAATTCACTCATTTGCATATTAATGGTAATTTATTCAAATAAAGTCATAAAAATCACATTTTTACCCATAAATCATATATTATTCATATTTAAGCATTCTTTTTCTCTACATATATTCATTAGACCATTCTGATAATACAACAAAAAAATTTGAAGAGCCAGCTTATTCCTTATGTTATCCCTTGTTTTGATAATTTCTTATGTATTTCAATGTTTTTTTAAGTTATGTATTTCATTGTTTTTGTTGTTTTATTTCATTTCTTACTACAATTCAACTATTTTAACTCCTAAAACAACCACCTAAACTTTAAACAAGACCCAATAACCCATGTTTGATCTGTTTTTAGGAAAAATGACTTTTCCATATGTTTTGTACACAAATCATGAAAATGAGCGATTTTCAGGCTGACATGCAAAGACAAAAGGTCACGTGACCTTGTAACTGTAGGTCCGATTTTCAAAAAAATTCTTTTAAAAGTTGCGCAAGACTCGAAGGAAAAAAGTCAGCGAGCGGCGGGGCGCCATCTATATGCGTTCCCGAGCAATCAGAAAAATTGTGGAGGGGGGGGGGGGTGCCATAATGGCCCCTGGCCCCCCCCCCACCTTATTAGGGTTAAAGGGTGTAATACTCATTTAAAATTGAACATCAATGACCGATGAAGAGAAGTAATGTTAGTCAGTAGAAAGACAATCACAACAGACTTCTAACTAGCTTAAACCTGACTTTAAAACACATATTTACTGATTTATAGAGTGTCAAAAGGCATTACCTTAGAACTAATGCCCTTCTATATCTCTCATCAGATGAAGTTTAGACTGTTTAATGTACATCTCTCTATATGCTTGTAGTATGTATTAAGACTCTACATGTATCTCTGTTATAAATAGGAAAACAAATATATCCAAATTCACAATGATGAACATATAATCAATCATCCTACAGGTGAACACATCCATGTAGTAATCTCTGAGGAACATCAATCTATTATCATCAGCAAGCTACAAGTATCCTGCTATAAGGCCATTACTGCCAACATGGTTATACCAGCCTAGTCTGATGGCACAGACACTAATAGGAAACTTTGCCACAAAGCCCTTTATAGCACAGCCTAGGTCGGTCCGTCCGTCTGTATCTAGACTCCAGAGCAGCTTAAAGGCATTGGGTTTCTTTGCCTCAGATTCTACCGGTAAACAAAATCCTGGATTTAGCTCAAGCTGCAATCATAATTATAAACCTATAGGTCAGTCAGGAATCCCATGACTTTTCCAAGCCATTGCATGTTTGATTATCAAGATATTTGTGATTGGAATTCGAAATTTCGAGAAACATCTTCCCAACAGCGTCTTATAATACTAGTCTATTGGGGTAAATAAGTACCGGTATGGTAAAACTGGTCACTCAAAGATTTTTACTTAGATGCACTTCATGATCATTTTGAAGCTCAATTTGTTTAGGCTTCAATATCACACCATATCACAGACACTGATAACACGTAGAGCCATCCATCTCAGATTTGTAAAACTGGAAACATTAATAAACAATGCCTTGAAGTAGAGAGCCTATGTACTATGTTGTTAGCCTAGTCCCACTATGCAGACACTGTTACACCCAGTGACTGATAAGGATTTGTGCCTGCAAACAGCCTTGCAATGGTGTGGACAGCCTAAATTGTGCACTCTTTTAATTTCGACAAAAATAAAGAAAATAGGGACACTTCGAGGAATGAAATCCCTTGATTAAAGCACTTGGTTTCTCATTTTCTCTCTTTGCTTTACAATAATACAAGAGCATGACATATTCTGACTGGGGTTATTGGCAGTAATAGAGGAGAGCACTTAGCTATGGAAAATATAGCTCCTCAAGCAAAACGGAAAAGCATTGCAGCTACTGGCTTCCATCTTTTTAGCAGTAAATTTCATAAATAAATCACCACAATCCCTTGGCAATGGCTCAAGTAGGAGAGGAGAGAACACAAAACAGAGCGCTGTCTAGCATCAAACTACATATTTCTGAGCTATCGGCATGTAGTCTCTTTAGAAAGACTTATAGCCTGCTCTCACTAAATTAGTTTTAAATTGCTTTGAAATTAATGCTGTAGTTTGTACGAAAAGCAAAAAGGCAGAACATTATAGTGATTATTCAAATTACTTTTTATTGGCCATTAAAAACATAATTTACCCTGTGAAAAGTCTGCAGATACAGTTTGTATACCATATCTTTCACCCTTATGCTATGCAAGCCTATTTTGAGAGTGTATTTCCAGCTATTTGGTGCATCTCTCTGGCATTATGAAACAGTTTTGATTTATACCTTTAACTCATATCATCAAAAGTCAAGGTTAATACAGTATAGTACAGACAATGGAAACAAACTGAGTGACGTACATTGTGCATGAATTATCCTCAAATTTCTATACACTATACGTAGGTGATACAGAAAGGTCGTCACTAATCAATTAACTATCTATATTCGATATACATGTACATGTAGCAAAGGTGACTGCATGACATAGGCTCTGACACGTATTGCTCTGTGGTTAATTTGTAATACTAATCAAATTCCCAACCAAATGAACCACAATATTTTAACTTATACTACCACTAACCTTTAACCTAAACTAAAATTCATTCAAAACCGAAGGCCTAGCTAACCCTAAATCAGTAAAAAAAAAAATAATAATAAAAAATAAAAAAATGACTGGAACTAATCTCCAATCACTGTCGTAAGTACACGTCCATTTTGATCATACACCACATATAAATCTCTATTTCTTGCAAATTAAATGGCTATCACTTTGCCATCAAAGTTAAACACCAAGTGCAATCTAATTCTTAAGTAAAGCATTATAACTAGGAGCAGCAGGAGGGTTGTGTGGAGGCAATTAACTTTGAGATTATGCCAGCTTGTAGTACTTTGAATAATCATCGTTTTGGTCCTGTGTTAGCCCTCGTCGTTGTTTGTGGATCATGGTTTCAAACTACAACGGTCCCATGTGAGCATACTGGTACCATAAAAAGATGATGAGGGTTACATGCTACTAGCATTAATGTTTCATGAAAATTGATGACAACACATTTTGTTAAAGTTTTTTTTATGTTAAAGACAATGGACTCTGTGAATATTGGTACCTGCATTATTTTCTTCCTGTGTCACTTGTACTTAGAGGATCACTCAATTTGACCAGGATGCAATACACCACACCTTCATGATCATGGCAATAGCAACGTTAATACCCTCATTTATAGAGAGCCTTCTAGTTACATGATCAAAGGCTTTTACAGTGTATTATAAATAACCTGGTTATTGGATTTTATTACCATTCTGCACTTGAATAGCGCATGCGTTTCTAACCTACTGACCTTACATCGGTTGTATGTACATACATGTAAATGATGAAAAATATAGTTGTATTAACATTATGTGTGATACCAGAAAAAAATCAGGATGTACAGAACACAGTACATGGAAGAGACTCTGTACAAAATGTCTAATAAAGACTGACAAGGCAACCATAGGCATAGGCAAACCAAAAAAAAACAAAAAAACAAACACAATAATATCTGATAGGTATCCTGACATACATGTAGAATTTAGGACACCCCCCCCCCCCTCCCCCTTTTTCTCCTTTCTTTTAAATTCCTTATGGGCATAATCAACCTAAAATCTTTAATGTTATCAATGAGCCCATAATCTATTCAATTCCTCAAAGAAGCTTTCAGTGTTCAGTAAACTTGTTCAGTATAAAGTAAACTTGGGACCCTTCTCAGCAAAGTTTCATGAGCCCCCCTGCCGGAAGAAGTTGTCTGAACCTTTAGACTACTTGTATGGCAAGCCAGTAGATCTTGACGCATCACAGTAGCCGCTTAGTTCAGTTCCCTAAAGATCTCTAATGTGATAAGACGCCCCAGCTTTTCTACCAACTATTATAATTGCCAGACTTAAACCATTCAACAATGGCGACATAGCACTTGCAAGGTTTCTCAAAGTAGATGGATAAAAGACACATTCAGAAGGATCTAAAAAGCTCAGGGCATTTCATCCCTTCTAAACAGGATGGTGATAGATTTCTGATCATAAGCAATGATACAAACTCCTAATGCATTTCTCTATTTTAACATTAACCTCAACCATTCCAGTTGTTCTACATCCACAAGATCACATAAATTCTCTGTCATGAATAACTGTGATTCTACATCGATGTAGGCATGTGTTATCTAAGTAAGATATTAAGCTATTCTTCATGTTACAGGTTTCTGTAACAAGAATGACCTTCTGCTCAAATTTATTCTACAGGAGATAACAAAATAGACTTCATAAATCCTAATCACCATTGTTGTAGTAAATCACATAAATGATCTTGTATGAGTAAATGTTGTCGTAGGGTGTGATTATGTGGCATAGGCATTCTGCTGCAAATTCTGTTATGGTCTCTGTAATACAATTCACTGCTGCCTTCTCAATCAGGCAAACAAAGACAACTTTTAATTTCTGATTTGTGCGACGCGGAAGGATGCAATATGGTGCTTACCTGAGCGACTTTCTCTGATGTCCCACAGAAGTTTGTGAAATTGAGACTAACAATCTCTGATCCATAGACCACTGTGAGTGTCTTATCTTCTAGAGGAACATCCTTGGAACCCATGTCACACAGAACGCTGAGCTTGGCATCCTAAACATGATTGAAACAAACAAACAAACATTGAATGTCAGCATGTATCAAAGATAGATCTAGGGCTTTGAGAAGACAGCTCTCATGCTGCTCTCTGATCTTACATCCAGTGATGACATAAGCTATTTATAAAGTACAATATGAACAATATAGAGATGTACTGAAACATGTTTAGCTCTACAATGTACGGATAAATATACAATAAAAGAAATGTACATTTTGTGCAATGGACCAACTTTCAAACAATTTTGATAAAGTTGATAGTTATATGAAAATATTTTATACATACCATACACAAGTATAAGCCAAGAGCTAAGACAACTTTAGGATAAAACTCTTGGCTCTTGTGACAGACAGTTCTGCATTATCCACTTCATTGGATAATGCAGAACTAATTCCATTCTACAATAGCTGACAGGTTAATACATACAGGATGTACATATTAAAGTGCAAGCTTTCGTTTTAAAAGCTGTGTCCATTTCTATTCCTTCTTTAATTTTCCTATCGATAAAACTATCCTTTTACAATCATCTCTGCCACACCATACCTCTCATTACACTGAATATACGTACACAGGATTCCTGCTTGCTCTAGAAATATCACTATCTTATAGACTATATTTAGTGTGGAATAAATCATCTCAATTTCAACCTTCCCCTTTCTTGTCGTCAACTTTTTTTCTCCATAGCATCATCTCCGATTCTGGGCACCACCCTCCCTTGTTAGAACTATACAAGTCTCCAATTTCAATCAACAAACTCATCTAGAGCCAGAAAGAAGCAGGACTTCAACTCATCCTCTTTCCTAGAAACAAGTGTAACCGAAGACGAAGCAAATTATAGAGTGAGACAGACAGCGGCGCTATCATCGCCTTGGCTGTCCCCCAATTAGCATTGATTGAATTGAGTTGCTTATCACCCAGCCATGTTTAATCTTATGTATGCATAGTATGGAAAATGGATTGGGGACTGTGTTCACACAGTGAGTTGGAGTCTGGGTTGAGTATAATAGCATTGACTGACGATGCATATCAGCCAGCTTTGAATGCATAGTATGGAAAATGGATTGGGGACTGTGTTCACACTGTGAGTTGGAGTCTGGGTTGAGTATAATAGCATTGACTGACAATGCATATCAGCCAGCTTTGTATGCATAGTATGGAAAATGGATTGGGGACTGTGTTCACACTGTGAGTTGGAGTCTGAGATGAGTATTAGCATTGATTGACTTTGAATATCAGCCAGCTTTGAATGCATAGTATGGAAAATGGATTGGGGACTGGATGGATTCACACTGTCATTTGGAGCCTGAGATGAATTAGCACTGATCAACTTTGCATATAACCTAGCCATGTTTAATCTCATGTGTACAGGATAGAACATGAGTTAGGGACAGTTCACATTAACAATTTTTAGCCTACAAACAAGAAGATTGGTTGGAAACCTTGTTCACACAGACAGTTTAATAGCATTGATTATTAAATTGAGTTACTTTTCAGTCAGCCATTAATACAAATAATGGAAAATAGGTTACCGACCATGTCAACATTATAAACAATTAGGACTTGAGACAAATATTCTGATTTTGAAAGTTACATGGTTAGAAGATCCAATTTTTTCATTCTTCATACAATTTAAAAATGTATTCACGCTAAATTTCTTTACCAGCTCAAAGTCGATCTTAAGTGTCCATAAACAAACAATTTACCTCTCTGAAAATACAATAATTCTTGTAATGTATCTACCAAGTGAGATATGACTTTAGACAATTCTATGTTTAATGTGGAGAGATAGAAATTGCGTGGGAAGGTGCATGCAGTAACAAACTTACAGTGTGGAGACAGGAATGTACTTTTCCTAAAAGAAAGATGTGAATGATGACACGTTTCTGTGTCACATATTCACATCTAAATCTCCTTGGTCATGGTTATTTGATACTCTGTCAAAGCTAATCGCTGAATGCTAATGGAGTGAGCTCATTTCAAACACACATCAATGTCAGAATAATTTTTTTTTTTTAAGTTTCTGCTTTCAACCTTTGAACCAAGTTGGCAATGTTTGTGGTTATTTTTTTCTCCAACTGAACCCAATGTCTAAAACATAGCTGAGAGTGAGAGAGTATGACATTTTTGCATGTGACTATTCAAAGTACTTATTGTGTTTGTTTATTAAATGAAAAGAGGGCCCCTCTGTTTCTTAGCAGAGCATTTCAAATGTTGTCTGCATTGAACTTTCCAAGTAAACAGCGCTTCTATCTATTAAGATTTGATCGAGATGAACGCTTACTTTCTACCACAGAGGCTTGAATCATGACCAGAAAGCAGTTCTTGTAATATATATACACACTATGAATAGGGATCAAAGTGAACATGGAAAACGGTTCCAGGAATGTTGCTATACACTTGTTTTTACAGATGCTTGCATGTCTGTTCCTCAGGGCTCACCACTTATCAAGCCAAGAGGCGCTTGGTCTCTCATTTCACTCATACGCTTAAGAGAGAGAGAGAGATCGCCAGCCAAGCGGGTAGAGGATTGGGGAGAGGTTCACGAGGGCTAATGGATTTAATGGGATAAATGCCCTGCAAGGATCGTTAAATCCTCCACCTATAATTCATCTCAGTTTACCCATTAACCATTTGGTTAAGACTGCAATCATCGTTTAAATTGATTCAACTATCAGCTTAGAAATATAATACAAGGTGGAAGCTAGGGCAGAAGGAAAGATGAGGGAACATCACCATTGCACAGAGAATTTAATAAAGAGTGATTTACTTCTAGTGTGAGGAGAACAATATAAATATTCTCTCTCTCCCTCCCACTACTCTACCAGATGTTATATAGTCAGAACTTTCAAATATCTTAAATATAACAAATAAAAAAGATTGAATTTCATTTCAACCTTCAAAGACCAGTAAATTGTAGCAAATGAATAAGCTCTTTGCTGCTGCCCACGTTACTAACTGCAAATTCTAACACAACACACAATTCGCTTGATCCTTCTTTTTCTTTTTTGATTCATATTTGTTATGCGACTAAGTATTACCTTTGGTGTCATAGCATATTTTCCTGTTCTTGTGTCTCGCAATTGGGTCAGTTCCAGGCACTCCACATCCTGAATAAAAGGAAAAGGATAAAAAGGAAAATGAATGGAATCAAATAAGGGACTGAACCGTAATTGATCAGAAGGTCAAATGGTTTCAATCAAGTTAATAAAATTGAGAAGAATCTTTCTCTTCTCTAGGTTTATTATTGAACAGGGCTGCCACTTATTAGAGCCTTCGATCACCATGGTAACTAGAGGTTTCTGAAAGGGTGAGGTTTCTTTAAAATATCCACAAATACTTCACTTGCTTCAATCTGAATGCTTTCACATTCCTTGTTTCATCTATGCAGGAGGTAAAATCAAATGTAGCTTTTCAAGAATAACATTTCTTTTTATAAAGCAAAGCAGCAAAATCAAAATAATAAAATCAAATTTCCCTTCACACACACAATCCAAAGACCATAAAAGTAATCATAAATACAAAGAGAAATGCAGAAGGTAACATTGTTATTGCTAGTGTATGTATTTTTAGAATAGTTCATTACATGTAAATGTACATAAAATGACTTTATGCAAACGCAAATTCCTCTCGGATTTATTGGGATTATTTTTAAAGATATTGGTTTGTTATTGGTGAAAATATAATATCCATTGCTATTTTAATCCCAAATGATAAAAATAGACAGTAACAGAGTGCTATAATTCAATATCCTAAATCAAATTTTACCAAAACAGTCTGACTTTAAATAAATTGGTGACCATTACTTCAGTATCTGTCATTCCTATTCTATTTCTAAATAATAATAAAAAAGTTGTGTGCAATATATAGAGTCTTATAGACTAATCAATCAGAATAGATTCTTTTTTACTATTACACAGGTGTAATGAATATCATCATTGGTGATATTATACTTAGTATATTATGATGATGATGAAAATCAAGTACCCTTTCAAACTACTTGCCTACATGTATCTACAAGAATAGTTGACGTACATGCAGATCAATTGTATAGTACATGTAAGCATATATATAGAGAGAGAAAAATAAAATATCTTTAACGTCTAGAGGTAGTTGGACACCTGTTGCTGTGTTGCCAACAGTTTCAATTTGATTTGATTTGATTTGATTTGATTTATTTATTTCTGTTTGATTTTCTTTTTCTTTTGCATTTTTACAAATATATAACAAACAAATATTGCAAATTTACACATGACAAAAGAATATATGTAGAATAAAGTGTTTGTTGATATACACAAATTTTAGTGACTAAATTCTGCCCACATTAAAAAAAATTATTTTAAGTACCGGTATGTTTACAAAATACTGTAATCTCTCAAATTGAACTCCCCTACCCGTCAGAGATATCAACCAAAATAAACTGAAATGTTTCCTTACATCAGATACATTTTTAAAAATAGACCAGCAAAGGGCAATACATGTATTTGCCTTAATCACCCAAATCAGTTCTACCCACATCACATACTGTCACAAACTACAATTGTGGATAATTTTTCCATAAAATAAAGTATTTCAATATCAATTTTGGTTAATTTCGGATAATAGTTTTTTGATTTATAATAGTAAGTTAAAAACTCCTTTTCAAAGACATGAATATGAAAATTACATTTGATATCTAATTGATTGTAGACATTCATTTAAAATATAAACTTATTACATATGTGTAGTCTTCCAAACCAACATTTTGAAGATACATCTGTATGGTAATCTCAGGTAAGCATAAATGCATGAATACATTTCTCATGAAAGATATATTTGAGAAGCTTGAAATAAATTTAATACTCAAGTACACAACTCTATACATGTGGCAGGGGAAATCAGAGTTGGTAATTGAGTTTATTATGTATTCATGACAGTGTCAGACTCAGAGAGGTCTCTTTGGTACAAAGGTTTCACAATGACAGGTAGGTCTCTATTGAAATGCCTCCACTAGAGATCATTTAGGTTGGGAACAGCTCTTTCCCCTGCATTCAGACTACCGGTACTATTATTATTCATATGAAAGCTATATGATAAGTAGGTACTTACAATGTTGTAGTCTCAACGTCACATTATATAAAATGTACGAAATGTTGTTTAAAATACACTTTTGAGTGTCATTACAAATGAAAACTCAATAAAGAATCAGAGTTTGTTCTAGTCTGAACAGTGATTAATACCTTAATACCTATTGTTCAGGGGGATCCCCGGAACAAAAGGTATTAAGTATTAAGTACCATAAGGATCTATGCCACTGAGTCTGAATGTCTTATCACATATAAACTGGGCGCAGCTTAGCTTGACCACACACTCATGATTGGCTGGCTGTCATGTCAACAGATCTCTTTAAAACCAGCTTCTTTATTCAATGTTTCTTTAATACAGTGTTATTTATCTCGTCTGTATACTCTTTTCACTATATGGTGATTTTTACAATACGACGTTGCTTTTATACAAGTTTCATGATAATTTTTTATCCTCTCTGAACAGGCTATAAATCAGCTGCATGTGGTCCAATTCTTTGTTGGTATCAGACAGGACCCAACACTCTCAGGTGCCTGCAACACATGGCTGCCCAAATTGTATGAAGTCTGGGGGTGTTTCACAAAGACTTAGACTAATGACTAACAACTTTAATGAGTTGAACTTGAACTATGGCAGGCCATTCATGCCACTGGCTGCTCTCACCATTCCTGACATTGGTCTCTCAGAGGACATTAAAGTTTACAATGTAAAATGTATGTAACTTTTTTTTTCTTTAACAATGAACAATAAAAAGTGTAAATTCTGTAGATTTGTGCGTCCCTTGAGAGACCAATGGTGAGAGCCACTAGTGGCATGACTGGCCTGCCATAGTTCACGTCCACCCTTCTCCTGGATACCTAAAATTTCAAAAAAATGTACATAGAGCTTAATAAATACAGACTGTAAAAAGTTCAGTCTTGACCACTTTTCATTTGTACCTTTGCATTACATGACGTTACATGAGGTTAGTTATTAAATATGATGGTATATATAACTGTATAGCTTTACAATTCATCCTGGTAGTCTATCCATAGAGTCACTCATTGTATCATTCAGGGACATGGATTTATGTATTGCAGAACATAATGGCCCGAATTCACAAAGGAGGTTTACATTTAACCCATGGTTTAAACCTTCATTTAAATAACCCATGGTTTAAAATTAGCGCAAAGTAAGCACAACACAGTCAAGAGGTCCAATATTAGATGCGCGCAAGGCAAGGTACACTTATTTTGCGCTAATTTTTAGACCATGGGTTATGTAAATGAAGGTTTAAACCATGGGTTAAATGTAAACCTCCTTTGTGAATTCAGGCCATTAAATACAATAATTATATGAGACATCAAACAGGATCAACCATCAGCTGAAAATATTTTAAAAATCTGCGCTAATTAAGCTGTACACTTCTTGAAAGACAACATTGAGACGTACTGTACATATAGGCCTACACAACAATCATTTATAAAAACAACAGGTGCACGTCTTACTGATGATTTCACATGTATTGTAATAGTATTGAAGAAGATCATCCCTAGGAACACTATGCTACTCTGTGTGGGATGGACCAACAGGGCTTATTACACGATCAAATGTGCCTCGATCAGTCTATTCTTCTTTCTTCTGCTTGATCAAGTCTTTAGAAATACATAAATACTATTCTCTACAACCCTACATCACTATCCAATACCATGCCAAAATAAATCATAAGCAATCTACAACATTATTTTTCAAACACATTCAGTGAATCATTGCAGTGTAATGAGTGTCTGACAGAAAAGTTTGCCTTTCATCATGCAGTCACTAAATCTTTGATTTTTGCCAGGTAATACAAAGTTTTGAGAAATTTTGAAAATTTGATGGATAGTGATTCTTTATAATTTTAATATATTTGGATGCCCATTTGGATGCCCCTGTGGATGTATTATAAGGCCTAAAATAAAAACTTGTTGCATTGCCCTTTGGGTGCCAAAACATAGGTCGGTCAGTCAGAAAAGTTTTGATTTTTTAAAACTTTTTTTTGTCGCCCTCTCTGGGCGATATTTTTTCAGATTTGAATGTTTTTGTGTTTTTTTCCCGCCCTCTTTTGGCTGATATTTCTCAGTTTTTATTTCTTTAATACATGTGTTTCAGCGTCATCATTCCGCTGATAATCTTTTTCACCATATAATTATCCATGGTTTGCACAAGCGAGAATTTTGGAATAATTTGAATTTATGCATTTATACCCATTTAAACAAACAAAATACATATTTTTTTATTCATTAATATCAACAAATCTAAAAAAACGGTTAAAAAAAAAAAACTTTTTTAAAATGCCGACCGTAGATTTTCAGATTTTTGGGTCGGTCGCAAAGGGCAATGCAACAAGTTTTTATTTTAGGCCTAAGCAGTAGACAATTTAGCCCCTAAAACACTTCTGCTTTTGAGAAAAATTGAATATAAAAATTTCAAATAGCGCCTACGGCCATTCAATGGTAGCTGCGAACATGAAAATCTCAGAATATGTTTGTAGTTGTGATATATAATTTACAAAAGGGAATAGCTAATCGGTCGATTTTAGTCAAGAAACATTGTTTTATAGCTTAATCAATATCTTGACCTTGAGAGGGAGCTATACAACATAAAGAGTGTATTATTTACAATTTCATAACTTTAGACTTGATTTCAACCGCGACAACGATCACTGAATATTGTAGGATCACATATGCTTCCAATATGTTCATTTGAACCAAATTCATGACCCCATACCAAAACGTTGTATTACCTTAAACGTAACTCCCCTGAATGTGAGAAATATGAGAAAAGTTTATGATTTCTGCTTGCAGTGTATATGCAGCTTTTATTTTATTTCTCTTTTTTATTTGGTATATATAACTCCTGACAGAGCTTGCATACTGAATTATCTATTCTGAAACCACATGCACTCATTGAACTCACGCTGTCCCTGCTTGGTAACTTATAATTAAACTCTAACACTGACTCATGGATGACATCTCAAAGCACTTTGTAGTAAAAGGTGCTATATAAATCACAACTATTACTGATA